GGGAGCTGCTCTTGCTTTGCTCCAGGAGAAACATCTGCAGAGGTTGCTCCATTCTGCTCCAGTGCCCATCCCAGCTGGGCTGGCAGCTGCACGCACGCCAGGCAATGTCCAGGTTAGGCACTGCCTGAGAAACCTCCTCTGTCCCAGAGATGAAATGGGGTGGCACTTCAAGGGCTACAGAAATACACAGATTTGAAGTTGCTGCTTTAGAAGTCATCTCACTGTGTGCTTCCTAAAGACAAAAAATTAAATTCTTGGGGGGACTAATAGAAACGATGGCTAATTTCTTTTTAAAGAGTTCACTCTAATGCTTACAAATCATGAATGCCTCAAAGTAGAGTAGGTCAGAGAAGGTCTTAAAAGCACTAACAGAAACTAAAATTTATTTACTTTCAGCACTTTTCTCAGACTACTATTTTATTAATGCACTAATGGCTGTTTTCATCTGCTTCTTCTCAAAAATAAACTGATTACAGTTTTCAGCTAATTTGATGTAAATTTTTTGTGATATTATTTAGAACCCCCTTGATATATTTGTCAATGAATTTAGAAGAATTACTGCATTGTAAGAATATTCAGAAAACCCACATGTAATCAATTCCCATGAAACAAAGTGTTTTACAGAAAAATAAATTACCTGTAGTTAACCCTTTCATACCTACTGAACTGTACCAAGACCATTTCCACATATACCTTTAAAACAAACAAACAAACAACAATTATGAATCTGGAAAGTGTATTTTTAAATAAAATATCTACAATTTGTGCATGTATCCTCTGTGCATGTATTTTGGATTTTTCTAAGGAAAAACAGCAAACTCTGATGTGTACCATTTCTCTTTCTCACCCAGCCCAATCAAAGCTTTTGAGCAACTGGCTTAGCATGTGGGTAACACTGCCATGGACAACACCTGTTACAGCTCAGGTAGCATTTTTTAGGATGCGTATGTGTAATACAATAACCTATTTCTGTGGTGAGGATATGTATTTATCAGTGGTCACAACAGTAGACAAACAGGATAGAGACACAGCTGTAGGGTTTCTCTCAAATGTGGTGGATGTGGTTTATTCTAAGATAGCTTTTAAACTCACCTTTCAAGTAAATAAGCTCAAGATAACTCTGGTTGTGCCTGCTCTACTTTGCTTTCCCTTCATGCTCTCATAGAATAGTCTGGGTTGAAAAGGACCACAAAGATCATCCAGTTTCAACCCCCTGCTATGTGCAGAGTTACCAACCAGCAGACCAGGCTGCCCAGAGCCACATCCAGCCTGGCCTTGAATGCCTCCAGGGATGGGGCATCCACAACCTTCCTGGACAACCTGTTCCAGTGCATCACCACTCTCTGTGTGAAAAACTTCCTGCTAATATCTAACCTAAACCTCCTCTGTCTTAGTATAAAACCATTCCCCCTTGTCCTATCACTGTCCACCCTCGTAAACAGCCATTCCCCCTCCTGTTTACATGTTCCATTCAAACACTGGAAGGCCACAATCAGATCTCCCTGGAGCCTTCTCTTCTCCAAGCTAAGCAAGCCCAGTTCCCTTAACCTTTTCTCATAGCAGAGGTGCTCCAGCCCTCTGATCACCTTTGCAGCCCTCCTCCAGACCTGCTCTGAAGCAAATCTTTCCGGTACTACCTAGTACAAAAGAACAAACCCAGAAATTAACAGAAGTGATGTGTGAATGAGTCCCAGTGGGCACACTGGCTTACAGATGCATGAGTTCTCCTACCCATCACAACTGTCATATCATTTCTAAAATAAAACATTCTGTGGCCTAAGAAATAGGATGCTGAAAAAAGGATTGAATGGAAAGAAATGGTCTTTCTCATCACGGCTACTATTTGATCATCTTAACATCAAATGAAATACCAAATTACACCCTCCTTTGTAGAAATTACAGCAAATCCTCAGATATTTGGATCATGAAATTTGAGCTTCTGTCTTCCTTCAGACTGCCTTTTGATTCTCTGCAGAATTCTTGCTCCGCCCTGAACATCTTTTTGATTTCTGTTTGCTAAGAATCGGGTTTAGCTCTGGCTGTCACATTAGACATCTAAAATGGGTCATGAAAGCTGAATTTGGTACAAGTTTTGCAGGTTGTAGAGTGTCTAAAAAAATTTGTTTTTCATCATTTTCTCTAGGCACTTTTCACGCTATGGAAGAAACCGCTTTTCTTTGAAATGAGACCCAATTTAATAAATGAAAGCCGTGTTTTGCCTATTCCATTCTTTTGTCACCCTACCTTTTTTTTGCAAGCTACACTGAACTCACTCTTATTTTGTCCAGGGATGAGTAGGCTCTGTCATTAACTGCTGCCACAATGGCTTCAGCACATCTGTCCTTTCTCAGATTTCCTCACTCACTTTACTTCCTCTCACAGGGATTTAATGAGACCAGTGCTCACATAGGAGAGCTTTTGGACAGCTGAGCTGTATTGACAAGAGGTAAACTGTGGGCATTATTTAGATTGCTAACCTCTGGGAAAAGCATTTAGAAATACGGGATTTTTTTTTTTTTTTAAACACGTTGTATTTTTGGAAAATAAAATTGAACTCTTGCTTTTCTGCTCTTCTCAGTAATAGTGCTCCTTTGGTAGTTTATTTCCCCCGCAGCTCTGTTCCTGCTACCTACCCCACATGGACATGGAATGAATCAGCTTTGACATATCTGGCTCTTCCAGATTTAGAGCACTGAAAGAAAGCTGTCATGCTGCATTTGAATACCGTCTATGTGTGTGTGCCATGATCCCCCAGGGCTTACACCTCCATCAAGTGCTCTGTCACCCTACCAATTATTTTCCCAGAGTTGTTTCAACAACCTGACAGCTTTTCCGTCAGGTAACTTCTCCATGCCTTACGCACTGCTAAACAAACTGACTGCCCTAGACCTGCTCTGAACTTCCTCAACGAACACACAACAGTCTGGCAGGGGTCCCACCTCACCTCATTCCACTCAGTAATCACCAGCTTCATTTTCTGGATTTACAGTGGTAAATCATGTGCATTTCACAGCCGTGAAGCTCTCAGCATGGGTAGGTCTGTTAGTCACTGCGGCCTCTCTCAGTGTACCAGGAGACTACCTTCAAGTCATGGCCCACGCTGGGGAGAAGACACTTCAGCCAGGTGAGTGGTTGAAGAACAACGTCTGTTTAGCTGCTCTGGAGGAGCTGCATGTAGAGCTACATGACCAGGTGGTAGCAGTTGAGCTCTTCAGTGCTTCAGATAATGCCAGAATTACCTTCTGTGCTTCGTATCAGTTTCCAAAAGCTCTTGCCAAACCAGGAATGAGAGCTAAGGGTTTGTGCTGGCATCCATTTTGAGAAAGTTATCTGGAGGACAGCATGGGAGCCAGATAGTTTATAGAAGCTTTTTTTTTTTTGCCCTGGGTTAGAGTTTCCTGGGTTCCTGAAAATGCTCAGGTATCAGGGCTCAGGGGAGCCAACCCAGATGCTCTGGGGTAGTTAACCAAAGGGTAGTTACTGCAGTGAGATACAGCCTAACAGATGTGTGCCACAACCTACACCTGATCCAACATGATGAACACAGACATACTGTCCAGCTGACACAGAGATAGCACAGGCTTAATTATCCACAGCTTGATTATCCAGTGTTGACACAGTTTTTATGACTAAGTCACCCTTGAGACATTCAGAATCTGGAAATCCCAACCACAGATAAAAATTTCCTCGCAGCTACATAAAATCGCAGTATTTTTCTGACAAACTTTGGCGGAGAGTTTTGAGCATTTTTAACTTATCAGGCTTGCAGTGCATTTTACAAGGAGAGTGAAGACTTAGGGCATAAATCATTGACTTAAAGGAAAACAACTGTGTAACAATATTACAAGATATACAGAACAGGATGCACTTGGATTCCAGTTTCTGTTCATTGGCTCACCAGAGAGAAGGATCATAAATCAGAAATAGAGAATGAAAATCAAAGAAAAGTAACAGGAAGTGTCAAAATGAAAACCTGGCAGAAATTACCAATAAGAGGAAAAGAAAAAAGACTCCAGATGTTTAAAAAGAAGAAAAAAAAAAGAAAAAAAGAAAAACAACAACCTGGGAGAAATCCAGTGAACAAAAGGACAGAAAAGAAAGAAAAGCAGAAAAGAAACAAGAATTATAGCTTGGGTGGGGGGCTTTTTATTTACTTATTTTTTCCTCCCTCACTTACAGTCGAGGCCGAGGGAGACAAGGCAATATGTATTTGAGAAGGTGGGGGAACTGGGGGGGGAAACATGCATATAAGCATCACCTCCCCTCCCCTCTTCCCAAAAAGCACAGCTCTGGAAACTCTGATCCTAGAAATATTTCAATTGAGCTCACAATTCAAAAGGTTCATTAAATCCAGGATTATTACCACGAGAGAACTTGATCAGAGCAGCCAGACCGTAACGTTTAAGGGGTACTTTATTTCCACATACCTCCACGCTGCGGAGCTCTCGGTCACATGGCGAACATGTGAAGGCCGGTCCCGCTCAGCACCAAGCCTTTTCCTCTGGGGCCATCTAGCGGCCCGCAGGCGCCGTGCAAAGCAAAGCTAGGCCGGGCTGCTCCTGGTGTTTCCGTGACGACCCCTTCATCAGGCGCACTGATGCAGTCAGTGATCACGCATAGGTCCTCACGGAGCTGTATCGCAAGCTGTGCTGGAGGCTGTGGTCTCTACTATCTGCCTCACTCGATGCCATGACTCCGGTCAGTGCAGCTGGGAGCACATGCACAACGCCCATCCGGCTTGCAAACACAGCAAGTGGATTTATGGCTCTTGGTCAGGAAAAATTAACAGGAAAGTCCTCAGCAAATGAGTTCAAAAGTAAGTGAATTGGGTCGATTCTCAAATCTTCCCATATCTGCCTTGTTTCCCTCCCTTCCCCACGTACGTGTCGTATTCCACATAATCGCAGAACTGTAAGGGCTGGAAGGACCTCTAGAGATCAAGTCCAACCTCCCTGCCAAAGTAGGCTGCATACACCAGGTTGCACAGGGAGGCATCCAGCCAGGTCTTGAATATCTCCATTTAATCCAACAATGGACCTCAACATTAATAATTATGAAGTTAAGTTACACTAAATTCTCCCTGCAGCAAAAGAACTCCACAAAACATTCATTTATTCCCCCAAGGATTTTTTCAAACAAAACTGTGGCTGTGGGAATTAAGTTACCGACTGATACTTAGGAAGACAAAATCATCAACTGATTCATATTTAATTTATTACTTCAACAAATCAAGCCGAATCGTTAAGATTCCTGAATCAAGAATAGATTACATTTTTATTTGTAGTCTCATTTTAGGTTTATGTTAACAACTGGTAAATATTTGTACCATGCTCAGATTAAACTACAGTGCATTACTGTAAATTCACTTTCAAGCTGCTTAACTCAAGAATGGCTAGAAGTTTAGGGTTACCATTAACAAAAAGAAGCCCAACCAGCAACAAAACCAAGTAACCACCCTTCCCCAGTCAAATTAAATATCTTTCTCTCCATTCTCATACATTTTATAGGTTATATGACTGCTTCAACCTCCATAAACCCTATTGCAAAATGAAGAAAGCCTTGGTCCCAGCACACTCCATACAAAAATAAAACATTACACAGAATCAAAATATTCCCACTTACAACAGAAAATGTATGCTGACCCACCAAGAGCAATTTACATTCAAAAAGCTTATTATCTTTCAAAAAGACAGTTTCCTCTCTCAGAATAGAGAGAAATAGATATGCTTTCCAATTTAAGAGCTTTAGTTGCTGTAATTTTAAAATTATGCAGCTGGACTATCAAATATTTGCATTTCATTTAAACAGAGCTTTTCCACCAACACACCTTACCTGCTGGCTGTGCTAGAATTGTCCACTTAATTCTATTCCACTGTAGCCACACATTTTCAGACTCAAGGAATGGTAAAAGCCACTTGCTACATATACACCCCAGAGGGCACATGCTTGTATGTGAACAGTGATCTGGAAAGCTACAATTTATCAGCCATCTCATCAGAAGATTTCTAAAATGAAAATTTGTTATTTTGTTTCAGAACCCTTATAGCACTGAGGTGAAAAACAGGCTTCTCAGATATAGAATATAATGGTGACATGCATGTTACTGTCAGAAATCCTGCACAATGTGGACATCAGAAGTAATACCAGGTTTAAGTATCAGTTATTCCCATTAATAATGCTACAAAGCTTTCCAATCGTTTCATATTCCTCAAGGTTCAGAAATACTTCTTCAATGGCCTAGCAGAAAGGCCATAGGAGACATAATACATACTTTGGTGTATTTTGCATTCTACTGAACTTCATTGATACTTAAACCTCAATACTAAGTCTTGCAAATCTGTACTGTAAAGATGCTGGAGTTCTCAGCAAAACAAGCCCTTTTTTATCTGCTGGCTGGCTGTATAACATATAAAGCAACCCTGTCAAGCTAACAAAACCCAGTGCTTCTCCACAGCCTGTAGCTAGTGAAAAATCCCCTCGAGTTACATATCCCAAGAGAGTTCTGCAGCAATGGGAAGTAACATCCGGGAGAGTGCCTGACCAAAGACCTAGAATGAGGTCTTTACATTCCTCAGTTGTTTCTTTCTCTGGAACACTGGGAGGGTTGCTTTCTTGGGCCTTCAAATTATCTTCCTCTTTCTTCTTCTTCTTCTTTTCTTTTAGCTTCTGTACCTTGTGCTTGAATATGTCACGATGCTTGGGTTCTTGAGGACCACAGAAGAGTCTGTCCTTGCTTAAGTGCAGTAAATCATCTTCTGTTGGGATGCAAATCATGGCATGTAATTCAGGGTTCCCCTTCCTCAGGAGAGACAAGTTGACCCATACCAGAGCCCTGGGATAGCTCATCAAGATTGGCAAAAGGACATCTTCAGTCATTTCCTTTCCTCCAAGCTGAGAAACAAGGCGAGGCCGCCGATCTTTTCCAGAAGTGGGGTAACACCAGGCTGATAACTGCATTAGTAATTTCTCACTCCTATTAACAAGTTTTAAAAAGAAACAAAAAAGATAGTTATTAATAAATACTACAACAGAAATCCAGAAAGCCACTTATTTGATTAAAGAAGCCTTAGGGCTTCCTGTAACCTTTCAAGCTGATGTCTCTAACTCTCAGCGTAAGAAGAACACGGGCAGGTGAAATTCATGTGTTAGGAGGCTACTTGTTCTGAAGACATGAATATCACTCAGCTTATTAAAGCTTGTTTTGATCACAAAAGCTGTATAACCTTCAGTGACACAATTCAGTTCTGAATTGCCAATATTTCTTCCCCTGATGACTACTTAAAAATGAAAAGATCTGCATTCAGGCACTTTCCAAACACTGTTGGCACCCACATATGTTACAGTGAAATACACGAGATTCTATCCTCTCTGCAGACCATCTGAGACAATGCATTAGAAAAGAGAACATGTGCTGATATGCACTGCAAGTTTTAAATCACAAATACGGCCCTCTAAACTCTACACACGTAGAAGCAGACAGAGCACATCAACTCCAAGAAGGTGCTAAATTCAAGCCTGTCGTATTTAAGACAATTCCTTACTTCCTCTACTCATGGTGTTTGTTTGAGGAAACTAGGACTTCTACTCAACAGTAAAATTACTTAATCTCCTCCTCAGTGTATCTGAACCAAATCTTTCTCTAAACAAGGCTGAGCCATTCCTTTTCCTAATTCAATTATTCCTAATAAATAATACATCACGTGCTTGTACCTTTTGACATACCTGAGAACAATAAAGTCACTTCTCATAGTTTCACCTCTCTCACCAAAATCTTGGGTGTCTGTATCACCCTCTGTCTTTATAGAATCTTCAGAGCTTATTTCCATGGTCTCCTCTACCTCACCAGTCTCAGGGGAAGCTTCTTTCACCACTTCTGGTTTGGGGTCACAAAAGCCATGTCCTTCAGTTGCACAGTGCTCAGCATGTGGGGAAGAACGATGCACAAATTCTTCTGAAGCTTTCATTCTTCCTTCCCAGCTCTTCACCAGTTGCCCCCAAGGACAGATGAAGGGGGACAGAGTGCCCAGTTTGACATAATTCGCCCTTTTTGCAGGTGGACGTCTAAGCAATAAATCAAGTATGAAAAAGATTTATATCCAGCAATCTTATTTCAAATTGGCACTTAGAAAGGCTAGCTGTCTACTTTGTCATGCCGTTTTAACTGTAAACAAGCATTTAAAACAGAAAGTTAGTTGTGCATTCAGTAATCTCACCAATAATTCTCAAGTTATACTTCTAGACAACACTAATATATCTTTGCCTTCTATATCCTTTCAGTGATGCTGAATACTACTGACAGTACCATCATTTTTTCTGAAATTCTACTTGTAGCTGGAAGGGGAACTGATACCAGTTTGTTCAGAAGACACTTCCAGATGCCCCATAAGCATGGTACTGCATTGACTGCAAGGCAAACAAAGGCAAACTTCTACCTTCTCTCTAAGTAGCTGAGAAGATTGCCTGAAATAACTTTATTTTTTACTCAGTCTTGTAACTGAGCTTCAGTCTGGAAATAGAAGGTTTTAGTTCATTGATTGACCTGATTAGCAAAACTTTTCTTGACTATATTTATTGACATAGTACTTTAAAAACAATGGTGAAAGACCTTCCTGAAGTCCAAGTCTAAATGAATGCAACAACAGATAACAAAGGGACTATCTGAAGCACTGCAGTTGGTTTTTTTCTTCCATTCTTGTAGTCAAAGTTAATGTTACCGTTTGAATTTGTCAAGAAGACAGCTTTCCAGTTCTTTGGCAAACTGCATTCCCGCCGGGCAATCAGGGAAATCATCTGGAGTGTGAGGTATTCTTTGATACTCAGAATGTTTTGAAGCCTCTTGCAAGCCACCAACTCGTACACCTCGATAGATCTGTTATAAAAATCAATCCCCCCCCCAAAAGCAATATTTGTATTGATTCCTGCTTCCTAACTGAAATGAAACATTAATACTGTTGAAGCCATTGCTGTAGAAAATGGAAAGTCTGTAATTTCAGCTTTAAAAAAAAAAAAAAAAAAGTTAAGGTTTTCACAGTTCTAAATGATAACTTCAATAAAAACATTGCTTCTCTTTAAGCTTAAATTTTGAAAAATAATCAACTAAAATAAACAGAATTTCACAGCTTCTCATCTTGTATGTTCCAGAAACATGCTATTAACTCAATAGTCACTCTCCAACTAATTTGAACTGTACAACAGGTAACACTGCAGTTATTTCCCCTCTATATTCAGCAATGTTAAGAGCAGAAAGGCACTACATCAACTATCTAACATTCAAAGCAGGATACCCGTAAGAGTGCCCAAGGTACAGTCAGACTAGCTTCAATCACACTTCAAGCTCCCCTTCCAAATCAAAGGCAGCTAAACTGTTGACAGAATGGCAGAGATAGCCAAGCTGGAAGCAGACTAGCAACTGGCACCAAATCATTTACCATTACAGCCATACGCTCTTAGAAACACAAAATCAAACAGCTATCACATCAGCTTTCTCTTCTTACCCTCTTCTCTCATTTCCTGCTTCAAACTGCCATATGGGCACAGTTATACTCAAAAGAAGATACAGAAAGCTATTGTTTATTTATTTTTAAGATTTTAAGACCAAGACTGTCATCAACCAGTTCATAAATTCTCTTTACAGTGGGATTTTGATACTGTGATGGTTTGATTACACAATGTGAAGTATGCTTAAAATGGTGTTTCAGACCAAATGGTATCATTTGTTAGATTTACTTGCCATTTGTAATGAATGTTACTTACAAAAGGAATCCAGAAAGCCATGCCCCAGCCCTTTGGGAGACAGATATCCCAGCCACTCCCCCATCCTGGTCGATCTTCTCCAGCCATTTTTCCTGGCTGCTGCACCAACAGTATAGGAATTTTAGATTCACAAGGACCCAAATCAAGCTGAGATCCAGGTACCAGTAACTGGGCTCTCATTTTGTTTAATTCCTAAGAAGGAGAATTTCCCATAAGTTAGTAAGCTTTTCCCCTTTTCCGCATATCCTTCCAACAGTAACACTCTACACTTTTGAACTGACTTTCATTGAGGCATGAAAAAAAAAAACCTTTAGAAAAAGCACTTCAGAACCCTTCGCCTCCCATCCCTTTAAATTTCCATTGTCCTTGATGGAGGGAAGGTACTGGAACATCAAGTCCAAAGATGTACAGATGATGAAAAAAAGTAATCATTCCAACTTGGTATTTATAGACCTGTGCACAAGACTGTACTGAGCACATGCTTTCAGACAGTCTGTCAATACAAAGGGAAAATCCAAACTATATCCAGGTAGATGAAAAGAGTATTTTGTCATGAATCAATTTCACAGAAAGCATGCAGGTACCAAGGCTTTGTCAATCATCAGTTGTTGCATTTCATTGTACTGCATTACAAATACATGCATGGGGAAAAACAAAACAAAACAAAAAAAACCCAGAACACCAGACTGCAACTGCAGATGTCTCTTCATGTCTCTTTTACACCAGTTGTTCTGTAAGCTAAATTATATATTTCACAAGAGGAAGAACGTATGAAGATTGTTATTCATTACTGTAATATTGAGGAAGTATTCTGCTTTTTTTACACTATGACAGACAGTTTGAAAGAGCACAAAACCAATTTGCAGCAAGAGAGCATTTCGAGAAATGTTTCTGCCACACAAACATTTTCTCCTTGATTACAATGATGTCAAAAGTTTATCACCTCTAGAGGCAAAATTACCTTTTTGCCAGTATATTTGTGGGTTGTCCCTCCATTGCCAATGTAAATGTCAAATTTTGAATCTGCAGAAGTGCACTTCAAACTGTCAACAAATCACAGATGTCTAGAATGACCACAACAGTGTACTGCAGTTCAGAACCAGAGGGATCTACTCTGTCTCATCTTTTTCTTGTCAGGAGAATTCTCTTGATTATGATTGAGGAGTAAATGGACAGGGCATCTCGGTGGCACTTCATCCCTTTTAAGTGCTATGTGAGTCAAAGTGATGCAGGAAAACCCAATTTCAAATCTCTCAGAAAAATAAAACCACAATTATTTAGTTCAGTGGACAATCCAGTAAAGCTTTCTTTTAACTGGATACTAAGAACTGCTATACAAGAGTATCACATAAAGGCTACAGAACGGACACTTCAACTCAGTCGTGTGCTAATACTACATTAGGAGACTGCTGCTCTTGCATTTATACAAGTTTCAAGATTTTCACTATATGGACCATTAGCCATTTTCTCCATGGCAATCCACCTCATCAGTTACCTGCTCTGAGATTTTATTTTCAGTGACGTTCTTACAGATGTCCTGGTCCCAGATAAAGCTGTGAGCACACTCAGCAGGTACACCCTCCAGGTACAGCTGCCTAACTTTATCATTATCTACAAAAGAAGAGAACCTTCAAACAAAACTCAAATTTTCAAAACCCCTAATGAGCACAATGAGCAAACTAAATGAGTTAAGAACACAGACTATTTAAAATGTGATCATGGAATGTCTTACCTTAACATATGTTTTTCCAAATACAAAGCATGAGATAAACTACCAGTTACTTTTAGAAGGATTAACCTGGCATTCCCACACAGACAGACAGGTGTTTCTTAGTAAACATGACATCACCTTTGGCAATGCAAGTTTTAATGCCATTGTTAATATTCTGGACTTGGACCTGTCAGGAAAAGTATTAAGTTCACCAACTTTGGTAAAAATCATAAAGAACAACTTTTCAAAGCTTGGACTAAGTCTACCTAAGCAAACTTACAGGACAAATAAAGATGCCCTTTAAAAAATGCACAGACAAGAAACATTTCTATGGGTATGACTACCATGCAACACTTACTTAGCACTAACTTCCCACTCTCTGGATTTTTTCAGGCTTTGCAGTACAAGGAAGACATGTATTGTGTAAGTTTGCACAGTCCAACAACTGTGTGCTTGCTGAAGATGAGTAAGACTTCCAGCTTTAAAACTCATCAATAGGGCATTAAAACTAATTCTGCTTCAACTCCTCAGTTCAAACAAAATAAAGAAAACATATACCTACCTTTTGTACTCTGTGGATTAAAAGCATTCAGCATTCAGTACCTAGCATGCAATATCAATGCATATCAATCCATGTTTTAAGTAAAATAAACTTCACAAATAAAAAACTACAACGAAGCTGTTAATATTTCTGTGGCTAAAACTTACAGGGACTGCTTTGTCATCTAAGTGGTCTTGCATGTTAGAGGAACACAATATTTCTTGCTTGTTTTTAAATAACAATCTTTTGAATGAACTCAGGTAATTTTTCTCAGTTAGCATGGACAAAGAATTGCAGTACAGAAGATATGAATTATTAAGTTGTCCTAGCAATAGGATAGGTACTGCCAAACATAATTGCAATAATGTTTGTAACCATTTGTATATGATTTAAAGTTGTCCATCCTACAAGTTGTAAAACCCTCAGAAACATTACATGTAGCAGCTTTCCTGAGTTTGACAGTGCTATTAAGATGACACCTGCTAAGCATTCTTGTTTAAAGAACATACGTTCCTTAGAATTCCTATACTGCAGAGCATGAGTATTTTTCTTCCACTTTAAAGAGCCCTTTAATGCCTGTCTCTTTCCATTCCCACAGCCCACCCAATGTTCTCCTCACCCTAAAATCTCTAACGTCGTACACTGTTTTTCTTTCATTCACATTCAACCTGGAGAATTTTACCTCTCTACAAAACATACTCCAATTCAAACTGCTGCCCTTTCATTTTCTTTAGTTCACCTTCAAAGAATGCTGGGGAAATAAACCTACTGATGAGTAAGTTGCTAATGATGCAGCAAATAAGATGCTACAGCTAGTACAGGAAACACTAAGCACACAAACTACTGTGCCTATTACTATGCACACAGAAGTCAGCAAGAACCATCATATTACCTACTTCTGTTGATGCCAATGGCTGGTGCTCAGGAAACACAGGGAAAGAAAAGAAGGTTTCATTCTGTTTCCAACAGTTGTTCTGAGATTACCTTAGCAGTGCTAAAAGACAGGCCTAAGATTAAGAGTGCATCTGTTTGAATTTTTTCCATCCCTCTCTGAGGAGCAGCAGTAGCAGAAGCAGAAACATAAACACCATTAGGGAGTAGTTTCAGAGCATGTATGCAGGTAGCACCAGAAGAGCCAATGTAAGAGGCCAGATATGCAAACTTCTGCAAGAATGTGTTTACTGGCAAAGACTCAGGCTCTGTGTTTGCAGAAGGAACTTTAGCTCACCTGTCTTTCATGATGCATTCTCCTCTGCATTTAATTCACTGACTGTTTAGAGGTTCCTACAGACCCCATGTTGAGCAGTAAAACGTGCTAAGACAGTAGCAGCAAACCAAAACAACAGAAGAGGACTTTAAAAGGAGAGAAGACTAATGCTAATTTGCAATCGTGTAAGCACTGACCACTCCAGAAGGCATAAGCTGCTAAAAAGGCAGTAAACAGCGATTTACTCATAAACTCTCTATCTTGCAGCCTAAAGAAATTAGGACAGCTCTGGGTTAAATTCCCATCAGCACGTGCCCTTTGTGCATATGCATTCGGGAGTACGCCTAAGTGGGAAAGACTGAAATGTCTTCTGATTTCATAACACATCATCCACAGAGGGAAAAAGTACACAAATGTATTTTACAATGTTCAGAAAAAAACAAGGAGGATGGAGGAAATAGATTTCATTTCATAGATTTCATGTATGACAACCCACAGGCTAAGAAGGCTGTAACTTACCTAAACCACTTGCACATTTGACAAATAATGCGTCTTCAAAGTAAACATATGTTAAGAAAAGCAATTAACTTCTACATAACATTAAAAAATAAGAGAGATTAAAACAAATATGGGATCTGCTAAGATAAGCAGTACCATTTCAAACTTAACATTAATACCAATAGTATTTGAATAACCAAGAAACAAAAAAGGGAAAAACATTACATACAGCAAGAATGAAGGACCAGTCACATTACTCACACAAAGATCATCTTGTCATACTACCACAACTGAGTAAGGTTACATTAAAACCAGGATTCAGAAAGTTTATGTAATTCTAGTGCTCACAAAATGATTTGCTCAAGGGGAAAATTAAAACCAACTCAGTGAAATTACAGACCTCATCTTCCGTCAGGGGACCAACTATCTAGAAGAGAAACCTAACTTTCTTTGTGGGTGTTATTGTGGAAACATTGGTAGTACTGCTGCTGTACTAACATATACAACTTGCCAATATTAAATTCCTTTTTTTCTTTTTTTTGGTTAAAACAAACTGCCCTTCATACATTTGAAGAATTCCTTTCCTGGTATCTACTGGGCAAAAGAACCAACGGAACCAGACAGAACCGGATGTAAAAAATGATGGTAAAACTGCTAAACTGAATTAGAATATCTCTGGTAATGTGTTGCTTTTGATGAAATTCTTGCTGGATATTCTAATAATCTGACATCAATAGAGTCAATAATAGAGTGCTATGGAGGAATGCAACACTAAGATCAGTGTGTAGTATTGTCATTCCAGACATTCATCGGGAGCCTACAGAGAGGAGGGGAATCAACTCTTTGAAAGGGTTGATATGTGTAGGACGAGGGGAAATGGTTTTAAGTTGAGGGAGGGGAGATTTAGGTTGGATGTCAGGGGGAAATCCTTTACCCAGAGAGTGGTGAGGTGCTGGAACAGGCTGCCCAGAGAGGTTGTGGATGCCCCATCCCTGGAGGTGTTCAAGGCCAGGTTGGATGGGGCCCTGGACAGCCTGGTCTAGCATTAAATGGGGAGGCTGGTGGCCCTGCATGTGGCAGGGTAGTTGGAGATTCATGATCCTTGAGGTCCCTTCCAACCCTGGCCATTCTGTGATTCTGTGATTCATGGCTTACATTCTTCACCTAGAGGTGATCTTTTTGCACAGAATGACCTTCAACAGCTTCTCCTCCATTTAACGAATGGATTTTTGATTGCCTGCAAAACTGCCAGGCAATCAAGTAGGTTGACAGGAAAAAAAATAAATAAATACAGTTGATTTATAGAGGCAGGGAAAATTGCAATAAGATCACATGACCTAACAAGATCACAAGCTGCACATACTTCCTTGTCCTGAAATAGAATACAGTGGGAAGAAATCGTAATGCTTGCATAGAGGGAACTGATCAGATTATATATCTATTCTGCCTTCTGTATGCATTTTGCACAGTAACTCATTACGCCTAGGCTTCCTTTTATTAATACTGATGCATCTTTTCTTTAAAAAACAATAAAAAAAACAGGAATCAAATGCAACTGAAAGCTTTCCCCAGCCTAGAAAATCACGTAAGGATGTGAATCCAATATGGATTGATTTTCTAGAAGTATTGGGAAAAAAAACAAAAAAAACCAAACAACTTCTCTCAACTACTTGAACAAATAAGCCTATTAAGGCGAGATATTGCACTGGTAGTAGCTGTCACAGTCAATTACAAAATTAAGATAGGAACAACAGGCTTGGGAGAGTAGTAATAGCTTCTCTCTTCAACACTAAGGAATATCAATGAGGCACAGAGAAGACTGGCAGTTACACCTCAGTTCTAAGGTTCCTAGATAAGAGAGATGAACTACCATGCCATAAGATTTCCCCACTATATAATGTAATAGGTACATAGGAGATTCTGAATAATCCTCTGAGTCTTCCCACACAGTATTAAGAAGTCACTCAGGTGGGAAATTACCTCCTTACTGCTCCTTGTAGAAAGACTATTCTTTTCTACTCTCTTACCACAACGCTCTTTTTATTTCCTGTTGGAAGGAAGCTGTATTATCCTTCACTCTTCTGCCTATTTCTAACTGATCTGACAGTGCTGCACTTGTGCAACACCAAGTCCTTTAGCAGAACTCAAATTAGAAGGCATTGTATGCAGTTTACATTTTCTTATTTGCTGTTCAAGGACTTTCTCCCTCACCTGAAGTCAGAAAAGGCAGATACAGTATTAAGTTTATGATAAAAGAAAAAAACAAAATAAAACACCAACTCAACTCAGAAAGGAACCAGAAAGCAAAACCAGCTTAGCTTTTCTGACTATGTGGTTTACAAGATTTCTTGCAAGCTGAAGGATAACCACAAACAGAAAGATTTGGAGATGGCTGTTTTTAGCAAATCAAAATACAAAAGGTGTAAGTAACTTCTTTCCCTTGACTCCCTGTCATACATTATTACCTCTCTATCACAGCCCTACATCGTGGGGGAGGATCACCTTTGCCAGAGGGAGAAAAACTACTACATGGCATTTCAACGCTTAGAAGACTTCAGCTCATCTCACCTCCTTGAACATATTTTCACAGACATGACAAGCAAAATGAATGGTGACTAATTACTTGTTTTGGTTGCTAACTCCTTTAACAGATCAAACCAGTCTCTGTAAACGAGTGCTATGTAGCTCACCTTACTCCTCAGCAGGAAGGAACCAAAGCAGAGGTCACATATGCAACATTTCCAACATGAATATTCATGACAAGAAAGTAACTGAGCAGAAATGATAATAAACAGGACAGAAGCTGTTTCACAAAGAAAGGTGGGAATAGGAAGACATAAGGAAGTCTGAATAGGAAGAGTTGGTAAGATGGCAACTAAAATCAGTGTTCAACTTGGTTTAAACAAAAGATAAGGGTGTATTATTCTACTATCTTGGAAATACGCAACCAAAGAAACTTCACTTGTCTTGTTTGCTACCTGGCTATTCTGCTTCTCATACTACGTTAGGCAGCCTACGTCCAATCAACCTAAATGTAAATGCATACACTGCACTGTACAGAAATCCCATTTTATTTGTTCTTGCATATTTTTCAAGGAAGTTCAAATCCAACTGATCTTGTATTTTGCACTGAAATGAAAGTCTAAAGTCACTTACGCATCTCCTAGCAATCTAAAATACTAATTTTGCATTTCCCTACAGAGAAATTGCAACATTCAAATACTATAAACCAAACTCTAGAACTGTTTTTGGAGAGAAGAATAGCACCTGGAAGACAACATACCAAATAGAAAGTCACTGAGCAGCTTTTAGCACCTGGTTGGCCTTGCCAGGATTCGAACCTGGATCATCTGTATGGTCAGACAGAGGCTTCCACTGAGCACAAGACCAGCTATGGTGCATGTCCCTCCCTCTCAATTGCTGTTCTAAAACATAGGCAACCTGCGCAATTTTAAGCCTGTTTCTGCTACGACGAGGTATGGGGAAAGAAGAAGGAAACTTCTGAAACCCAATGCTAGAGGAAAACAACAAGAAAAAAAAAAAAAAAAGCAGTGGAAAAGGACAGTAAGTGAAAACAGAAGTGCAGAGAGAAACTGAACTTCATGCCTTTGGCAGTTCCATGCAAGCACAATGTAAGCAAAGCTTTTTACCTTGGTATTTTTCCGGATCTGGAATGGCTTTTGTCTTTTTTTTTGGCAGATTTACTCGAGGATCTCCAACAGTGAGGCCCAGTACTGTACCTGGTGGCATTTCTGATGGTGAACTTATCCCTTTAAAAACACACAAATGAACACTGCCATGAAACCACGAATAAAACTGTGATTACTTTTTTCTGCACTGTTATTCTGTACGTTTTGGCCTGCAGCGATGTGACACCACTGTAAGCCAGAGTAGCAATTCAGAGTACCCGATTCAATATGTTTTGAAAACTCACCAGTGCTTGTTAAAGAAATTTGAAACAAAATTTTTAAAGTTTTACCTCATCTCTGCTTAACAGCCTCATACTGGATAGCTTGAATATAGTTTGAGATTTACCAGTCAGCTCCTTACCTGTTTCAGTGCTAGAAATGAAATGTTTATAAAGACAAGAAACAAAACGGAATATATCTGTTAAGAGTTTGGCCTTCAAAAAGGACTAAAGCTCCATTAAAAAAACAAAAAGTAATGTTTCTCAAGTCTTTGACATGCCACAGTAATTACTTAAGTATACGCTCAAGGGCATCACTCTCTTGATCAAACACAAACTATGCCTTACCAAACTGAAGCCAACTCAGTTGCATGCCAGTTCTGACCACTAGAACTTAAGTTTCCCCTTCCTCCCCTATTGCCCATGCCCAAATACCTTCTAAGAGCTCAAAGATAGCTGTTTGACGATGATGAAGAGATACTTTTTCAGAGACCTTGCAGTTTTCTACCCACCAGTTATTCAGTTTCGACTGTGAATCCACCATCTCCTGGAAAACAACATAATCTAATTAACTCAAGCAGTAATTCAGTAACTTCTAATCATATGAATTCAGTCTGTTCACCTTAATCACTATGGTTGCTTCCTTCAAGTTTCAAATCAAAACCATTTTTTCCTGATGAAGCTTATTCCTACATTTCACTTTACAGTACTCTCCAATAAGCATATTCAGTTTGTATCCCAAAAGTAAACAAAGCAATCCACAATTCTTCCTAACTCTGCAATCAATGACTTTATAGAAAACCAGAGACTTCATGGCCTCCTCAAGTTTGCTGCAAGAAATGCACAAAAAAACCCCACACCCATTAAAACTACACTGATGGAATGTGCTAAGAGGTGGATAGAACACTAAATCCTAGAGAAAGTATGTATTTGATTTAACACACAAATGTTTTCTATACCTTTTATGTCTTGCCCTATAGGGTCCTCTAGCTCGCTGAATGAAAAATATAATATGGTTTCCAAAAAGTACAAATTATTTTTGACCTCTCAATACATCACTGTAGCAAAACCCTTAGAGCCTTAATAGTATCATAGCTTCTATTTTCTTTCTACCCACACCAGAAATCCAGATACAAACTCTTCTTGAGGTCAGCATTAATCAAGAGGCTCACTATAGAGAAGCTAACAGAGTAGAAATATATAGGTTAACCTTTCATAATTAATGTGCTTAATGATTCTTTCTAGCAAGAAGTTTGCACGCTCTAGAATGCTGATATAAATTACAGTAATATCCATCAGGCCATTGTCCTTACTGTTTGGATAGAAGCAGCTTTCAGGGTCTCTGTAAGGACGGAGTGTGATAATGGGCCAATCAGTCGATATCTGAGAATCTCCATTGTTTGATCCCTGCAAGAGAGGGAAGTTTCAGGTGAGTGTACAATTGTACAGCACACAGTTTTCTGTTATGCTATGATCCAGCTACGTTAACAGGTTAAGGGTCACAGTTCCTAACTCTACTATGAACAAACCTGATCACAATGCCAGTAATTTGTGAGACCCAGGAGTAGGACTGGAATGGGTCTCTAGTGCCATCACCAATTATTTTCTTCACTGGCACAGCTTTATCTCCTTCTTTGTCCTCTTTCTTTCTTTTTTTGCCAAGGCTCTGAACAAGATCCATTTGTTCTTCCTCTTGAGTTAGTGTTGCAATTGGCTCAGGAATACAGATCTCCTCAGGCTCTGAACACTGAAAAACTGCTTTCAACTCATTCAGTACGTCCTAAAGAAAAGTGAAAAGTTTGGATTAAGAAAGTAAGCAGTCCAGTTTTATGAGTTAAATTCTAGTGGTTTTGTTTTTCATTTTGGATTATAGGGAATGACCTTCACTCTGTTTAAATCCATGGAGAGCACTGTCACATGCTGAAAGTAATACTGCTGCTAGGGACTTACTGTCACTCAAATTAATGGAAGAAAAAAAAGTGCGCTTGCAATTTAAGTTTAGATTATGACTACTTGTGATGACAGGGACCAAACAGCCTGTCACGGATGGCAGTGGGAAGGAAGCAAAACAGGCACCAACATATTGTGAACAAATCCTCCAAAAAGCGGCAGTAGAAAATTTTTAACAAGCTCACACAAAATACTTCAGTTGCATGCACATTCTGCACAATTTCAATAAGAACAAGACGCAGACAGAAATAGAGTGGAAACCTTTCAGAAGGTACCTGCAGCATAAGAGACAATGCATGAAGAAATTTGAGTTCAACTCTAAAAAGCAGGATACCTGCTTGAGAGCTGGATGCATCCAAATCCATAACTGTCTGTTTTCAGACCCACACCTTGGTTTCCAAATGAATGTAACAGGACCAAGCATGTCCTCAGGATAGCGATCTGCTCGGTAAAGATTCAAGGAACCTTCAAGTCTTCCAGACAGACAACTGGCTGCTCCAAATGTTAATCCTGAAGAAGAAGATGCTTATTGAAAAAACAAAATAACTTCTTATTTAAAAAATAAAAAAATTTAAGAGCCACTGCCATGATGGCACAGCACCACAGGGTGAGCACAGTCCTGGTTCACATGCAATTGGCAGGTTGAACATCTCTGCTTCAGACTATTCAAAAACTTAACCCTACTTCAAACTAGTTAAATCCTTACCTGCATCAACACTACATATTCGAGCAAGTTGTCTCAGAAGCTCATTCTCTTTACCAGTCAACTCCAGACAACAATAATATGATAAATCCTGAAACAAAAGGACAGTGGAAAAGTGAGAACTCTTGAAAGTGAACCTGGCAAGGAGGAGTCAACACAGAGCTTCATAATTTACAATTAAATTTTAGTAAATGAAAAACAACTGCTTGAGTCAAAGAGAAAACATTATTATTGTTATTTTTTAATTAAAGTTTTTTGCTGTAGGACAGCTGTCAGGCATTTCTCATTTGGAGAACAACCTGCCCCTTGAATAAGTAGACCAGAGAGGCTACACAACAAAGTGTCTGCCTTTGGTAGCATCCTTCTCAGCAAGAAGATGCAGGAATTCACTGAATCTCTTAGCTCCTATGGCTGACGATGAAGTATTTCAGCTACAGATACCTTTTTAATACATAAAACTCTTCTTATTCTCTCTGATACTGTCCACCTCTCACAACACTCATGAAATTACTCATTTATCACAGAATCGTTTGAGTTGGAAGGGACCCTTAAAGGTCATCTGGTCCAAATCCCCTGCAGTGAGCAAGGACACCTACTCAGGTCTACCTAAAACCTTCTCCAGGCTGAACAGCCCCAGCTCTCTCAGCAAAAGATATTCCACCCCTAGGACCACTGCTGTGGCCCTCCTCTGGATGCTCTCTAACAGGTCTATGTCTCTCCTGTACCGAAGTCTCCACATCTGGACAGTATAGTCCAGATGAGGTCTCACCAGCACAGAGTAGAGAGGCAGGGTCACCTTCCTCACCTTGCTTTCATAGCTAGCACTTATTAACAGCTGACACAACATTGCTTCAAAGAGACAGAAACATTCATTAGAACTGAAGAGCTGATTACTTCACCTTAGTAAAAGAACAAGGAAAATGCAAATGTGATACCTGGAGAAGGCAGTGATTTGTCATGGCTCGGTAACAAGCCCTGTAGCACTTCTCTGTAGGGCTGTTTCCTAAACAGTATCCCCATTTCTTTACCATATGAAATCTCTTTGCATGCCAAATATGTGTTTCCAGCCAAATATTTTTCCTTTGCCTGCGATTAAACTCTGCTACCAAATTTACGTGGCGTCTTCGGGCTTTGCGGCATTTAGTCTTGGACTGCTCTTTCTTCTGATGTACAACTTTCTCAGCCTGTTTTCAAAAAAGAAAACACTGAAGTAAATCTCAAAAGGAAAAACCTCTTTTGAGGAAAAAGGTTAGCATATATAAGGATACAGGAAGTACTAGCATAATTTATGCTTTATTTTTATGTTAGCTCTCCATGGCTCTCTCTGGACTGAGGATAATAAATAGATGGAAAGAGTATATGCAAGTCCCATCCACACAACTCTACCAAAGGTTAACTTGAACCCATAAACCAGAGTTCTCAGACATTCAGAAACGTACCAGTGAACTGTAAGAACTGCTGCTTTCGTGTGTAAAGCTTTTGTTCAACATCAGCATATTCCTATGAACCAATGAACCAACATCAGGAGAACCTGAAGATGTGAGCTCATACAGAAGCAGCACAGACTCTAAGACTGGCAGATGAGACTGAAGGATACTTACAGTATTTACAGTGTGTAGAAGCCAATATGGTGATGTCAGACAAACTCCCTGATAAAGACCTGATCAAGAATAGAATTACTAAGGGTGAATGGCTGAAGAGGAAGGCTTGTCTCTCAAGGTTTGACTTGTCTTTTTGAGAAAGGGCAGAAAACCCTACTTTTTAGGATGTCCTCTGGGGCCTCACAAAGAAATGGTTGACAGTAGATCACTGGTTTTAAGAATTAGAGTAGAAGAATTAGAACTAGGAGTTAGAACTAGAATTAGAACTGGTTACAAGAATGAGAATGCTAGATCACTGCCAAGCAAAGTAAACATGGAAACAAACCACGATGTAAAGACAGATGTGCACAAAATAATTTTAAAAGTTCCAAGTCACAATCAGAATAATCATTCCACTATAGATCAGGCAATATAAGCCACCAGGTAAATGGTACATAAGTGTGAAGAAAGGCGATCAGAGAAAAAAGGGATGTGGTAACGTGGACAAAAAAAATGTATCTGTCTTCAAGCTTGTGAAGAAGTAAGAGACAGTCGTGGTAAATTTTTGCATCAATATGGTCATATTCAAGGATCTAAGAAAAGGAAGAAAGCACAACAGAACCAGAACAGTCAACTTTGAAGAAACAGACTTCAAACACTGAAAACTAATGGGCTGAACCTATAAAAAAGGAAACAGCTCAGGAGACACAGAGCTCTAAGAAAGCACGAAACAAAACATCCTACATAAAAACACAGTCTTCAAAAAGAGAACCAAAGAGAGAAAACGTGGTTGAAGTAAAACAGTTGCAGCAGGGACCGTTATAGCACCCCAAAAATCCAAGAATCATGCAAAAGTTAAAGCAAGGACTTATCAATGTGAGCACACACACAGAAGTTGGAAATACTATCACGGGAAAGTAGTTAAAAAAGCAGAACACAAATGGATCAAATACAAACATGAAAGAAATCTAAGTTATTTAACAAGGGCAGAGAGTAAACTATGCAAAACAGCCCATGCTGCCTTCCTCCTGAAGAAGGTGCTGTGGATCATCATGACTAACAAATCAAATAGAATGCCTATTGGAGCAATAAAAGCAGACATGCAGGTTATGAAGATCCAATAAACCACACCCTTAGACACACGTGCAGAAGTACTTGATGCAATTTCTGAATCTTCAGGAACTTGAGGAAGAAGGGGCAAGTTTTCAGAGAATTCAAAAAAGGTAAAGCAAGAGGGAAAAAGAATACAAGAAATATGTAAATGAATCAACCTTAATAAGCAGAAAACTTACCAAGCAAATTCAACTGATCACTTTAAGTGTCCAGAGAAAGCAATGAATGCCAAGCATCAGGCAACCACCTTGTAGAGAAAAGCCACTGAACCTTTTCTTTTTTTTTTTTTTTTTAAACACATAGAAATGCCAGGGCATATAAGCAGTAAGTAAATACATAGAAGCATTCTGGCTAAATGATAAGATGCTACTCCAAAATGAGTTTCATGACCAACCAGGAATGGTCTTAAGCTGTATGCAACCTGTCAGCTACTCCACTGTGCTCACCCTGTCTGAGCTATACTCTGCCAGTTATGAACAAGTTGTGTTGGCTTGAGTCCTGCAAAGTCACAGCTCAAAGCAGTGGTGAGCTGCAAGATAGGCAGGTGTTACTGAGGACTCCTACATCACCTGAGACCTTGATACACTACCCAAACAAATGCTCCTGCAGTAGGGGATTTTATCATCATTAGCCCAGTAACTTTTCAAGACATGCAATAATCATGAAGCGAAGAGATAATTGTCAACTACTCTGAGATCTATTAAAATGTAGGTTTTGCATCCAAATGTCAGCCCAAGTTTGTGAGCCTCTGTATATAGGGAAGCTTTGCAGTCAAGCTCAGCTCTCAACAGTAATAAATGCACAGCTGAGCACTGCACAATATCTACGTCCACTGTATAGCTCATCAACTATCATAAAATGCACTTATACCTCTTTTCTGGCAACCTCTTGCAGCCGCCTGGGCAGGCGCTTAATATTGTGACTCATAGCTCGCCTTCGCATGTGCCTGGGCAGAGTCTGGAAGACTAGAGAGTTGGAAGATTTCTGTGCAACTGCTTTCAGCATGGCTTTGATCTCAGCAGCACGAGCTTGAGCAAAGGTAGACACTGGAATGAAAAGAACTCCATCAGAGCACGGCAAACAGCAAAGATAAAAAAAAAAAGGGACAGTGTACATACATTAGTGAACTCCAGCAGTGCACCAGTCTAATAACTTCCAGAGATAAAACCAAGGTATCCTCTACTGCCTCTTATGGATGTAATTTCTGTTCTTCAGATATCCTGAAGCCTACCAATATGTAATGGCAAATACTGAAAGCTGAGGTATAACCAACAAGTTCTACTTGCACAAAGTGCTTCTTTACTATGGCAGCAATGTTTGCATGTATTATTGAGACAGATGGAAAAACTTAATCATGGACAAAACAGGAAGCAATGATGATACTACATACAGTTTTAAAATGATCAAACAAAGAAGTCAGAGGTTGATTTTGTTTAATACTTATGGAAGTGTACTCATTATCATAGCACTACCATAATTTGGAAAACTAATTTGCCTCTTTGCTTTCCTAAACAAACGTTCTGTTAGAAGTTCCTTTAACTCACAACATGAGCATAAACAGTTCCACTGACTACATTAAAAACAGATGGCTGTCAGTGTTCATTTTACTGGTAAACCAAAACCCAAATGCATACCCCTCGTTATAAGGAGTGCAATTTTTCAACTCAGAAGTCTGAAAGGACTCACTGAACAATAGCTGGTAATTCATTTTAGAGCACAAACTTTTCTTTATTTTGTAGAAAATCAGGAAAAACAAAAGACAACACATGTTCACCAAAACATCCTTCTGATTTTTGCTACTGCACAAAATCTAAGACGGACAACAAGCAATTTCTAGCAAGTTGTCCTGGAAACTATGACCTTTTATTATACATACAAACCTGTTATGAATCTAGGCAGTTCTTCAGAAGAACTCTGATGCTCTCCCTGCCATCCTCCCCTTCCTCTGCCTCTCGAGTCTCCTCTATTTTGGTCTTTCCTGTAGGGAGGCCCAGGTGACGGATGCAAAAATTTCTGCTGTTGATACTGCTGCTCAGAACGAACATCTCCTGAAGGATGTAGAAACAAACACAGATAGCAGACATACAAAGTCATCCGGGTACTGGATTGTAAACATAGCTTTATTAAGATTGCATCGGACATTCTTCTGACTATTTAACATATATAACTGAAAATAAGTTATTTTTCATTAAAATTAAAAAAAAAAAAAAAAACAAACCTGCAGCAAGCCAGCAGCAGATCCATGTGCTTTTGCACATTTTGAAAACAGTACCCAATCCATACCTCCCATACTCCATTAAGCCCAAAGGGAAAGACCTGACCAATATAAACATATTACAAAGCATATAAACGGGAGGCCGAATGGCTATTTACAAGGGTAGACAGTGATAGGACAAGGGGAAACATTTTTTAAACTGAGATAGGGGAGGTTTAGGTTAGATATTAGGAGGAAGTTTTTCACACAGAGGGTGGCGACACACTGGAACAGGTTGCCCAAGGAGGCTGTGGATGCCCCATCCCTGGAGGCATTCAAGGCCAGGCTGGATGTGGCTCTGGGCAGCCTGGTCTGCTGGTTGGTGACCCTGCACATAGCAGGGGGTTGAAACCGGATGATCATTGTGGTCCTTTTTAACCCAGGCCATTCTGTGATGATTCTGTGATCAAAATCAGCCTACATGACTGCCATCAGCAGCGACTCTTACTGTTGTCTAGTCAGAGCAAAACTTTCCCCTCTTTCTCTTATTTTTTTCTCCCATAACTTTAGCTAGTTTTTGTCTTTCTGTCTTCAGTAAAGTCACACGCATTTCTGTTGCAGTAATAAAGTAAGCACGGACACGTATGTTGGTGCAGTTACAGTATGCATTTCCTGGTACAGGCAGCTAAATCAGTATCAAAATTAAGCAACAGATACCTAATCACAGAATCACAGAATGGCCCGGGTTGGAAGGACCTCAAGGATCTCCAACCGCCTGCCACAGGCAGGGCCACCAACCTCTACAGCAGGCTGAGTTCCTGGGTTGCATTCAGATAGCTGCGGCCAACGGCTCCGTATCCCGGAGGAGAGGCCGTACCTGGGGCCGAGCAGGCCCTGTTGCCGCCGCCGCCGCCGGGAAAGGACCCCGGCTCGGCAGGGAGCGTGACGCTGGCCGGCTGGTTCCTCATCTTCCTGGCTCGCTTCTTCTCCCTCGCCGCGGACATCTCGGCTGGGATACGGCGCTCAGGTGAACCGTCCCGCACTCCCTCCGACGGGCCTACAGCGCTGCAGGCGATGCGCGGCGCCCCGACCTCGCGCTACACGCGGCCTCCCGAACCCCGGCGGCGCATGGGCGCCGCGCAGCCGCACCCAGCAGGCCTACATTGCCCAGAACGCACCGCGGCAGGCGGGCACCATTGGAGGCGGGCGGGAAGGGGTGGTGTTTAGGAGCGCGGGAGGGGTGGGCAGTTGGAGCGTGAGGGTGGTTGTCGGCATGGCTGCTGTGGTGAGGAAAATCATCAGCACCGCTAAGGCTCCCATGCCGGTGGGTGCCTACAGGTACGGCCCGGGCGGGAGAGGTTTGTTGGAGGTCTATGGTCTGTGATTGGTGGTGCAGTGAGGCGTCCGTCGTGTGTGATAACAGAGGAGTTTTGCGTTGCCGTGTCTTTGAGAAGCGTGGAAGGTTTCTGTGTAAGCACGGGGGGGGGCACCGGAGTGCTTTCTTGAGGCTTTTAATAGTGGGCTTAGGCTTCGTTTTCCTGTTATAAATGCAGCCTCCTCAGTTCTGATTTTTCCACCTGTGGCACTTTAAAGCCTTACAAAAGCGTTTTTGTTCCCATCACTTGGAAGTGAAACTTTCTGAACTTCAAACCTGCTGTTCGTTGCTCTCTCTGTCTTTGTAATTCCGGTGAGGTGTAGGAGCATAGAAAATCCCATCACTGTAAGGGTGCCTTCTGCCAACAGCAGACTGCTGGTGGGTTGCAGCCAGGGCTTGGTATTGCCTGTGGGTAGGAGAACGTCCAAGATGTGGAAAGTGAGGGTTCTTCACATGCACCAACTGGCTTAACCTTTAACGTAGCCTTCTGCTATAGATTAACTCCCATGTCCTGTGCTTACTGGTAGTTCTTGATGAAATGCTGCTTACTGTGCAGCCTGTTGTTGAACTCGCAGAGCTAACATCAGTTAAGTTAGTGGTAAGCTTAGTGGTCACGTTCCAGTATGCTTTTCAAAGTCCACTGAGCAAAAAAATTGCGTAAGAAATAAGTGCTACATCTCAGTTCTGAGCATGGGGCTCAGTGAGGGCTTAATAAGGATGGGAGAAGTGCTGCATTCCTGGTTTTGCTACAACCCTTCCGTGTGCTATTTCTACCCTATTTTGCACTTTCTTTACTAAACTCCTCCGATTTCCAGTAATTTTATATGTGTGTGTATGCATCTGTGCATGCACTTTTAAAAAGGTGTGACAGATGCTGTACTTGTGTTAATAACTCTTTGTGTAAAGGAAGTCTGATTAACTTTTCCCCTTTATCGTCACTGAAGAGCCTGTTTCTCGATGCCATCTGTCTGAAGGGGACGGTGTTGTTTTTGACGGTCGTAACATCCATATAGCTTTGCACACATTGTGTGACATGCACTTAACTACTCCTTATGATTCCAGCAGAGATGCACAATTGAGCCTCGTTGTAGGGATACATCTGCAGCTAAAGTTTGATCCCAGCTTTTGTGCTTGGAGTTTCTGAGAACTTGGCTAATGCCTTAGAATGCAGCAGGAGTATATTCTTTAGTTAGTGAGTTGTTGAAAGTGACAGTGAGTGGGGGATTCCATGGTAACCATACAAGGAGAAGGAAGTCAAAGAACAGAGAAGAAGGCTCAAGATTGCTGAAAATGCTGATCTGGCACTGGAAGGCTTCATTGTGCTTCTCCCTCTGCCTTCCCCACAGTTACTCATGATTTGTTATTTTCCAAAGCTTCATTAGGATAAGCACATATGTTGTCATTTGCTTTATGATAAGCAGTATAAAACAATCTCATTTTTCCAGAGAGCTCAGAATGCTAACAACTTGTTGCAAGGCTCCCTATACGTTCAATAGAAACATGAGTTGTCATCTGATGGCTTATGCCTCAAAGTATGACATGCTAGAAAAGAAAACTGAAGAATATATTTTGTGTTCATATGTACATTTCCTGTCAATGAGACTGAGCAATTAAGAGATTTAATGAAGTGTTTGTTAAAGAGTGGCTTTCTTTCAACAGTGATGCTGAAGTGGAGCTAAGATTCTAATTTAGATACATCAGGGAGGAATTTAACCCCAGTGTGTGCAATTTCAGAGGCTTGCTCAACTGTTAGAGAAATGTATTTTCTTATTGGATGGCAAGAGATAAGAAAGGTTATGTTGACACACCACAAACACTTTGAAAAGAGGCTTTCTCTAATTCCTTTGCAAAATACTTCTACCATCTGATGAGATGTATGTTATGTCTCTTGCATAATATTTACTAGGTGGTTAAAGTCTTTGTTTTAATCTTTTAATCTGTTTGTAGCAATTGTTGACATCTCTAAGTCTTCTTTAGCAAAAGCACACTTGATGTACATGTGAAAAATAGCTTGGATTCTTCATCTGCTGAAGTAACCCAGGTCATCCAGGTTAGCTGGCAAGAGGAGAGCCACTGTTCTGGGAATGGAATTGTGCTAACTGGCCACATTCATACTAGTGGAGAAATATTGCCAGAGAATGTTTGTGAGGCTTCATATTGCAGCTCATAACTCATTTATGGTGCCTGTATGAGAATAAAATGCTGACTGTAGTGATCAGCCTTCTTGATTTTTCTTTCTTTTATCTTATTGCACTGCAGCTGAGATGTAAGGTAGGCAGAGAAACACCTCTTAAGCTGGGGTATTTATTTGGGTAGATGCGAAGCTGCTCTGTCTCCCTCCCGTGCAGTCTGCAGCATGGAAAGTGTGGAGCGGTGTTTCATGTTGTGTTGCTGTGCTCAGGTCTTGCACCTTCTGGGGAATCAGTACTTATTATCTCAAGAACAGAGCTATGCTCGTGTAGTTGTGTGCTTTTACAATTGTGCCAGTCCCAGCTGAATCAAATATGTATGGATTGAATGCATGGCCCATGTATAAGCACTGTGGCTTAGTGATGAGACTCAGTTGGTCATGTTGATGTTTGGACTTGATATTAAAGATCTTTTCCAATTTAATTTATGATATAATATCTCAGAAAAAACAGATATTCTAAGTGCATTTCATATTTTCTGCAGCCAGGAGAGCATTTTTGGATAGTTAAATGGTTTGAGGAACCTTTCAATCTGAAATGTCATTTTTCTTTTCAGCCAAGCAGTGCTTGTAGACCGGACCATGTACATTGCAGGACAGATAGGTATAGAACCTTCCAGCGGGCAGCTTGTCTCTGGAGGTATAAGGGAAGAAGCTAAGCAGGTAAGATGTGCTCTAGCAGTAATCTTTTCTGCTATGTTAAATGTGGACTCATGAGAAATTGAGGAGACTTAGAGCATATTGCACGTCCTCCAAGGTGAGGTAGAAACGAGAAAAAATTCCTTCACTGTCATTTTTCATTCAAACAATCTGGAGGTCAGGGAAACATCTGCATGTCATACAAGAAGGAATTGATATTTTGAGTCACTGAATCTGTGCAAGACTTGTTTCCCCAGCAGAAGCTGTGTGGGGTAGTAGATAGGATGAGGTGAAGCTGTGTTGTTTTTGCATCTAATAAGTAAATGGTTTAGTATTAGTTTATTAAAAGTTACCTTTTACTAATACACTTGTTAATCTATTTTTGGTTTTGCTCTGACTGCTGAAGGCCTGCTGGGTGAGCTCAGTGTAAATGTAGCTAGGTTACAATTCATGTTTATTATTTGCCCATATACAGCCTAGATGATACATACAGATTCTGTCTCATTTCTCAACAGGTGTTTAAAAATTTGGGGGAAATTCTGAAAGCTGCAGGCTGTGACTTCAGCAACGGTAAGAGCTGACATGAAGGTAGCAAACAAGTTGTTATTCTTCACTTGGATTTTTTTTTTTTTTTAATAAATAGGCTGTTTACAAACATGCAATTGTTATCAATAGAAAGAGGAAAAGCATGGATGTGCAAGTCTTTGTGTGATGGGTGTCAGTGGGATGCTGCCTCTCTCCTGAAGCTTCTATCCATGATATTAACCATTATTAAGCATTAACCATTTATCCATGATATTAACACTTCAGTTCAAACTGAAGCAGCTTATGGATAGGTCAAACTACAACTGAAACTAGAAAGCTAGAGGCATTTTAAGCATCCTTTACTCCCGATAAAAACGGGTCCATGTCCGTGGCATTCACGTTACAGGCATGTTCAATATCTTCTTTTCTTTTGTGGCTGATTCTAATAATGGAGCCAAATTTGGAATTGGTATTGGCTTGGGCAGTCATGAGTTTAAAAATAAATAAATAATTCTTGCATAGATCATATCCTCAGATGTTTAATGGACTATTTGGGCAGCAGATATCATATGATATACTTCTTTTTGCCAACAGTTAATATACTAAAGCTTGTTTTAATCAATCTTCTTCACCTTGGTCCCTTTTAAAAGAATTGGGCTTGTAATGAAATCTAAAATGGAAGAGCTGTTCTCAGAACAGGTCAAGAATATGCAAGTTTTATCTATTAGATATTCAATTTTTCTTGGTGGTTCTGCAGGTGGCAACTCTAATGGTCAATATCCATTCACAAAGCTTTCCAAAGTGTTTCAAATATTTGAGATGTTTGGAATAAAAGCAGAACTGCAGTAAAGATTTTAAACTTTTGTACAAAAGAGATACAAAATAACTGCACTTAATTTCTAGTTGTGAAGACCACGGTTTTGATGGCAGACATAAAGGACTTCAGTGACATGAATGATATTTATGGTCAATGTAAGTAGACTTGCTGCTTTTTTACCAGTACAGCTTGCAGATCTGATGATATTCATTATAAGCAGTGTTCCAGTGACTTGGCTGATGTGGTCCCAGGTTCTTTGAGACTTCAGTAGAAATGCAACATGAGAACAGAACATCTGTGTGCAAGCAGCATAATAAGGCCAATTAGGTGTGGATTTGTCCTACCATTTCACTAACCTTTTTATATGCAGTTTGAGCTTCTACACCTTCTAGCCTTGAAGGATGCTGTGTTGTCTCTAACACCATTCTGCTGTGGTCAGCCTTAAGATGCTTAATTTCAGACTGTGTATCTTCATTTCTTTAAAATCTGTTTGTATCTTTGACAAAGCTTAGTTTTTGTGTAAAGCTGAGCTACCCTGCTGCACTTGGAAATTAAGTAACAACGCGTGGTTAACCAAATTGCCTGTAAACTCAAGTTGGTGATTAGTGAGCTACGAGTCTATGCACTTAAGTTCCTTATTTATGTAGATGTGGGTTTTGGTGACTTAGCAGTGTCTCGTGTTGAATGAAGTCTTTCTAGATGAACAATCTGTGTGTCAAAATGGAATTATGTTAAGTAAAGGGAAAACAGACAGGCTGGATACTTGTTGCCACAGAGCCCTCCTGCCTGTTTGTAAAGAAAGCACTTGTTGCTGTTCTTTGGTGTGAGTTATCAGCCTGCCTTATCCCTGCAGGAGCCTGACTGTGCCATTTCTGAAGTTGGTGTTAACTTTCACTAGTAGAAAAAACTAGGGGGAAACAAATGGGAGGCAGGAGGAGTTGAAGAGGAGAGAGTGTGGACTGAAGGTTATTTGTCTCATATTCTTGAACTTGAAAGTTGATTGCGTTTTATGCAAATGATTTTCTACTCTGTTGTTTATCAAGCAAACTTAAATGATTAATGGATGTTTTTGTTTCAATTGCAGATTTCAAATCAAACTGCCCAGCCAGAGTATCCTTTCAGGTTGCTGCTTTGCCAAAAGTAAGTGTAACTTACAAAAATGAATTCTGAAAGTCTTTGCTTCTGAAACATTATAGCAGATTTCTCATTCTGTGGCAGCTTTGTTTGTGATTATTTTATTGAATATTCTTAAGTATTTAATTTTTGCTTTTAAGTATTTCAATCTTATTCCTGCTTGTAAGAGTTCTGAAAACATGGGAGAACCTGGCAGTATGGTGAAAGATGGCTACAACCCTAGAAATGAGGGTTTCCAATACTTCAGGAAGAACACAGTGAATCTTTAACATTGCTAAATTAGTAATGCAACTGCCAGGAATATATAATTTCTAGATGTCACTCTTTTATTCACATCAGGTCATGTTATATACCCAAGGGCTTCATAAAATAGGTATTTGAAGTTCCTGATATGTTTCTTCATTGCTTTCTCACAGGGTGCCCAGATTGAGATTGAAGCTATTGCCATTCAAGGACCCATCCAGAATGTTCCAGCCTCTCTATAAGTGAAGACTGAAAACTACCTGGAAAGGTGCTTTCTTCTGTGATTCTGTGATTCTCAATTGCAGCCTTATAGTCTATGAAATGCAAGTATACAGTGACTTCTGCAGGCAAAGCCTGAAACCTATGAGTGCTGTTAAAGTCTGTTGGGTTTGATTATAGAACAGGAGCCTTATTTTGTGATGGTATTTGGGTGTTAAAGTACACATTTTAGGTGCATGTATGACAGTTACACTGTGGGTGATCAGGATGTACAAAAATCATTAATTGTAATAGTAGTTTTTTAGTAAAAATTTTAAATATTGGAGAAAAATGTGAGAAATGTGAAAACAGTAGAACACTTGTCTTGGTTAGCATTCATTTTCACTTCTGTGTTTTGGGAAATTCATTTGTATTCATTTCTAAACTGTCTGAAATGCTTTCTTTGCAGAATGGTTTAGTGCTGAGACTCAATTGCACTTTTCACGCTGAAGCAATTGCTAATCAGGGCGGATAATCATTTCAGAAAGAAGAAAGTGATGCTTCTTCAAAATCACATCTTTGTAGTTACAAATCAGCTTCAAATGAATCTCTACCTGCAACATTTTTCATAGTCTTTTTCATAGCCATTCAACTTTGACTGTACTGTGACTGGGGGGAGAAAAAGACATTCCAATTATATGAGGGGGGAAAGCCTGTTTAATGAGAATAAATAATAATTGCATGTTTAGAAATGTGCTCGTCTCTTCTGGGAGCAAACTTTTCTTTTCCTGATTATACTTTGGTGTTCCATTAGGGGGAAAAAAAAAACAACAACCAAAACCAGCAAAACCCAACATCCCTATCTTGCTTTTTCTTTAAGAAATGATTCAAACCAAAAGAGTAGGTTCATTATCTCTTGCCCAGTAGCTATGGGTGAAAACAATCCTTCAAGAGAGAAAGCTTTCAGCTACTATGGCAGTGCAGTTCTTGGCGTTTCTCTCTGCCATTGAGAGAGAGAATGAACCTGCTTGGTGTGTTTAAGCAGTACTGAGAAGTCAGGCTGGTGTTAGCAAGCTATCCCATTCCTCTGCATTCATCTTCTATCTAAGCAAGCAGAAATGGAGGTTTTTACTTAATGTTTTTTGAAGAACTAGTTTGAAAACTAGCTGACTCATGCTAGAGTTAATTCCCTGTCTTCTCCCTGTAACTGCTTACCTAACACAATATTGGCTTTGTTTTTTTCTTGGTTTTTTTTTTGTGTTTTTAGGATAAATGAACAATTTCTCTTTACTTTCTGAACTTTGAAGCAGCGACCTTTGAAAAGTACCTGACTCTGCTACACACAAACTTTCTGCACATGAATGCTATTAGTCTTGGCTTCTCCTTGTTCTCTCTCTGGCTATACTGTCCACATCTTTTCTTTTCTACAGCTTTGATTTAAGAAGTGATCCCACCAAAACAGCATCAGACGTGTTAGGAATTAGTAGTAATGTGAATATAACTTTCTAGGAAACTTAGAGCAAAAGTTGCTTTGTTCTGTCAGTAAAGAATAACACAATGAAGTAGAATTAGATTATTTAAGCAGATTCCTAATTTATATTTTTGTATGTTTCTCTGCTACAGCTTTGCTCACATATAACTGCCCTGTTGGAACACAGCTGTTTTTGTAGCACAATTATAGTTCATCTTCAGCAGATCTCAGTAATGTTGAACATGAGCTAAATTCATCTTTGTACAAGAAATACTGACAGTTATGCCTCGCAACATTTTTCAGTGTAAGATGCCTGCCTTAATTGTTCTGTACTGCTGCTTTGCTGATCTTAACACCTAACACTAGATGGCAGTTTTGATTTTTATTTTCCTTTTTTGCTGGTGATTGTCCATTTGTTCTCACAGAATCACCAAGGTTGGAAGAGATCTCTAAGATCATCCAGTCCAACCGCCCTCATATCACCAGTATTTCCCCTCTAAACCATGTCCCTCAGCACAACACACAGCAATACAGAACTCCTTTGGGTGTCTTCGTTGGCACAAAGAATGTGAATATATCACTGCTTTCCCCAGAAAGGTTCAGACTGAGTCTGAAATATAACTGATGCCATCCTGTAGTAATGATTTAAAATCCACTTTTAGCTCTACTATTATCTAGCTTTTAGCTGGAGTCCAGATGCCTAAATATGTATTCTTCAGGTACACAAATTGAGCTTCTTTCAATTATTGAATCATTTACAGCTATAATGTAGCAGTTAACATAAACATCAGCCTTCCACGGACGTTTAAAACTTTATTTTTTTTTAAAGCAGTTGTTGTATTTCTTCATTCTGTTTTTTATTTCAAAAAGCAGAGCCATATAATTATCCAATATGAAACACAATTGTTGTGAGTACCTCCTTGGTCTTGGTTCAGCAACATATAAAATACTTAATAAATCCAGTTTTAAATGGACTTAAGGTAAGCGAAGCTTTTCTTTGTTTGCTAGACTGAGCTGCCAGCATGAAACAAAATGAGGTCTTCTAATTCTGCAAAAGCAAAGCAGTTCCTAAATTTGCATATTCTCCCAGGGTTTTCTTTTAGCTTTTTTTATCCTAACAATTATGTTCCCCACAGATTAAACAATGCAAAAATAAAGCTTGGTAGACAATTTTAATAAAACTTTGTTCTCTGTTAAAACATGTAACAAAGCTTAACCTGCCTAATGTTCTGCTACAAGCACCTTGCTCTCAATATAGTATTCATCTGAAAGAAGTTATGCGTTGAGTAGAAGAGCCAGCCTTTCCAAGCCAGATTGCTGAGTACCTTCTGGGATCCTACCACTAGCATGTATATCTGCACAGATCCAGCAGGGTCCAAATTTAACTTCTAGAAGGCTGTGGTTTTCAGTAATTGAAACAAAATGTCTACCTTTCTAGTTAGAGTGGAGATCTATTCAATGAAGAGTCCTATTCCTCCTAAACAGGAGGGAGAATGACTAAAAAGGTGGATAGGACAAGGGGAATGGTTTTAAACTGAGACGGGAGGTTTAGGTTAGATATTAGGAGGAAGTTTTTCACACAGAGGATGGTGACACACTGGAACAGGTTGCCCAAGGAGGCTGTGGATGCCCCATCCCTGGAGGCATTCAAGGCCAGGCTGGATGTGGCTCTGGGCAGCCTGGTCTGCTGGTTGGCGACCCTGCACATAGCAGGGCGTTGAAAACTGGATGATCATTGTGGTCCTTTTCAACCTAGGCCATTGTATGATTCTATTCAACACTTACTGTAGCACAGAATGCTAAGTGCTAGCTTGGATGAAGTTTGAGATTTAAGATTGTCTAGCTTTCGATACACATTTATGCCTTTTTATTTTGGTGATGTTTAAAATAAATGCTGAGGTACATTGTACTAGCTCTGCAGGTATATCTTGTAAACAGGTACCAGAGCATATCCTCTTCTCAGCATTCAAGCTGAGCAAGCTGATCCACAGACCAATTTCTGCCCTTGGCAATCTCTGTGATGTGCAGAGGTTTGCAGAAACAAATAACTGCATGTATTTTGGCCCTTTATGCATGGTACACATTTTAGTAGCTTAGAGACCATAAATACTAGGCCTCAGCGGGATACCGTCTTATTTCTCAAAAGAGGGATGTTCATAAGTCTAGCATCTGAATTCTGATTTTGTAATTAATACAATTAACATTTCATGTTTAGCACAGTGCCAAGCATTACAAGATACGTAAAGACTGACGATGACAGAGAAGGGCTGACCTGCTGAGTCACTGGTCGGGTAACCTTCCTCTTGTTTCCAATTAGCATTGCTTCTAATGATTGAAAAAGCTGAATAAGGAGGTAGGAGTGTATACTGTCACCTGTCTTCCTTGTAACAACGGTGGCAGTGAGAGTGATTCTGAGGTGAACAGTTTATCTTGACTCTTGTATCTTCCTATTTTATTTCCAAATGCAGTCTCTGCTGGTGCTGTTAATGCTGCTGGTCTTTACGGAAATGCCATCAGTTCTGTTTTTAAATCTTTCAATATATCGAGTCAAACTGCATCTCTGGATCTAACATGTAACTTGCAAGCAGTCAGCACAGCAGATTCCCTACATTTGGGTGGTGCCAGCTCAGGTGCTGGTAGTGAAACCAAATCCCCAGCATACAGGAGGAACGCAGCCCAGTCTGAAAAGATTGCTGACTGGCAGAAAACCTTAAATGCAGCACTACAGCTAAGGAACATCAGCTAAAGGAGAAAAAGCTGATAGGCCAAGGATATCAATTAAAATATTTAATAAGGCCAAAGTCAGCTGAAGTCAGGCACGCATATACAGCACAAAATTTAGCTTAGAGGGGACTTTGATAATTTGCTGCTGACAGTAACATTTATTGAAGACCATTTGTACAGTAAAGCTAATAAAAATAGCAACCTTTTCCCTTCTGAGATGCTTGACCTTTCCTTCGTGTTCTACTTCCTTACACCAGAGGGTCTTCCAAACAGTCTCCAATAAAAATACAGAGTCCCTCTGCATCGCTCACCATCAGATGGAAGCTCTATTCTATCAGATCCGTAAGACCAATTATATATGGAATAATGGAAGTGGAACAATGACCTCTCCTATGGGAACAGGCTTACATAAGTCACCAGTTAGGTATCTTAGAAGCTGTGAGTGTATGTAAGGTGCTACATAGCTAAAGATGCCCTATTAATCACCATGCGTGCTAACAACTGTGGATTTGTATTTTAAGTATGCCAGACTTCAGAAGACTAAAACATTCTCCTCCTGGTTAAAAATACCTTTTTTTCCCTCCTTTCAGTAAATATGCTTAAAAATGGAGTTAGCAGAATGCACCTACTTGGTTACTGTATATTGCAACCTGTGTATCTTTCACTTGCCTGAAAAACTAACCTTTGCATTCAGTTACACCCAGCAAATTGGCAGTTAGGGTTCCACTCCTCTGAGTGCAGCTCGCTGCAGCAGCTCCATAACCCGGTTGTGCAGGCAGTCGGAGGGGTTACCTGCACGTGCAGGAGTTCTCAGAAGTAGGACTTCCCTTTCTGACTTTCTGCTTACGCTACCATTAAAATAAAACTAAAACCAGTCTACACTATATTCTTTATCCTATGTAACGCTGAAGGTTTCAGAGGTTTGAAGTTAGAACCTGGAAAGACTCCTAATTGAAAACTGGATGGTTATACGTCTGTCAGAATCACCCCGCGGTGCTGGCGATGTACGGAAGGCACTCTGTGGCAGGGAGGAACCAGGTCAGGTATTTCAAACACTTGAAGTCTTGGCAGCTTGACTTCAAAAACATACATAAAACCTCCTTTGATGCTTCTTATTCTGGTTTGTGGCTCCATCCATAAAAAGCTCTATTTTCCCAACGCAGCGAAATTAAACAACTTTCATGTGGACAGAAGGGCCGGCCCAACAAGAGGATGTTCATACAGATGCAGCTTCTAGTCTTTGTTACCAGTTGTCTCTGAAACACATGGCAAAAAATAACAATTAATTTAGGGTAAAGCTTGATATTCAAAATATCCTACAGGAATTCAAGGTGTAAGTTCCCTGAAGTATCACAGCACAAAGGGGCATCTGCTTTTCTCCACGATCTGTAAGGATGTTCTGTCTGGACGTGAAGCAGCCACACGCAGCTACCAGCTGAGCTTCCTCTTCTCTGACCCCAATCAGGCACAGCCTTCTTCTTCTAGGCTTCATTCATGTGAAATCCAGAGAGCCACTCAAAACCCTTAGAGTGTGTTCCCTCGTTCAGAGCTGAACCTCAGCTACCTTTAAAGCACTGTTTATTTTGTCCTGCAATCAGCTCATATCTTTTCAGTCATTTCCTCTGAGAGCCAAAGGCTTGGAATGCTTTGATCTCACAGTGTATGAATGTTTCCATCCCCTTCAGCAATCTTGCTTCCCTGCCCAGAACCTTTAGTTCTTCAATATCCTTTCAAGATGGAAGAACTGCTTCCTTACATAACAGCATCCCAGATGTAAATGGTCACTGTCCCATTCTTAGTGGTTTGTTTTTCATGCTCACAGCTGTTTGCTGAGCAGTCTGCACTCGCACGCTCCTATCTGAGATGCACTACAGAGAAACAAGTGGGGCTGCTCTTCCTGTGTCCCTTGAAATACTGTTGAGAAAATACTACCAAAGTAAGCAAATGCAGGAAGTGTTTCAATCAAGCTGCAATTGTCACATGATAAAATCTCTTGGATTTCATTAGAATGTCACTGGGTTGTTTTTTTTTTGAGAAATTATCTTTCTATACCGGCCCCAGAAGCTGGCTTGTTAAACCTCTTGCAAAACCTTTCAGATGGTCTTTCTAGTCCTGTCCAGCAACACATGCACCCTGCTGGAACACAGGAATTTGTTCTTCCCATTTACCTCCCATCAAACCAAACTCTGTGTCCTCCCAGCACATCAGGAAGGACAATGGGTGTAGAGAGACTCGCTGGCCTGTCACAGGGCTCTATGGTTCAAAGGCCAGAGCAAACACGTAGCAGTGCTAGGAGAGCAAAGACTTACCGAGGTGTGAGGGGTTCGTTGGGAAGCCATGAAAGGCAGTGGTGTAAGGACCGCCTGAAGCTGAACCCTAGGAACACCCAATAACTCAGAGACACTGGGAGAACGGTTACATGTACAAGTCATTAGGAGAGAGGGCCCATGCTGCCCCCCCAGCCTTTTCTGCATCCTGGCAATGCCACTGGGCAATGACTGCCTTCTGGGGCACATAGACATCCACACAACTGCTGCCTTATATGGTGAACTCCCAGCGAGTGTAGGATCCTCAGTGAGTGCTGAGGAAGAAGAAATACTTGCAGAAAGAATGTGATGACAGAAAAGTGAATATAATTCCTAAGTCTGCTGGAGGGACAGTCCTAGTCCTCTTCCCTCGCATAATTCCCTTAGCTGCTGTTATGATTCTCCAAAGGCAATTCATTTGCCCTGTCATTTCTACTTCTCCCCACATGACTGTGTTTGCTGTGCAACATGCCTTCATCCCAGTGCTACACTGCTGATTTCAGCTGATAATGAAGAAAAGTGGGTTGTTCATCACAGAATAGAATCACACAGCAGTGTTAAGGCATTAACCTGTAAAAGTGAGTGTGGAAAATACTAACGAGCAGTTATGATTTTAACTTTGGATTCTATTTTCACAGACTACACTCAGCACTCTCCTCAGACAAGGATAACTTATCATAGTATCACAGAATGGTCTGGGTTGGAATGTATTCTGTAAAGATAGTTTATGAAAAAAAGCAGAATCACACTTAGCAAAAAAGCAACAGTATTTCTTAACGTGAATAAAAATATTTATGACTGTCTTGTCATAAACTGCAAAAAGCAGCAGGCTGTACCCAGGGACAGGGACAAGAAGATGTGCACACTAGGGACAGCACAGCTTCTGCCTCCTGAGCAATAACCCATGCAGTCCTTCTCTCCTCTGTCAACATACCTATCTCTGTCGCTGCTGCGCCATCCACTTCTCCTGTTTCCTCTTCTTTTGTTTCAGGCCCTCCACTTACTATCTGACTGAGCAGCTCAGTTTCCACCTGTTCTCCCGTCTCACCTGGGAACGGTAATGATGGAGATCAAATTAGGATCCTCTGTAACAGCACTGCGTGCCCAGCTCCTTCCTGATTTTGCTTTGGCAGCCCTCCAGCTCCCCTCACAGGGGCACTGCACAGAGGTACAGGACTCAATGGGTCAGCAAGGAGCAATCAAGACACTCCCCATTGCTTTCTGTCATCCAGTCACATGCCCATAAAATGCCCCCCATGCTTTCACCAATTCCCCATGGCACTCTCTTGATTAAACATAGTAAGTACCAGCTCTGCTCAAACCACTTTTTTCCAAGTTTTGGGTTTTATTTTAGGTATGTGCAGTTTTATTTGCAATGGGAACAAAACAGTAACGTGCCATCCAGCCTGCAGCAGGGAAGCTGCTACATAATTCATCTTTACTCACGCAGCTACTAAAGAAGAAAAGGAAACAAAACAAGTCCTAAGTATCTTATACACCAGGGTGTAAAAATGGAAAGGCAGTCACACACTTCATGGAGATAAAACACATGCCATCATTACATATTATTTCTAGTTTGATCAAATAAAAGCAAAACTCAATTTCTTGCCCTGCAAGCAGCATGAGTTGCTTGGTGGCCAAAGTCCTGTGACTGATGTCCAGGCAAACATTTAGCTCCAGGTGTCTGTGTTCAGGAGGTCCCAGTGCATTGCTCAGATGGTGCTGTGCTGCCTCCAAGTGCCTCCAAGTGCTGCACTGAGGCTTGGAAATGGTCATTAATGAAATTGGAGTTTTCAGCTGGGTGAAACTCCATTTTATACAAGTGGGCATCCCATCATTTACTTCTTACATAAAATGAGACCTTATTCCAAATGACAGATCTCCATTTTATGTAGAAGAAAACCTCAAAGCTCTTTTACAAAGAGACACAGTGGAAGACAAGTCAATGCTCACGCTCAGCTACTGGAATGCAGTCAAACTTATGCAGCCAGCTCGTGCACAGCAAAGCTCCACAGTTAAGAAGCAGGACATGCAATTGGGCTCCCCATAAATCAGTTCATCTGCATTTTGCACTTCTTCAGGGTGGATGTGAAGTGAGGAAGTCTACAAATAACACATTTCTCTGCAGGGAAATACTTCTGGTGTGCTCCATCTGCTATTCTCAGAAGAGCTGCTCCCAGAGGAAGTATCTAATTCCTTACTGGGCTGTTTTGTACCGTTTAGGAGAAAGTTGATTTCTCCTGTGAAGTGTTCACCTTCTACAGACAGACATATGTTCTCAGGGCACCAACCCAAAGAGCACAGCCTCTGGCCTACATCCCAAGCCCCTGGGATCTTTGGGGAGCCCACTCCTGGGGTCCTCCACCTCTGTCTCCATTATGATTATTTGGTCACCAGGCCTCCAAAATGGTATATGCCAGGGGCACATCTAAGAGCTGCTTCTTCCTCTACAGCCTAGTCATCTACCCTCCAACTTCGTGTGATTAGGGACAGTTGCTTTATTATTAACAAAGGTAACCATGTATTAGAGCTTTTGGTCTCGGCAGATAGGAAGCATTGTGACTGAGATGCACAGAAACACAGCCTCTAAATGAGGGGTATGGTTCTCACCAAGAACACAAAGGGTATGAAATGAAATAGCAGAGCTAACGACTGATTTATTACAGCTTGCATTTGTGAGCCTGAGGCTTCACCAGCCACATCCTTATGTTCTCTGCATTGGACAGACCCCGTGGCCAAAATTCTGGCTCCAGAACTTCTCTAGTGACTCTCATTAAACTCAAAAGGACCTCCTGACAAGTCTCTGGAGACAGAATTTGGTCTCCTGAGTTTACAAAAGCACAAATATTACCCTCAATGAAGTGGTCCTCTTCAGCAATATGCACTTTCTTGATGGTTTCCACCACAGCGCTGTCAGTGCCTTCCACCAGCGCACTGTCACCTGCTGGTCGTGGTGCTGGCGGCCCATCACCATCCCTCCGTGCTGGCGGTGGAGTCCCGCTGCTTTCCTCTCGCCACACAGATGGCAGCTCTGAGCTCTGCTCCGGCGCTACACGCGGCGGCTCAGTACCCTCCGGCTCCTCTCTCTCAGGGACCAAGTCAATCTTTGGCTCCAAGGCGGGAGTCACGGCTGTGGCCTCTTCCCCTGGCAGGTGGTCGCCCAATTTCAGCTCCTCAGAGGCCAGGCTCACACCCTCCACTGCATCCAGCTTTGTTTGGTCAGCTACGGTTTGGTAATCATCAGCAATCGGGGAGTTCTCCCCCGATGATGCTATCAGTCGTGGCAAAGGAAAGAAAGAGAAAACAGACAATTCAGTGGGCATTTCAGTCAGGTGAGATGGGCCCAGCTGGGCCTGCACCACACAAGCACTGCCTGTCACAGCTCACACCTGGCTACCAACAGTACTCACACACTCACACATAATCCAGACAGGCTGTGGACTCTCCTTCTCTGGAGATGCTCAAAACCCACCAGAACACCTACCTATAGTAGGGGTTGCACTAGGTGAGCACCAGAGGTTCCTTCTAACCCTTAGGACTCAGTGTTTCTGCCATACGCAATACAATTTTACATGAAAAGAGTTGACATTTCACCTTAAGGATCTGAAGCGTGCAGCAGTTTCGCCAGATGATGGGCTGCTGTTCCAGGAAGCAAGCTTTCATGCCCAAAGCAAGCACAAGGTCAACATGCTAAGCATTAATCGCTGCCCCATGAACATCTGCTGGTGCCTACAGGTGGGCTACACAGAAAACTCTGGAAATACCCTTCTCACTCAGAGCGAGACCACGGCTATTTCTTAAACATCAGTGTTGGTTTTTTTTTTTTCAATTTCTTTTTTGTTCCGTTGTTAAATACTAAACTACCACTGACATGACTTTGTACAGCAAGCCATTCAATGACAGGAATACCCACCTAAATAAAACTTCCTCTTCTTTCACATCTCGTCAACTTAATTGAAGCAACAGGCCTTCTTGACAGGCAAAACTTATGCACAAAGAAATGCCAAAATTGCCCTGACAGGTATTCAGTGATAAATGCCGAAGACTCAGAATGAGCTCTACCTACCTATCAGGTCAGTTTAATCACTTTCTAATTAAATTCAATTTGATGAGAACTTGAGCTTAACCTTCTCAAAAGGAATGTCAGGATTGAAAGACTGGGAGGTCATGCACAAAATTTGTTATGTAATTATCATGAGATCTGTCTGAATTGCATTTTCTGGGGAAATTATTACGATAGTGTCAAAGCTCGTGAGCAGAACTGCATGGCAATTTGTACACACACAGATCAGCAATGAAAATAAATGTAATACATCTCACTTTTGAATAGGCTGCTGCAATACTGCTGCTTTTTAGATAAACTCACAGCTCTTTTGAGGCACCCAAGCAAAGCAGCTCCCCAGCGAGCACCACCAAGTCAGTGTCTGCAAGCACAGGGAAGGGCAGCTGAACTGGGAAGGGGGCAGGACTAGGAGATATGAGGTGTCAAGAGATACAGAAAGCAACTTGGACTATGGGACATGTAAAATCTTGTTTGTCCTGGGAACCATAAAACCACCCGAGGAGAGGCTAAGCTCCCACCAAAAAAACATGACAAGGAGCCAGGCCTCATGCTGAGCAGTGGCCAGCAGACATCCAGGTGCTTTGCTTTCTCAGCTGCCTTCTGAGCTCAGCAGAGGACCAGAGGAGACCATGGGGACACCCAGAGGAGGACCTCTTCAGCCCACTCAGCTCCTGTGGTGACAGTCAAAGCGGGGCAGGCACCGAGCTGCTTTGTGGTCCTAGTCCTCCTCACAGTGCCTCACTGGCACTGTAATTAATCTGTGTGCCAGCTGGATGTCAGCAAGGCTTAGAGCCACGTGGTAAAACTCCAGGTCTTCAATGCATCAGTTATAAGGTATTGCCATAAGCTGTATTATGGCTTGCTTATAACATTGCATTGGGATTATACATGTTACAGCATGAGCAGGCAATAGCTAAATCTGTCGGCTTAACTTCTCTGTGTGATTTTTTCCACCTCATGATGCTTGAAAAACAAAATCTGACAATTCTAAGAATTTGGGGCTGTGATTTAAAGAAGACAGCACACCGGGTTGTAACACCCCTTAAAGGCCTGAGAAGCACACACACGCAGTGAAAAGCCACTTACACATAGATCTGCAGCTGTACAGAGGTGCAGTTACAGCACATCAGCCATGTGAGACAGCCCACACTGCACCAATGTAGCAACAGAACAAGGGGAAATGGTTTTAAACTGAAAGAGATTTAGACTATATACTAGGAAGAAATTCTTTACTGTGAGGGTGGTGAGGTGCTGGAACAGGTTGCCCAGCGAGATGGTGAATGTCCCTTCTCAGGAGGCACTCAAGGCCAGGCTGAAGGGGGCTGAGAGCAACCTGGTTGAGAAGGAGGTGTCCCTGCCTGTAGCAGGGAGTTGGAACTAGGTGATCTTATAGGTTCCTTCCAACCCAAACTGTTCTATGACTCTATGACTGATCCAAGGGGATCTGTGACTGTGTGTGTCCATCCACTGTACAGATTTCAGCAGCTTCTAGTGTTGAGTAACACTTAGTGAAAGTTACACACCTCCAAGTCTCACTGCAGCCACAAAGCAAACAGTGCGCTAATAGAACAGACTTGATTTTTTCATGCATTTGTTTTTATCCCTTTAGACACTGCTCATGCCTTCACCTTGCTTAGCATCAGGTGAATGGGGAGCACTGAAAACCTAAAGGGCAGAAATAGATGAGCATGAGCCACAAAAATGAGCATGTCATAGAGAGCTTTGAATTGGTACTACCAGTAACAGCAACACAACTCTAAAAAATTAGTACTGGGATTCTGGATGAACACCAGGCCTCTAATTATATGAATTGGATTATAAAATCCTCTCATGCAACTAGACATTTTCACTGCTGGAAAGCCCTGAACCATTCCTCTGCTCTCAACTGAGATGCAAAGAATTCTCTAATATGGAAAAAACAAACCATCCTGGTAATCTGTTCAATACCTTCATCCTCAAGAATGAAAATCACGTGGCAGCCAGCATTCCTACAATGCCTTATTGCTTCCTTTAGTTTATCGTCTGTAATTTCTGATTTGGCCATCATTTACAATTTTTCTTTTCCCTGCCACAGACAATTTCAGCAAATCGCGCATTGAGCTCAAGCAGACCATGGTTACAATGCTGTGACTTTTCTTTTTCCTTTTCAAAAGAGCCTCAAGACTTTGTGAGCTACACATCCATAGAAGGAAATGATATATTTTTTTCTGTTAACAGCACACTTACAGGCATCTATTTCAAATTCTCCTCTCCTATTCAACTCAGTTAGAAAACAAACAACACATCTGGCTGCTAAGAGCCCAACCTGCAGGTGACCACAACACAGGTAGGACACGAGCAGCATTCTGCCCATCTCTGCAGTGGGTCTGCTCCGTGCGCTGGCTTCATAGCAGCACATTCAGCCTCCCCTCACACAACCCATAGCACCTCAGCAATCACAACAAGCTGTAGCATTCCAGGACAAGAAATAAAGAATAAATTGCAGGTGGAAAACTTGGGTGCCGCAGCCGGAATATGGCAGCAGGGAGGTATTTAGAACTGCAGGATAGAGGAAAGAAACGCAGTAAGTTGAAAAGCGAGCAGGTTTTCCCATAGCATTGCTTCGGGACGCAGGTTTTGGAGAGCTCAAGGTTGTTACTTGCAAGTTGCTGTAATAACGGTTCCCAAACTTTGTTGGGGAAAAAATAAAAAGGGGAAACATTGCATTCGCAAGATATTATGGAATCTTTGCAAGACGTTACGGAAAACCTGAGAGGCTGCCGGCTCCCAGCAGTGTGCACTCCAAGGAGCCGAGAGCCCCTCAGGTTTTCCCCAGCCCCTACGGGGCACGGGCAGCACCCGGCACGGCCGCCCACCCACCCCCCGGCCCCGCTCACCCCTCGTCGGCGCCCCGCTGCTGCTGGGGGGCTCCTGGGGGCGGCTGCGGGCGCTGCTGGAGCAGCCCATGGCTCGGCAGCTCCGAGGGAAGGCAGCGGGCGGGGCCGGGGGCGGGAGGGCGAGGAGGGGCTGGGTTCCCGCTGGGCGATCTCTCGAGGGAGCACGAGAGGTTTTAACACGGGGGTGTCCGCTCTTTAGTTCTTCTGAAGAAGTACAGGGAGGAGACCCCACAGCCCCCGGGCAACCTGTGCCAGTGCTCCGGCACCGCACAGCACAGCAGTGCTGCCTGGTGCTCAGAAGGAGCCCCTTCTGTGCCCACGGCCTCTTGTCCTGGCACTGGATCCCACAGAACTGAACCTGAGACTGCAGTTACAGGAGTGAGAATCACAGCACAGCCCACATAGGAAGGGACCTCGAAAGATCATCAGGTTCAGACTTCGTGGGAAAAAGGAGTCTGGATGAGATTACCTGGCACTCTGTTCAACTGTACCTTCAAATCCTCCAGTGATGGGCATCTGATCAAATCCGTGGGGTGGTTGTTCCAGTGATTCGTAGAATCATAGAATTATTAAAGTTGGAAAAGACCCCAAAGATCATCTAATCCAACCTCCAAACCATTCCCACCATGCCCACTCACCACGTCCCTCAGTGCCACCTCCACACAGTTCTTGGGTACCTTCAGGGACAGCAATTCCTCCATCTCTCTGGGCAGCCTATGCCCATCCCTTACCATCTTTCTGAGAATAATTTTTTCCTAATAACCAACATGAATCACCCCTGGTGCAACTTCAAGCTACTACCTCTAGTCCTATCACTGTTACCTGGGAGAAGAGGCCAAGCCCCACCTCGCCACAGCCTCCTTTCAAGCTGCCGTAGAGGACAATAAGGTCTCCCCTGAGCCTCCTCTTCTCCAGACTGACCAATCCCAGGTCCTCAGTTGCTCCCTCTAAGACTTGTGCTCCAGACCCCTCACAGCTTCTCTGTCTTTCTTTGGACATGCTTCAGGGCCTCCATGTCTTTCTCACAGCAAGAGGCCCAAAGCTGAACACAGCACTCAAGGTGCAGCCTCACCAGTGCCGAGGGACAGTCACCTCCCTGCTCCTACTGGCTGCACTATTTCTGATTCACTGTCCTCACAGCAACCTGATCTAGCTGTAGGTGTCCCTGTTCACTGCAGAGGAGTTGCACTAGATGACCTTTAAAGGTTCCTTCCAACTCAAAGCAATTCTATGTTTCTATGATAAAAAATTCCTTTCGTAGTTACTGTTCACAAGAGCAGCTCAGCTCTGACTGCTGTCTGCACTTATGCTGTACACGGGCTCCGGTAGCAGTGCGTGGAGGTGCTGCTGAAGGCACAGATCTGCCTGTGTCCTCCATCTCCATGTGTCTGTGTGCACACACATGGGGCAATGGCTCAGCCTGCCAACCCAAAGGCATTTCTTGGTGGCAGAGCCCTTTGGGGTCGGTAGCCACTTGTAACATCCTTGCCATCAGCCTTATGGGTAAAACAAAGCTAATAGGATTTTTATATTTGCATACAGGCAATTCAGCTGGAGTCCACAGGGCTTAGTATTTTTGTAGAGAAAGGATGAAAAATGTCATATACTTGCTTGCATAAGCAAGTCCAATGTAAAGCATCATTTCTTAGAGTAGGTGGCCAAGCCGCCATAATAGACTCATTATGTATTGGGCACTGAGAAGAAGAAAGATGGAAGTTACATTGTGCTCCTTTTCCTTCTTGAGAAGTTTTGTCCCTGCTTCTCTCCATTCCTCAACCAAAGGTAAGTGGTGTAGAACACACCTGCCATCCATCTTACTGAAACTGTGAAGAAATGAATTCCAGATTTACCTGGGCCAGAGAGAGAGGACACGTGTGGGTGTGCATCAGAGTGCTTGCTGAGAGGGACAGGGCTGCTTCCGCACTTTGTGTTCTCTGAACAGATCCTGGGTAGAGCACAGAAACAGTCCTGGGCTTAGGAATGGCTTGGACCATTTGGCAGTGGCTCCTGAAATCACTAAAGGACAAGGTGGTGCTCTTTCTCCCTTTGTCCCAAGTAATGGGAAAGTTCCACTTTTTCAGCAGGAAGATGGGATGTGAGGGCCGGAGGCGGAGGCAGGCAAGACAGGGTTGCAGCTCAGCATCTGGCTCCTTTGGGATGAGGCAAACATGGTGAACCAGCTCTGAGATACACGGAGGCAGGAGCTCCAGTGACACAGCACTCGAGGGGATCTGTGCCACCGCCACTTACTGCCTCAGGCCTGGACAATATGTGTCCTCTGCAGATCAGCCAACACGAGCATATCTTGCTGCTCCGTGCCATCGTTTGGCTGGATAAGACCCTGAGCAACCTGATCTAGCTGTGGAGGCCCCTGTTCTGTGCAGGGGAGTTGGAGCAGACGGCCTTCAGAAGTCCCTTCCAACTCCCAGGATTCCATGATGTACGATGGCAGGTGTGCTGCTCATTTTTGACTGGCATTACTCAAGACATCACTGTGCAAACAAGAAGTGGTGCACACCCCCAAGCAAGCCCCACAGAGGCAAGACAGGGCTGGGGCTGGTGCAAGATAGGCTCAATCTTCTGATTTCTACTTTATATATGGCACACAGCTATATTAGCACGCTTATCTGTTGGTCTAAGTGGCAGGGATGCGTACCTGCTAGTGAAATAGAAAGGCGGAGAGCTTTGGAAGTAGGAGTCTCAGGAATAGAGAGACAGAAATATGGAACAGAAAAGAATACAAGGTTCCTGGGTGTGGTGGGTGGTTGGAGAAGTTGAAGGCAGGAAGGGGAGATGGTATGGGAGCATGGGTTACCGCAGCAGCAGCTACAAGCTATGCTTGTACTTGTTCTGAGCCCCAAGTGACCCAGCAGCTGCAGCACTGTGCTGGCACATGGAAGTCCTTCACTACCTTCCCCCAGCCAGGGCAACTCCCCACAGCCTTCCTGCCACCACCAACTTGAGCTGCCCTGCTTTGTCCCTAAATGAAGGCAGTGCCCAAGTAGCTAAAAAAATAACCTTTGGTGATATGCAAACTATACAATCACCTCAAATAACTTATTTTTACAAAGGAAAATAATGTGTTTTATTCAGAAACACATATCAGAGAATTAAAATAAAATGTAAGCCGTGAGTGTTCAGTGATAACTATAGCTCCAGAGTAAAGCAACAAATACCTATATATTGTCTTACTTGAGTAGAAAGACGCTGCTAAAAGCAATCTTTGCAAAGATTGACAACAAGGTCCTGGGGATTTTTAACTTCTCCAGGCCAGTGCTTCATGATCAGACTTGTGTCACTCATTCTGGAGCTCACAGCTGTTCACAATTTTGAGTATTTTAGACAAGATTCCTACTGCAACTGTAAATCGATGTCTATCTTTTGATCCCTGAAACAACACAGACACATCCTGGGACTTAGCAAATTACTGTAGACTTTTCAAAGCAATATATTAATAATGAGATTTCTTTTTTAAACTGACTCCTTTTCTCAACTCTTTGGCTATTCTTTCCCAGAAGAACAGTGCTGAGCAGGCAATAAGATATTCTAGATAGTTACTGTGGCAGACAATTCAAGCCAGATTTTCCATGGCTAGAGATTTGTGTAGCTCCACTTGCATCTGCTCTGTGATGGTCACTTACACAGTGCAGAAAGCTGCCTCCTAAAACACAACTCTTTATTTTGCCTGGGAGGGCAATGGCTGAGAATCTAAAGATCTTCTTATCAGACTACCTTCTGTTTTTAGAAATCTGCATATTTGGATTTCTGCACAATTATGCCCTTAGAAATGTAAACACTTTGTTTTAGTGGCACCCTTTTTAAGATTGCTATATGCTTATCTATTTATGTATGCATGTGTATATATATGTCTGCATATATACACTTGTGCATACACTCCTTAGCATCCTTTCACAGACCGAAAGCATAACCAAGGTGTATAGCTATCCAGATGTTCACGATAGTATTTAACCTCAAGATTTTCCCTGTAGTCTAATAGGTAACCTTTCTTTCTTTGCTCAGCCCATTTTCCTCTACAGCTCCTTTCCTTCCTCCCATCCATTCTCACAGTGAAGTCATTGGAAGGATGTCTGAGCAGATTTGAATGCTAACTCCACAGACCTCTACATTACTTGGATTCCAAATTCCCAGCGGTCCGAAACAAAGATCTGTACGTACTTGGCTGACAATGAAGGGGATAGTTCAAGCTCATGACCCTGTGAAAATTGGATGAACATGTTTGAATTTGCTATAATATGTGATTATGATCAGACAACATAGTCTGTCACTTTTAATAGCCCTGATGAGTGCAAAAGAATGCAGGTGTTCACACAAAGTTGTTGTATAATTGTGCAGAGATTTTGATAGGGTTAAAAATGTAGGAGAGAACAGAACTATATTTCCAGACTATACCTTTGCATATTTTGCATTACTGTTCAGTTGATGACACACTGCCTACAAGAGCATACATAATTACTGCTCTGACCTCCACTTTACTGTCATAGGATTATATGTAACGTTCAGAAAAGCAGGGCAACTACTCGACTAGACAGTTGATGGTACGATTATCACTGCATTGGAGGAGGCAGCGTCTCATGTTCTACAATATGGGGAACAAGCTGCTTTGGGATCTCTGTGCACAAATGCATGTGCCTGTGCTGCACAGACAGGTCTGCCTCCGCACAGTGTATCCAGTACTTACTGACTGCAGCTCAGCTGTCGCAAGAGACCTCATCCGTGACCTCAGGCAGCTCCATCTGTGAAGGAGAACTTGTTAATTTGCCTGTTTCCTCAAGGATTTGTACACTTGGCTACCATTGCTTGCACTGCAGTGTTGTGATATGCCAGTGTCAGGGGCATACAACCTCAGTAGGTCCCTGCCTCACTCTTTTGCCTCCCTCCCCCCTGGTGCTCCTCCCACCCACTGCAGGACATCCCATCACTGGTGTCAACACCATTGTGCGACAGCATTATGAAATGATTACTGGTTTCAGCTCAAAACAACTCTGAGAAAAAGAAAGGAAGTTCAGGGTGGGACCTCCTTTTGCTGCCATCTCTACTGAAATTGATGCACCATGAAGTTATGACTCCAGGTAAAATACAGCAATGACTCATGACACAGTAATTTGTGATCACAAGTCCAGAATCAAAGAAAATGAGAGGTTGCCCAAGGAGGCTGTGGATGCCCCATCTCTGGAGGCATTCAAGGCCAGGCTGGATGTGGCTCTGGGCAGCCTGGTCTGCTGGTTGGCGACCCCGCCTGTGGCAGAGGGTTTGAAACTGGATGATCTTTGAGGTCCTTTTCAACTCAGGCTATTCTATGATTCTATGAAAATGAGGTTTCGTTATGATCATGCATAGTTTTCTTCTTTTAGATTACTCAGAATTGCATTTGTTGCATTTTCCTCCAGGAAATGATAAAAGCACTCTCCAATTTTTTAGATAGGTCAATGTGACTGTCCTCCATCTTCCACACTGCTCATTTAAGTCTCCAAATACCTTCACCTGGTGTTTTCTTACACAGTCCCATTATATGTGAAGATGAAGTTGGTGAGACACCTTGAGGACCATCGCCATCAGAGTACTGTAAATGCCCATCTGCTCAAGCTGCTGACATTTAGTGAAAGAGTGAGCGTATAATAAAGAACTTTCAAGATGCCAAAGCCTTTCCTTACTTATCATGTTGCCTTCATCTGACTTGAAACAGCCCTGTGGATTAATAAAGGACATTCTATGGACCACAGACTCTCAGGAGGTGCCTTTGCAACTACACAAGGGAGATTTGGGGAGTGAGAGACAATTGGAAGCACCTGTTTCTGCTCGTGTTTCCCCACACATACAGATTTCTTCACAGTCCCTTCCAACCTAAGCCGTTCTATGATTCTACATTTAAGGCCACAACTTGGGTCCCAATGACTGAAGTCTCTGATGGAAAGTTATTCCAGAAAGGCATTTTTTTGTTTGTTCATTTGCTTTCTTTCAAAATGTGACACTGTTTTACAAGTTCTTAAGTATTACATTTTCTCCTAATTTGATCTCAGGTTGCAAAGGGCACATTTGCAGACAGCTCCCTCTCCAGGAGATGTAGGGCTTCCAAATTTAGATAACATAGCACAGGTGACAGCAAGATAACATAAGCCATGGGTGTCCGACCTTTTGGCTTGCCCAAGCAAGTCATTAATTTTCTATTTGCTAACCCTTTTACAGGCAGGTTTAGATGAGAACGTTTTGAAATTATTTCTGAGTATGAAATATACACGTGTTTCAGATTGTATCCTAACACACTCAACTTATTATTTTCACATGAAAAGAAAACGCGGCAGCTAAATACACGATTCAGTGAACTTACAAATTCTGAAACAAAGTAATTGTGGGTTGTAGTGAGAGTCCTCTGGAAACCTGCCTTGAGCACGGTTGGATTAGCGCACTGATACCCGTTTGTTTGGGTGATTATTACTTGCATATCGCCCCCGCGTGGTTCAGCTGGGCAGTGTGCCACTGAGAAGGCGGTTCTTGCAGAAATATTTGGTGAAACGTGTAGGCTTACACCAGAAAAAAATCAGTGCCGAGGTAGCTATGCCAGTAGAAAGGTGCATCAACGTATTACTACAAATGATTTCAATTTGTTGATTAAGATATGCTACATTAACAGTAACTCAATGCAGCATGTTTTCCCTTTGCTTTTTAGTTAGTTATTACATAATGCATGTTGGTAAAAGCATCAAACTTCTTGAACTCAGCAAATACAATGTTCTCCCATGTTTATGCAAACTTAGGCAAACATAGAAAAGATTTCATGCTAGTTTTGTCATTTCATCCATCATAAAGTGTATATGTCGGGGTTCATATCATAAACTCATAGAATGGCTTGGGTTAGAAGGGACCTCAAAGATTATCTAGTTCCAACCCACTGGCAGGGCTGCCCCCCACAGCTCAGGCTGCCCAGGGCCCCATCCAGCCTGGCTTTGAGTGTCCCCAGGGATGGGACACCCACAACTCTCTGGGCTGCCTGTGCGAGGGCCTCACCACAATGTTGCACACATTCCAGTACATCTTATGAGTGTGAAGTTTCATCAGCAGAATCATAGAATGATAGAATTATTGGAGTTGGAAGGGACCTCTGAAGGCTGTCTAGTCCAACTCCCCTGCAATGAACGGGGACATGCACAGTTAGATCAGGTTGCACAGGGCTTTATTCAGCCTCACCTCGAAAGTCCCCAAGGACGGGGCATCAACCACATCTCTGGGCAACCTGTTTCAGTGCCTCACCACCCTCACTGTGAAATATTTTTTCCTTATACCTAACCAAAATCTACCTTCTTTGAGTTTGAAGCCATTTCCCCTTTTTCTATCACCACAGACCCTGGTAGAGTCTTTCCCCTTCTTCCCTTTATATATTGGAAGGTCTCTATCAGGTCACTTTGCAGTCTTCCCCAGGCTGAACAGCCCCAGCTCTCTCAGCCTGTCCTCAATAGGAGAGGTGTTCCATCCCCTGGATCATTTTTGCGGCCCTCCTCTGGACACGCTCCAACAGGCCTCTCTCTCTCCTGTACTGAGGACTCCCCATCTGAACACAGTACTCCAGGTGAGCCCTCACCAGAGCAGAGAGGCAGGATCACTTCCTTTGTCCTGCTTGCCACGCGTCTTTGGATGCAGCCCAGGATGCGGTTGGCTTTCTGGACTGTGTGGGCACATTGCTGCCTCATGTCCAGCTTGCCATCCACCCCTCTAGGGACAGAGACAGCACTGTGCCCATCCACACAGCCCCACGGAGAAAGCAGGACTGGAGGAACCTTTGCCTCGAACCAGAAGCCAGGTTTACAAGACGTGCCCAAACCCGCCCACACGAGCAGTCTCCGTCCCAGAGCTGCCCGCACGCAGTAGCACACGTACAATCGTAATTCAGCACGCGGCCCGGGGCTGCATTTCACAAGCTCCAACCTCACGAGGAAGGGAGGCACTTGGGGCTCTGCTCCGCAAGGGGTTTCCTGGATTGGTGCTTAAAGTCTCCCGTCGGGCTACGAAGAGGCAAAATCGTCCTGTGAAACGCAGCGCACTGCAGACAGGGGAGACAGGCAGAGACAGCGCCAAGCCTTCCGAGCCGCCTCGGCCACCACACACAGCCACACGCCCACAACCCCACCCAACTAACGGCGGCCGTGCGCAGCAGCAGGAACGTACGGGGAAGCTCTCGCGAGAGGCGGTGCGGAGACGTTCTCGCGAGAGGTGCAGCGGGGATAGGCGGTGCCCGCCGGGCGCTCGCTCCTTTCTGGCGGCCCGGCCATATTGGTGGCGCGTGTCCGGTGAGTGGGGCTCGGCCGGGCGGCCCGAGGAGCCGCTGTTGGGCGCTAACCCGACCCCTGCTGCTCCTGTCTTCCAGGTACCGCCCGACTTAACGGCAGGCAGCGACGATGGTGGCCGCAAAGAAGACGGTGAGTGGGAGCGGGCCGCGTGTGGCCTCACGTGGCGGCGGCCCGGCCTCCGCCGACTGCGGGCGCTGCGCGCTGCGGTGCGGCCGTAGTGCCGGGGCGCTCCGCCGGGCCTGAGGTAGGGAGGAGCGGCCCCGCGCGCGGTCTGAGGCGGGGTGGCGGGGGGAGCTGCGCGCAGCTTGAGGCGCCCGAAGTGGCCCTTGGGCCCGTAGCTCTGAGCGCAGCACCGCGGCTCCTCGTTGCCGGCTTCTCTGTACTCGGTTCTCTCCTGTGCAGCATCCTGGTTGCTTCTGGGTTCCCTGCCCCAGCCGGAGGCAAGGGAGGCTGCAGCTGTGTTCATAGCGTGGTTAAAGGGCCGCAGCGTTCGGGTTTTGTGTTTCCTGATAACTTCTAGTTTTCAGTCTAAAGCTGCTGCAGAAAGTATGAGTTTCGCTTGAGATGGCGGTGTTCGTTATTCCTTATTGGCTGTCACGCACCTGTTGGAGGGGCTGCACCCGCTGCGTGTGGTTATTTGTTTCTGCCAACCAGAGGAACGCCTATTAGTGCATGCCCTGCAAAGTGCCAAACTAGGAATGCGGTCAGGTTTGCAGGGTAGAGGTAGTTTATATTTGAGCATGACTGGCTGAGTGTTGTAAAGGCAAAATAAGAACTCCATGATGTGACTGGGTAACATAGTTGGCAGTGGCAATGCTTTTAATTACAAAGTAGAATCATAGAATCACAAGGTTGGAAAGGACCTACAAGACCATCTAGTGCAACCGTCCGCCCGCTACCAGGTGTAATGTAGTAATTACTACATTACCAAAGTAATGGATAAAAGGTATTTTGTAAAGTTGGCAAACAGTACCAGCATCTTGCTTACCTACAAGCTTTCTTATAATCGTATGGCGTGCTGGCTTTTTTATTCTGCCTTGCAAATAACTGGGACAAGATTGCGTGTGATTGGAGTTTCTTCACCTTACATTCTCTGCAACTTTGTGAAAGGTAAAATAACATGTAATGAAACTCTTATTTTTGCAGAAAAAGTCCCTGGAGTCCATAAACTCCAGGCTTCAGCTGGTGATGAAAAGCGGTAAATATGTGCTAGGATACAAACAGACTCTGAAGATGATTCGTCAAGGCAAAGCCAAGTTGGTCATCCTAGCCAACAACTGTCCTGCTTTGAGGTAAGCAGGTGTATGAAAAAAAATTGTTAAAAACTAAGGCAGGTGCTTTGTAGAACTGCAGATGTGATTAATGCAAGCTGGTAATGCAGAGTAGTTTGTACACATACTCCATAGTGCTGTGAAATAAACATGATGAGTTGTTTGGTGTATACAGACTGTAGGTCTGGATGTGTTACAGTGCTTTCCAGCTGTTTTATAGCTTTCTCATACAAGAAGTTTGCCTTGCAGAACATTCTGTAAGCTTTTTCACACTGTGAAATCAGCATTTCATACCTGGTCTGGTGGGAACTGTCCCTGCACAGGGTGGGGTTGGAGCTAAGTGATCTTCATGATCCCTTCCAACCTAAACCATTGTGTGAAAGTGTAGTGAGACTCAATTCCTGATTCATCAAAGTTGGTACTGGAAAATAATTTTACAAGTAGGAAAAACTAGTAATTGATAGCAATTTAAAATGCTTGAAGCATGGAACTGCTTGTAGAAATGTTTGAAGCTGTTCTAGGAGAATGAAGTCTTCAGTAATCTTCATCTCCTGACAGTCCTTACTGAACTTCTGGTCCCCTTCTGTCAGCAGTGAGTATCAACAGATAAAGGAACTGCAGATACAGGAAAAAGAACCAACATAGATACTTGAGAAATGGGGAGACTGTTTTATTCTTGGCAGGAAATAAAAGTGTTTTTCTAGGCAGAAAGATTTTGGATTGAAGTACAACTGTGAATTTAAGCTGCTTTTGTTGTACAGTCAATCAAATTGTTTGACAGTACTTTAATACCCAGTTTTTGAATCTTAGAAAATCGGAGATTGAATACTACGCCATGCTTGCAAAGACTGGTGTCCATCATTACAGTGGCAACAACATTGAATTGGGCACAGCGTGTGGAAAATACTACAGAGTGTGCACGCTGGCTATTATTGACCCAGGTACGTGTCTCCTGCCATGTAATGAACAAATTGGGTATGTGTCAGTGGTTCTTGCATTCATCTGTGAGTAGCAGTGCTTAGCAAGTAAGGTGCAGATGTACGGTCATATTTTGTTGGTCTCCTTTGCCTTAAACTAGTCCCAAGATCTGTTCTTACTTTGTTAGTCCAAGAATCGGTTTCTTACATTTGCACACAGCTCCTTTTACTGTTCAGCTTTGTTAATGTAGGATCTTGGTAAAATAAATGGCTGGATTGTGAGTTGTCTTGTATCTACAGAAGGAATAAGCTATATGCAGATGGATACTAATCCAGTGCAGAGTTGAAAGTCATATTAAATGTTAACATTGTAAATGTGTGCGTAATTATGTTGCTTGGTAGCACTCTTTGTTCCAGAGAATTGTTCAAGCTCATTCTGGAGAACTACTGAGTATGTGATTTCTTACCTTTCTTCCAAAATTCTATGACAAGAATCAGATTTATCTTACAATGTTCAATTTGACCAAAAGCATTCTAATTAAATGCATACGTGGATTTCTGTTTTAGCTACTCCCACATGTTGTCCAAGTAGCATCAGTTTAAATTCCCTGTTTCTTTAGAAACCTTTATTTAGCTTGTTGGTGTTCTGATAGTAGCTGTAAGCTTATGTGTAAGCTAAAGAAGTGGAGCTTAGCCTTTCTGCTGTGCAGTACCATGCGAATATTCTCGCTGTCCTGATGCTGTGGTGATCAGGGGAGGCTAGACATTCGCTATATTAAGACTGTGCATTGTGTCCTCCAGGACTGGACTGCTGCTCTAGTACTGGCTTTGAAAATGCTAGTAACATAATTATCATAAGCATATTGTGCATGGATTAGCAAAAATGCAGTTACAATATTTTTTAAGTCATCAAAATTACTTTTTTTTTTCTAATTAACTATCTTTGCATTGCTTGAGTGCTTTGACTATAGGGTCACTTGAATTTATTTTGCCTATTTCTGAGAATGGATCTTCTTGCAATAATGTATTTTTGTTTTACAGGTGACTCTGACATCATTAGAAGCATGCCAGAACAAACCAGTGAGAAGTAAATGCTGTAAAGGTGGTCTTTCTACAATAAACTGGTTTCAGATCTGTTTTAAGAGAAATTTGTATTGTATTATACTTCTGCTGGTATTAGAGAACAAACTATAAATGAAGATTTGTTATCACTGCTGTCTGTCTTGTTCTGTTAGAAGTAACCTTCACAGGACAAAACTTGCTTGTTGCCTCCTGTAGAAGTTGAGCTTCAGTAGTAAGACCTGACCGTGGTAAGTATCAAATCCCAACAGGCTGTGGCTTTCTTAAGGTTTTGGTTTTTCTTTTGAGTGCTCATAGGAAAACAAGTTGTAATGAGGTAGTGGCAAATTTGGGATGTTGGTGGGAGACTCCACAGGATTTACTTACACTTAATTTTTTAACACTTTTTTTTTTTAAACTTAGTCACAAGCTCTTAATGCAAATTACTCTTCTTGTCTCTTCTTTCCAAGAGAATATGTGTGTCAGGTGCAAACCAACTAACTGCTAGACGTGATGTACAACATTACACTTTCAGTAAGACACCAAATTGAACATCTCCAAACTGGCCTGAAGTCAGTACCTTTTTTTTTTTTTTTAAAAAAAACAAACAACTTTCTGAATGTGCTGTGATAGAGTGTGATTGAGGTGATGTTCTCAAGTCACTGTTGAGGAGGATGGTGCTATCTGCTGGATTTCTGTCTTTTTTTTTTTTACCACAATTTGAGGATATTTGTTAGTGCTAGTGTACACTACATGGCATATTGCATTTTGCTGACGTGGTTAAAGGGATGCTTAATGACAATCATTTGAACAAGCAGCCCTGAAGAACTTGCATTCTGCTTTCTGAAGTGTATTAAAATACAAGGTGCTTCTTTGTACACATGCATGATCATCAGATCCATAATCACTTAAACCTAATTTTGCTGCAACTACGTTTCTGATATGGAATGGATGTGGTTGTATATTTCAAGTTGGAGACAGTAAAGAAGCAAACACACGTGAAGCAAAGAAGGAATAGCTGGAGTATGCATCTACTGAGGTCCGAATTTGGATCAGTTCAGTACAGTTCAGGTACTGTTGTGGGCATGGAAAATAAAGCTATAAGAAGAGGGCTTTTGCTGTTACGAGGGCAGAAGTAAAACTTTAGTTGGCCTTAAGGTACTTCCAGAATGGCTGGAAGCAACTTGCTGTTTCATTTTCATATTAGCATTTGATGAACAAATGTGCAGCTGGTTTTATTGCCCAAAGAATGTCTTCATATTAAAATGCCAGTTGTATTCTGGGAAGTTCAAGAACTGCTGAATGCTCACCAAGACCAAAGAGGGAAACATCATCGTGTCTGAATCTGGCAAGAGAAACAGTACTTGGAATTTCCAGCTGTGATGCTCTGGTAACTCAACAGATTTCCCACTTCATTTACATTCATCACCATTCAACAAAGGTGTATAAATGTGTATTTCTACTTCCAACTGATTTCTGCAGTCTGCACGTGTTGGAAAGATTGTATGGAACCTAACTGCTGTGAATGCAGTTCTGTTTTCACATATGTGTGTGTATACATACACAGTCACACAGATAGAATGCTTGAAATAGCAACGAGTGAGTGGAGGAGGAAAGTACAGAAAAGCAAGCCAAATAAATTCACAGCTTAAAAATACTTCAAAACATGGAGTTTTCACATGAAAAAATAACAGCATTTTAATGTTTTGCATAGCTTCTTTTGGTTAAGTTCTACTTAATGAGGATTTCTGCTAGTTGCTAAATTGTTTTTATATATAAACTTTCAAAACTTATCTGCAGTCAATGCAAGACAGAACACGTATAGATGCAGGGCTCCAAAATACTTTTTAACTTTAGACAAGGATTTGTTATTTTACTTTGAACTGGTGTAACAAAATAGCTCTCACAACATTGTATGTATAAATACACAGTGTAGTATAAGCTTTAAATTCTGATCAGTATTTTAGTCTGTTTTCCAAGTCTTCCATCCTCTTTGTCATTTCTTCCAGTATATAGAAGTTAAGGAAAGAGCTGATGATGGTGTGCAGTAATATTAAAAAATGCCAGGTGTCTGAGTCAGATGTTGCTGAGCATGACGTTTCTGCTAGGGCCCAGACATGTGCACTGACTTGAGATGTTAACTGTTACACTCAGCTTTACTATCAGTGTATATCAGCATATTCCCAGTCTGTGAACAGGTGAACAAACACTTGGACAATGTTGGGTATGGAGCACAAATCTTACGGGAGCTGCTGAGGAAACCTGCTGAGAAATTGTTCTGGAATCTAAGGGGAGACCTTATTCTCTCTACAACTGCCTGAAGGGAGGTTGTGGCAAGGTGATGGTGGACTTCTCCCATGTAACTAGCAGTACGAATAAAAGAATGGACTCAAATTGCACTGAGGAGCTTCAGGTTGGACACCAGGAAAAACTACTCTAAAAGAGTGGTCAAGTGCTAGAGTGGGCTGCCCAGGAAGGTGTGGAATCACCATCCCTGGAGGTGAAGAGCTATGCAGATGTTGTACAGAGGGATATGGCTTAGTGGGAAATACTGGTGATAGGAGGATGGTTAGACTCGGATTATCTCGGAGGTCTTTTCCAACCTTGGTAATTCTGTGTGTGATTCTAGTGCTTATAGCATCATTCTTAGATGTCTCCAAGATGAGCCATCTACATGGAGGTCTTAAGGTACTAGTACTGCCAGCAAGACCCTGGAGGGCTCTGTTAGCCTGACTGTGGGCAGACATGTTCAACTCCACAATATTTCAGTCCAAAGCTGTTCTTGTCTAGGAAGCACACAAATAGCTGCTTATATATCACTGCACTTCTTGCAGAAAATAAGTGCTTACTGGTCATCTATTCGACTCTTAGAAGACTTAAACAGAAGGTGTGATGCCTTCTTACTACTTAATTTGATTATGTAGAAGCAGGTTTTATGAAGAAAATCCAGGAGTTTGCTGTGTATGTAATGTTTGGTGCAGAATACAGGAGAAACTTATTGCCAGTTTTCTGCTATTTTCCTGAGACCTGATGGATGTTTAAGATATCACAAAGGCTACTCTAGTAACAGCTCCCTTGAAAAGAGAGCCTAGCTTGTGGAAGGGCTATCAGTGTGCACTTAACTCCTTTTTCTATGTGTATTCTTACAAAATTAATCAGACTGCATGTCCTTTGATTCCTCTACATTGGGAATCTTATTTAAAATGCCTTAAAGTGCTTCACCTAGCAGTCAAGAAGGGAAATACCTCCTGATCCCTGTAGCTACTAAATGATCTTTTGTTATTATCCGAAGTAAACAAAGCAAAGAGTGTTAGGCTTGGTTTTTGACTAGTCCTTCCTTTGCTGATCCTGAAGATGCTTACTGTTAGAAATTATTAGAAGTTACGATCCTTATTAATATGTTTGGTCCCTTCTGTGAAGGAGACCTCAAGCCTGAAGAGCCCTGCTTCCTGGAGATTGACAGTCTCCAAGTAGTTCAGCTTTTCATTACAGTAGATTGATTTGAGCCACGGAGGCAGCTTTAGACTTGCAGGTTGTAATTTCTTTTAACCTGCTCTTGATCTGTGCATGAGAAACATTCTGAAAGGATATATCGCTGCGTGAGTCGTCTTACTTCGTTGGTTGCGAAGTTCTGGAACGTCACAAGGTTTTCACATTTGCATTGGTCTTTTGAAGTTTTTGCTGGAAAACAGTCAAGAATAGACAAAATGCTGAATAAATCCAGAGGGCTGAGAGGGGGAAAGACAGACTTCTGAAAGCAGAGCAAGTTCGGTACAGCTTCCTGTTCTCAAAACAAGTCAACATCCACAGGAATGCCATGGGGCAGATTTTGTAAATACTGGAAAATATTACACAGCACTCCTTAAAAGACCAGGCAGAATTACCTAAGCAAAGAACCTAATTACCTGTTGTTCTTGTTGAGTGAGTGTGACTGTCTTCAAAAAGATACTTATGCTGTATTGCAAGACTGGGACAGGCAAGGACATCTGTGATTTCTACTGTGGTTGATTCAGGTCCTGCAGGAAACCCCCCAAAAGTCTAAAAATCATACCCACTTTATGGTACAGTATTTTTGCTACTCACATGCACAGAGTTTTCCCTTATCAGTGAGTAATGTCACTAATTGTAGTGAGAGGATCATTCATGGAGAGGATAGCAATACAAAGATGTGAAGGAACCAAGCTGTTAGGCTGTATTTACTGTGTATGTGATTTAAGCTGCGGGTTGCAGAACTGAAAGGGAGTTGTGAAGTGTGAGAAACAAGTGATTGAAAGCTGAACATGCTTCACAGAAATCGAGCACAGTATTGAAATACAAGCTTTCCCTTGAAGTAATTTATTTGGATGGTGTAAAAAGGGAGCATGCAGCCGTGCGTTTGTTACAGTGGATCTCAAATTTTCTGTACTAGGAGCAGATCTGAATTGCAGAAAAGAAAATTGCAGAAAAGAAGACTCCAGGGGAGATGGGTGGGGAAAGCAGTTCTCCTCTGAGTGAATTGTTAGGGCTCTGCAGAAGAAGCCATGCTGAGGCAGCTTCGCAATGATCGGCGCTGACTGGGGACACAGCGGGACACTGAGTTCAAACAGCCAACCTGATGACTGTGGATTAGTCCTATGGAGCCTTCCAGATGACAGATCTTGCCGGTGAGCTGAATTTCTCAAGGCTGGTAGAAAGAAATGGTTATTTAATTAAATGAGATCACAGAAAGGACAATAAAGATGTAATTCCCTAGAAAATCAAATCTTACTTGTCTTTCACCGTACATGGAGATGGCCTCATACCTGGCTTCAAGAGGTCCAGTGTTGATGGACAACACCTGGCTTCAAGAGGTCCAGTGTTGATGGACAACACACGACGACTCACCTTTCAACTCATCTATTGGAGCTCTCCCAGAACTGAAAGTACTTTACAAGTAGATTAACAGTGTGAAATCACAGCAGCCAATGTTGTGTCCTTCTTGTGAAAATTCTTGCGTGTTGCACTGTAACCCGTGAGTTTTTTGAGGGTGAACTGAATAAGAATAAAAACTGCTTACAGAAGGATGAAATATTATTTTCCCCATTGAAAGGAATTTGGAAGTGCTTGGTGAGAAGGGTGTGGTAGTTTCTTTAATGCACTATAATTACCAGAAAAAGTACAGGTTTCTAGCTCAAGGAAGCATAGACTGAAGTCTAATTTATTTATTAGTGTCTTCACAGAATGGAAACGTCTTTGTCAAGGGTAATTCTGCACACTGCCTGTTTCCTGCCACAAGAGGGTAATGTAGAGGCAGCTTTTGTTTCTTAGGAGTTCTTTTCCAGAAAACGAAACGCTTTACTTTCAGTTAATTTTAGAGCCCTTGGGTGCACAGATGAATTGGAAAGTGCACACTGAACCACTGCACACCTTCATCTACTGTGCCAGGGGAGTGCATGTGAATGTCTGGAACTCCCTTCCTCCTGATTCTGCAATATGTACCCAAATTTCCTTCCATCCTAGAAAGTGGTTACATGAGGAGAAATAGTAAGAGTACAAATGCTGGTGTGCCATCAAGATGCAGCAGGCAGATGGAAGATTCTTCTGGACCTGACCTGTTTGTCACAGCTATTGGGAGCTCTATCTCTATTGGTCCTGTGAGTTTTGACGAATACACGATAACACAGATTTATTAAGTTGCACTGGGAAGCAGATGATGAACTTGGGGTGGAAGCTGGAATGGCTGAACACAAGGAACAGGGAATGAATGGAGATGGGGCGATGGAAAAGAGGGGAGTAACTGAATAAAACCAGTGTTTATTGGACAGAACTAGAGCATTTATATACATTTAAAAAGCAGGACTGGGACCTTGCTTGATGGAACAGTGAGATCTCAGAGAAAATAGTCCAGGACAGAAACATGTCGGATGAGATCATGAAGCAAGGAAGAAACAAACTAGGTGATGAGTTCAGCATAAGGATGAGCGACTAGGAACGAGAATGGTGAAATTCTACATGTAGGAAGGACAGAACAGGTAAGGTGAACCTTGAGTATTTGACACCAGGTAATGGATGGGCCTAGAAGCTGCTTAAGGGCAGTAGGCTAATAAGACTGTCTAAAGCAGAGGGACTGACATGGAAAGTCTGAGCTTTGGGTGCTCAGGATTTGGATGTAAGATGGGGAAAAAACAAGACTGAGATACATTGGCAGAGGTGGGGCAGAATGTTTCTAGTCTGAGATCAGGCATTTCAGAAACTCCTTTTCAGGTTTTAGAAAATAGTTTGGACCTGAAGAATTCTGTTCTTGTGCTTCTGGCAAAGCTGTAAACAATCAGACAAGTACAGACAGGTTGCTAGCAGTAATGATGAAGTCAGTGCAGTGAACATACATACTCAGGTTTTTTTTGGGGGCAGAACTCATGCTAAACTGAGGTGCTTGTTTCTAGTGTTCTCTTTTGGAACAAAACTTAAGTAAAGCCCATGAGAAAGTGTTTTCCAAAGCAGTGGCTGACTATTTGCAGCAGTTACAATGGTCTGCAATTTGAAAGAACAAAATGTTTAGCAGCAGGCTGCTGAATGCTGTCATCTGATCAGGGCTGGAGTCTTGAGACGAACATAAATCTAACCATGTAATTAAAGGCTCCCATAACACACGTGCTCTGAACAGGCGTCAAAAGGCAACCATGATGAGTGCCTATTGTATGTGACACTGCTGTAGCTTTGTCAGTGCTTCCAATCATATGAGAATTGAATGTTAAATGAGGCAATGAATAGGAATCTTTCAATTGAACTATCCTTATTAATAATTCCTCTTTGTAATAGAAGAGAAAAGCACATTTTCATGACTAGTCATCAAGAATAATAGTAATCAGCAGCTATTCTACAGAGCTGATGTTTTCTTGCAGAGTAAAAGGAGAAAGCCTTACCCCAAAACAGATTTGGAGGGTTTCTGCTTTGCTTAGAAAAAGGCAGGGACTGGGGATGAGAGGATTTGTCAGTGGAGTCCATGTCTGGGCTGCAGACAAGTTCAGAGGGCCCTCAAAAGTTCACTGCCCTCATAAGCCTTAGATTAGTTCTTGCAAAGGAGGGAAAAAAACTAGGCCCAGAGGAAAAACTGAAAGGAAAAAATGAACTTCCAGCTTGTGGAACAGGTTTGGAGGCAGAATTTCTGGTGGAGTGAGTAGATGAGCAATATGTAGTTCTAAAGTGTCCAGGAAAATAACCAGCTGGGCAAGTCCAGAGTTATCCACTGGTGTGAGGCAGTGCCTAGAGGTGAGCCAGGAGGAGGCAGGCAGAAACTCTGAGGCAGAAGCTCTGCCCTGCTACTACAGGTGCAGTTTAAAAACTGCCACAAAGGGGCAGGATTTACTTATTTTTCATGTTGCAGGTACTGTATTAAAAATTACAGCTGCTGAATACTGTTGTGGGTACCTGAAGGATGCATTTCCATCACTGAGCTCTGGGTTTGCTAATCAGTGAGAATTATTTCACCAGTTGCCAGATAATTTTGTCTTTGGCATCTCCCCAGGCTTTTAAGATGACTTGCTGTCATCAGTAAATTATCTGCCTAGTAAGAAAGTTAACGAACAGACTCGGTTTCATGTTATCATAGTACTCTGAATTTCAGAAAGACTGAGCTAGAAGATTCTTATTATTAAGAGAAGCCCAAAGAATATGCAAACTAGGAAATATTCTCACATTCTTTTTTTTTTCTTTTTTTTCAGATTCTTGGTGTCTGAACGAGGAAGAAATGCACTGCTCCTTGCCAGCCAATTGTACACAGTAACACTAAGGAGTAAAGTAAAATATCTTTGCATTAAATTTCAAGAAAAAACAACCAAATAAAAGTAGTGAAAATTAAACCATCCTGTAGTAGTAGTGCTGCTCTCAATATTATTCACTGTGAAGTTACTGTGTTTTGTTTTGAGTACAAATTTGAATGTTCTAATAATATCCACTGCTGGGAGCATGTGAGTAGAAGAGACACACAGTCCTCTCTGGCTGTACACATTTAATCCCAGCTCACATTCCCTCCTTCCTTTGCAAAACATCAGGTGGGAATGTTTAGAGAGAGGCTGGTTGTGCCCAAATGAGGAAGGGTACTTTCTGCAACAAACCTATATCTGTAAGCAAAACTTGGAGTTTATGTACAACTGTGATCCATTCTCTGTAGCTGAATATGTATATTCAGTGAACTATTTTAAATGTTTTATAAATATATACTACATATCTTGATAATTTGTTCCATGTTTTGGGGTGCTTTTTTTTTGTTTTGTTTTGCTTTTTGCTATTGAACTTAAGAACAATTTTTTATTCTCATTAAAACTTTATGAACCCATTATTATTTTCCCACATTCCTAATGAACTAGATCACACTGCTTTGGCAGGGTGGGGTTCAGTGCTCTGCTGACTTGAGCGTAGCAGAAAGAAAGGGGAGGAAGCAATTAATTCTTCTGAGCACAGGAGTGTACATTTTAGACAAGTGTTAAGAAAACAAAGGAAAAGAAATCCTGCACCTTTACCTAGTGATAGATGGTGTGTATATATTCCTTACATATTAAAAGGCAGAAAAATCACCATGAGTGACTGGCACCCTGTAATGTGTCGTAGCAATGATCTATGCTATGACAGAGGCCACTGTGAATAAAAGTACCTACTCCTTCAGCCTGCAAAAGAAATCTGTAAGCATGCATTCCTCTTCTATCAATTAAAGCAGAATACTGGTACCTTCACAGATCTGAACTTTCAGCTCTTCGCTTATGTCCTCCATTGCTGTGAAATCCTCAGCATAAAAGAGATGTTTATATGATGGCTCAGAAGCAATTTCCAACAGTTCCTCTTCAATTGCTTTTCCTATTCCAATGGCATAGATAATTATACCTAGAAGAAATTGCATATAATTATTACATCAGCAGTCCTAAACCCTTGATCCTCCATGAAAGGAAAATATGAGTATTAGTCATTTCAGGAAGAGAGCAGGAAAGCATGAAAAGTGTATATATGCCATGTATCTTCAAAATTGTGTACGAAGAGGGATATTAATGCTTCTGTTATTTAGAAGATGTTTAGAAACTCACTGCTTTACTGACTGTAATTTGACAGATAGTTTTTATGACAGAGAGATGAGAGTTGCTTGGCCACTACTAGAGTAAATGTACCCAGAAAGAGCACTGCAAAACATCCAAGAAAATCAGCTGCACAAAGTCTAGTGGGAGGTCAGTAACTAGCTGTGTACCCCAGGAGTCAATACTGCGGCATCTTCTAAAGTCTGGCTGTACTCTCTATGTTCCAGGCCATCAGCCTTTGTTCTTAATGCAATTTTTCAGAAAACAGAAAATGCTTTGCTTTGCAGAGAAAAAAGGGATCCTTCATTTTCTTGAAAAGCTTTGAAAATTTTCAGTAATCTCTGCTGAATAGATGTAAAGCTTTTGATTTGTGGTGCAGGTGTCCTACATGACAGCCTTCTGTCCCAGACATATTTTGTCTTAAAAGCCAGCACCTTTGAGTTACTTTATGGCACGATCTGTCGTGCTGGAAGACAGCACTGAAGCTATATGCATACGAAAGGGGAGCCCTTCTTCCTTCCAGCACAGCATCAGCGCTTAGACTTAGTTAAAAATACATAATATAAATAAAGATATAACGTAATCAATTATTAAATTATTAAACAACGTAAACTTCCCAGTAGATTTCTGTATTTTGAAGAGGCAGGGTTGTGTTTTTTTTTTTAATTAGTGTCTTCTTACTGTTAGAATTTTTGATGAATTTTCCAGTATCAAGTACCTACCCTCAGGGAAATGCATGGCATGCCATGTGAGTCAACGCACTACCTGTGGGTGGCACAGAACCCCAGTAGTGAGGCACTCAGCCATTAGTCCCACAGAAGGAATGACAGAACTCAGCAGCAATGGCTCTGTGAAACCAAAGATCTCGAGTTCTGCTGCAACGGTCACTCAACTAGCCAGACTGCTGTGGCAAACTGTCTTGATTAGCAGGTACTGTAACACATCCATACAATTACCACATCTTATTTAGCACCACGTTTACCTTTCTGAAAGAATGAAAGACATCGCCACTCACCACTTCTCTTTGCTCTAGCAGCCCAGTCAGAGACTTCATCTTGGGCTCGTCCGTCTGTAAACACAATGGAGATTCGGGGGATGTTTGCTGACAGTGGTCTGGCTCCTTCTGTTTCTGTGAAGCTTCTCTCAAACATTTGCTTCAGAGCCAGTCCTGTCATGGAGCCTCGCCCCATATATTTCATTTGTGATACAGCTTTCTTCATGTCTTTGGCTGTGCTAAACTGTCTTAATGTAAACTCTGTGCGGACTTCAGAGGAATACTGAAGCAAACCAACTCGAGCAGCTTTGGGTGAAATCTCAAGTGTATCTAATATTCCTGAGACGAATTGTTTTACAATTTCAAAATTATCCTCTCCGAGACTTTTTGATCCATCAATCACAAACACCAGATCAACTGGGCCTTCAGTGCATCCTGTGAAAAAAGCAGAAGTGTTCAGATAATGAAAAAACTGCACAAAGCTGTAAATAGGACTGCATGAACACAGAGATAACCTTGGTACATTACTCCTGGCTCAGCCAACCTTGCAGTGTGTCTAGAACTGTTTGTGGACAGTCTTTATCAAAAGCTAAGAGTGTGCCAAAAGCTTTTAACAATAATCTAATCACAGTGTCTATCTATAAATACGTGTCACTTTGCAGAATAATACAACTCCAAAAAATGCTGCTCTTTTTTTGTGAGTTTGCAGTAAATCAGATTTTTAAGAAAACCTTAAGAATGACTGTTAAGTGGAGAAAACTGCGTAACTGAAGATCTTTAGGATGTAGAAACAAAGCTTCCATCATTTTCTTCCAGGGATAGGATGCTAACATGCATAGGACAGTATGTTAACTTTACCTGAAAATGCAGATGACCTGAAATAATGAGAATTGCTGAAGCTGTGTTTGTAGTGCAGAAGTAGCAAAAATGTAAAGATGATACAAGAAAAAAAAAATAAATGAAAGAGTTGCTGAAGCCACACATACATAAAAGGAGAAAATCTAGAAGTCATGTTTAGAGCTGCAGGAAAAAATGAGACAGGAGCCAAAGAGCTCAGGGAAGGCTGAGAGAGAAGGGTTACGCAGAATGCCCTACAGTTTAGGAGTAGGAGAGAGAGTATGGACAACACTCATGTTTTTATAGCACAAGCTTAAATCTCTAGTGGCAGAAAAACAACTGAAAAATTAAAAGTGAGGCAGTAAACACTAGAAGGATTTCTAGCTGCTAATGTTGGATAAAAATGGTTTATATACCTTGCTTGTAACTCACTGCTGAAACTAATCTTTTCTGTTTCACCCACTGAAGCTGGGAGACAATCTAGGAGAGCCTGACAACTTTGCAGTCTCATACTTGGTTAAGTGCAAATGCAAAATTCAAAGCGGTTTGTAAGCATTCTGATTTGACTGCAGAACATACTGAAGACATCTATTATTGAGTCAGTGTAGGAATAAGGAATTTTCACTAATGTTTGGACTTTTCTTCTTAGACAACAGCCTTTTTAGAACTACTGTCCAAGAATTCCTTGCTGCTGAAGAAACAATGCATCATGTACTAAAGTAATGGTAATACAATGACTATCAGAACCACTTCAGTATCACTCCATATGTCAGGATGAAGCAACAGCTCAAGGTGAGCTGGGTTAATTACAGTTGAATTCAGTCACAAACATGTTTTAGTAATAATAATGTGCTCCCCAAGAAAGGCATACATTTTTGCAGAATATACGCTTTTACTGAGCTCCAGCAGAAGAGTTTCTCCTCCAGGAACTAAAAGGGTGATGCAATAAATGCATATAATGCTCTAAGCATGTCATATTAAAAGCTAAGAATAAAGTACACATTTCCTTGATAATAATATTTCTTTTTTTTTTTTTTTTTTCTTGACATTTGGGAAAGATTATTATTGTACTTGATGCTATATGAAAACAACTGTTCCAAATTCTTAGTTTTTTGCTTACAAGAGCCTGAAGATAAATTGCTCAGTACATTTTCTATGACATTCATATATGCTTCGGGCTCAGTTATCAGTTATATCAGTTATATAAGTTTTGAACGGAGGCTTTTGAAGTGAGGTCAACTAACTTAAACGCTCATAGAAACAATTTATATCCAAATATAATGTACTTACTTCTGCAGGTTTTCTGATCCTCTTTTAGTACATACCCCTCCTGACATTTGCAGACGTATGAATCATCATTATTAACACAAATATGGTCACAACCATGGGCAACTGATTTACAGACATCTTTGCCTATGAAACATTTTAAATATTTATAAATTTAGAGATTCCAAACACAACGTTTAAATAATTTAAATAACACATGTCAAATTAGAACATTTTATCTTTTTTTTTTTCCTATAGCAATGCTGAAGAATGGCAGACAGACAAATTGTTACTTACTTCGACATGTTTTTCCATCTTGTCGCAGGACAAATCCCTCATGGCACTGACAGCTGTATGAATTGTTATTATTAATGCACACATGTTCACAGCCATGGTCAATGGACTTACACAGGTCTTTATCTGAGAATCATTAAGAGAATTTCCTTATTAGATCTATTCTTAAGCGCAAAGCTGGCATGAGCCAGTTTTGAGAAAAATTAAGTCTGTAATCATTTTTATGACTGAAAGGACATATTCCCCATAAAAGTTTTAGGTACTCACTCCTGCATGTTTTCCTGTCTCTCCTCAGTATAAATCCATTGTGGCACTGACAAGTGTATGAATCACCAGCTGGAACACAGACGTGTTCACAACCATGGTTGACTGTTTTGCAGATATTTTTACCTTGGAGTAATGAAAATTATATTTAGCACAGTTAGCTACATAAATAACTTTCACAAAATATAAAAAAGCACAACGATAATCTTCCATGAAGGAGCTCATTTCCAAGAAACTGACTTCATTTTATTCTGTGAAGCTGATTATTAAAAACACAAAGAGCACACCACATAAATAATAAATTTCATGAATAGATCAGAAACTACATAATGAAGACTAAGCAACTTACTTCTACAAGTTTTCCCATCTTCCCTCAGTATGAAGTCATCATGACACTTGCAAATATAGGAATCGTCAGTGTTAACACAAATATGCTCACAGCCATGGTTAACTGACTTGCAAACATCTTTATCTGAGGAGAGTGGACAGTTTGCTAGGTGAGGTTCTTTAGGGAGAGGTAATATCTTTTATTTACCAGATTGTGTAGTTATGAATCACAGATAAACATATTCATGCACAAACTCTCACAGCCACAACACTTAGAAGACGTAACACTTAAAGCCAAAAAAAACATTCTTATTGCTCAGGCTACTCACATTTACATGTCTTTCCATCTTCCTTCAGTATGAAATTTTCATGACACTTGCACATGTAGGATTCTTCTGAATTCACACAAACTTGTTCACAGCCATGGTTGACTGAACTGCAAATATCCTTGTCTGCCATCAAAAGAGTTGGTAGTTAACATATATCAGCAGAGGCCTTGATTATGTTGTTATGTGTCATTCATCAAATTAAGTTCTCATGCTACATACTTTTGCAGGTTTTCCCATCTTCTCTCAGTAGAAATCCATCATGGCATTTGCAAATATACGAATCATCAGTATTAACACAAACATGTTCACAGCCGTGGTTGACTGACCTGCAAAGATCTTTATCTGAGAACAGATGACAGCTCTTGCTAGTTAATACATTTCTACACGACCTTGAATTGCAGATAAAAAGCATGCTGATAAATATCAGACTACTTACTTCTGCATGTTTTTCCATCTTCTCTTAGCAGGAATCCCTCCCGACACTTACAAACAAATTCATCACCAGCATTAACACAAGCATGTTCACAGCCATGGTTGACTGATTTGCAAATATCCTTGCCTGGAAATAGATAAAATGTAATGTGATTTGCTAGTTAAAATTTTTTCAGATTTTTCATAAAGACTGCAGGGGTAATCCCATCAGCAAAGAAATATGGAAGCACGCACACTGAAAGCTAGTTAAAGGATTGACAGCTTACCTCACATGAGGCATGAGTTCTTTACTGTCTAAGCAGAAAGAACTACGTGGTTTGGATGGTCTCCCAGTGATGCTGAATCATTTTAGGACCAATCTGACTAGATTAAGAAGGAGGACCTTACATGGGCAGCAGGAAGAGTAAAAGAAGGAATATTTAGTATAGTTATTTAGCAAAAATTCATGCTAGTGAAAACAAAACTGAACAAAAAAACACAGCACATGAAGCAAAGCGCTCCTTTAGGATTCTTACATCAATGCTAAGAATCTGCACAAGCAAAACTCAGGAGTGTAGGAACTACTGATTTAAGGGCATGAAGAAAATCAGCAGTATTGGGAAAAACTGATGAGGGGATTTCTATGAGTGCAACGTTAAAGCCAACTGGCCATAACCTCTTCAAGAACAGAGAAAGAAAAAGCAGAAAAGGAAGTCATCCCATCTATCAGCATTCCCTGTTCCTTTCTCACTGCAACAAAAAAAGAAAATATTCTCAGTTGTTAATGCAACCTTTACACAGCGACTACAACACTGGATGCCACTCACAGCAGAGTTCAGATCTGTTAGAATTACAGAATTGTATCCCAAGTTGGAAAAGACCCGCAAGAGTCATCAAGCCCAGCTCCCAGCTCCACACAGGACACCCCAAATCCAAACCCAGTGTCTGAGCGCTGCCCAAACGCTCCCTGAACTCCGGCATGGGGCCGTGCCCGCTGCCCCGTGCAGCCCGTTCCGTGCCCGCCGCCCTCCGCTGCAGCCCCTGTCCCTGAGCGCCACCCGCCCCTCCCCTGACGCAGCTCCGTGCCGTTCCCTCAGCCCTGTCGCTGTCACACGGAGCAGAGCTCAGCGCTGCCCCTCTGCTCCCTGCAGCCGCTGTCAGGCCTCCCCTCAGCTCCTCTGCTCTGGGCTGCACAAACACAGGGATGTCATGTGGGATAAGCCCTTCCCTCACCTGCTGGCAGTGCTGGGCCTGCTGCACCCCAGGTACGGTCGCCCTTGTGGCTGCCAGGGCACACTGCTGACTTGTGTTTAACTTGCCATCACCCAGAACCCCCAGATCCATTTCTGGGGCTGCTCTCCTGTTCCCCACTCTGTACATGTAAGCAGGGCTGCTCCATCCCTGGTGCAGAATTCAGCGCTTTCTCTTGTTAAAGTTAGCGCTGGTAACTGGTTGGTGATTGCCCAGCCTGCTAACTTGTCAACACCTCTCTTCAAGGTCTCTCTGCCCTCAGGGAAGTCAATAGCTCTTCCTAATTTAGTATCATATTTACTTAGTATGCATTCAAGTGCTGCGTTCAGATAATTTTCAGAAACACTGATAAAAGCTGGCCATAAATTGGAGGTGGAGTGACTGGCCTGATGTAACTCCATTTATTATAACCTTTTGAGCCCAACCTGTCTGTCAAATGTTCACCATCTGCATTATGTTTTTGGCTAGCCAGACATTTTGTCCAAAAGGATAATGTGAGAAAGCTTAATGAAAGCCTTGCTGAAATCCAGAAATATCAGATCAGCTGGATTCTCCTGATTCTTGGCAATTAGCAGAATAACCAATTAGGCTTAATGTGTAGGAAAAAAAATATTTTTTCACAAGAACTTCAGCCTAAGGTACATTACTTGAACAGTTCAGGCTGCCAATACAAAGAACTGCAAAAAATGCTAGAGTGGACAATCTTCTAACTCAACAAGCGTTACATTCAAGGCATAACAATCTCAACTAGATCCCATTCCAGCAGGTAAAGAAGAAATGATTATGGAGGTAAAAATTAGCATTAGTTAGCATCAGCTTATGCACAGCTGCGTGCAACATTCATTATTTTCAAATGGAATGAAATATAAATGAGCAACAAAGTTCTACTTAAAAAGAATAGATTTTATATAGCCGAAAGCAATTGTGAGCCAAAGTACTTTGTGACCAGAGGTGAAATAATTTAAACAAAAGTGAGTGATGACTGTAGTATTAAATCTTGCTTTACTGGGTTCCCCCAGAAAAAAACTCTACAGACATCATCTAAAAAGAACACCAGAATAGTTAAAAAAGGAAGAGAAACTGAAATAGAATACAGCTGTAAGATTTGAATAATGATTGAAAGGAAAATTCACATTATTTACTGAAATTGAAAATAAGTGGAATTTGAAACACTGAAATGAAAAGACACAGGCTAAGCTGCAATGCCAACAAAATAAAGGACAGTATACGTTATTTGAGGGGTGTTTGCAACAAAAAACCATTCTCACAATATATTGTTAATTAGTAGGTAGAAATGCTAGAATTTCCATCTTTATGCATAAAAGAAAAAATAGTAAAAATACTCAGATTTGAATTTTTCGAAATATAGGCTACAGATGATACTGTTAGAACAAAGAGTTTCATCAGTTGAGAAGCAGGTCACACAGTATCTACTGAAGAAACAGCAGTAACTCCAGATCAGTTGCAGCCAAGAGCTGTAAAAAGATCTGGCTGAATAACACTTTGGATGCTTAATATCATTTTTTGTTACCTCCTGGAACTCCATGGAAGTCCCAAAACACTAAAGTTTTCATCTCCAGAGCCTACACACACAGTGTTTGAAAACTATAGTGAGTTCACTGCAAGCCTGTCAGCTTGACGTTAATCTGCATTCAAACAACCAAGTAGATAAATGTGGACTTTGATTTAGGAAAAATGAAAGAAAGAAAAATATTCAAGTTTATATTATGAAAAAATAGGTCCCAGATAAGTAAATAAGAATCTTCTTAATTGATTATGAAGCTGGTTCATAATGCTCAGGGAATTCAGTAGGGCATCAGTCTGGATATTCAATGAACCTAAATGGATTAACATTGGCTAGAGAGGTCTTCAGGATAAACTGTAAATGGGGAATCACCAAGTGGCTTTCTTTCTAAGAATGTGTCCTGCTCTCTACTGCTTAGAATTTTAATGAACAATATTAAAAATATATATAAAATAATCACTAATGAAGTTTACAGGTTACTTTATTGTTGAGAGAATGATAAATAAAAATACAGCTCTGCCGATGTAAGGAAACACAAACCTTTTTGCAAGCTGAGTAAAAACAAACTGTCAGTATTTTAAAATAGCCAGAAGTAAACTTACATAATTTAGAAACAAAGAATGAAGGCTGTACTCATAAGATGTGGGACATTTATATGACTGAGAGTTTTAAAAGGCTTACGTTCATGGTATATAACTAGCTGAACATGAGCCTTAGGAGAATCTCATGGACTAACACTGTCTTTGGTCATAAGAGAAGGGAAGAATAAGAATTAGGTGGGTAACAGTTCCTGTATGCTGGACCCTGCTGTATGCTGTATTAGAGGACTCTGTACTATGTTCCACGTTGTGACATCACTGCAACAATACTGATAAATAGAAGCTTCAGGAGAGTAAGAAGAGATTTATGAGAAGAGTGGAAATGATATAGAGAGCCTGAAGGAATTTCACCTGCTTACTGTTTACTAAAACCACGTTAAGAGGCTAAGCTGATCAGTTAAATTATGGTCTAGGTGAGTATACACAGAACTCCAACTCCTCACAGTCAAATGAGGCAAAATCCTATGCTCAAGATTAAATCGTGACATAGTCTAAAAATGAAGTTCACATTTAAAAATGCACATTCTGACCTTAAAATTGATTGATTTTCTGAAATACATTTTAAATTCAAACAATAATTAATAGAAATCTTGCGACCTACAGAGGACAATATTCCATTCTGACCACCATGAATCAGTGAATAATTTCGTAATAGAAGGGAAATTATATTTCCTCTTTTATTGACAAGCAACTTACTTCGGCATGTTTTCCCATCTTGCCTCAGTACAAATCCGTCATGGCATTGGCAAGTATATGAGTCATCAGTATTAACACAAAGATGTTCACAGCCATGATTGACTGATTTGCAGATATCCTTACCTAGGAATAATGTAGATTTTATTTACTACAGTTTAATAATTGAGAACATTTCAAAAAATGTAGAGACTAAAAGTGTTACGTTCCTAGTAAAATAAAGAATCTATCCTCCTTTTTATCACATAAAATCACAAATCAGAAGACCTGTTTCTAACACAACATGCTTCCTCCGTGACTCCAGAGTGAGAAAATTACAGTAACATCAATAATTTACTTACTTTTACATGTTTTCTCATCTTCCCTCAATACAAAACCCTCATAACACTGGCAAATGTATGAATTATCAGTGTTCACACAAACATGCTCACAGCCGTGGTCAACAGAATTGCAAACGTCTTTATCTGGAAAAACATAAGAGTGCCAGTATTTAAACCATGTCTGCAAATGCCCAGATTATAAAAGGAATCTTCTGTTAAAGGTAAGTACACTTACTTCTACATGTTTTTCCATCTTGTCTTAATGCAAATCCCTCGTAGCACTGGCAGACATACGACTCATCAGCATTAACACAAACATGTTCACAGCCATGGTCAACTGAACTGCAAATGTCTTTATCTGAGAACAGTTGATGGGTTTTGGTTAAAGCACATCTTCAATGTATATATTATGGAAGGAGAAGTAGTAGTTTTTATTAGGTTCACTGACATCATTCAAAGAAACGGACAAAAATTTAGGCAGAAAACACTTCTAGTTCTTGGTACCTGAAGAATTGTAGGCGTCGTTTTTTGTTTGTCTTCAGTCATAGCAGTTTGGCTACTAAAGTATACTATTACTGTTCCCCGAGTCTCTTACAAGCTTCTAGCAGGTATAACAATATTAATTCCACATTATGAGTAAGTTATGGAAGTTAAAATAATTCCACAAATCTACATACTATAGATAAAAGTCTACCAGAATACTTACTTCTGCATGTTTTCCCATCTTCTCTCAATAGGAAACCTTCATGACACTCACAAGCATAAGAGTCATCTTTGTTAACACAAATATGCTCACAGCCATGGCTGATTGATTTGCAGATGTCCTGTCCTGGGAATTAGTTAGATATAGATACAGTTTGGAATGATAACGTGTTCAAAAGGATCAAAAGGATGTTTTCTAGTGAGAAGTGAAGAAGTGATAAATACCTTTCTTTCCTTGCCTAATGCACATGCAAAAATGTTCTAAATATATATGGGTTACTCACTTCTGCATGTTTTCCCATCATCTCTCAATATGAATCCTTCACGGCACTTGCAGACGTAAGAATTGTCAGTACTAACACAAACATGCTCACAGCCATGGCTGACTGATTTGCAGACATTTTTACCTGAGAATAAATCAACAGATAAAGAACTGTGCTAGTTAAAGGCAAGATGTTTTGTCTTACAGCTTCCAGGTACCGAATATTCTTGTTCTTGCTGGTATTCTGGACTCAATTCAGCAAATCATTTACAGCACTTACTGTAAGTTTTTATTGTAACAAAGAGCCAATCTTTGTTCTACAATTTTTACAACTTTATTATTAAGGAAAAGTGCACTGCTTTGGTTCCAGAGTTTGTATAACTTAATGCGTCCCCATCATGCATGTTAATGTCCTGCAGAGATTTCCAAAAGCATTTAAACTCCACATCCACATTTCAAGTAAACTTCCTGGTGAAAAATCAGGATCTTTCCATCACCATAATTTTATCTCCAGTAATAAACTTGTGCCCAAACCTGAAATAGTTAAGCTTTCTTTCCTTGGAGTTCAGATGGTATTTGTCATTTTTCTGTACACAAAAATTACAAAAGCTCAGTGTATGTTGTGCTTAAATGCACAAATTGAACAGTAAGTTGTATGATCCTGCTGTAGACTTTTAGAAAATTGTCAGCTGTAACTGGTTGAGCAAATGTTTTGTGAACTTTTCTGACATGTGATTTAGTTACAAATTGTATTTCAAAATAAAATAAAATTACATCTACTTATTAATATTGGATAAACTAAACTTTCACTTTCTTCCCCATATCCTTTGTTTTCACATAAGGGCTGCTGCATAGACAGAAAATTTCACTTGCTTTTGCAATATCAATCTGTAACTTCTTTTTGAGACAAGCAAAACTTATCTCTGTTCACACGGACTAACAAAGTAGGGTGTTGATGTGATATATGTAATACAAAGCTGATAAATGCAATACAAAACTGATAATACAGAACTTTTCTTTGTCATGTCAGTGTCTGGATTACTTAATTTCTTTTTTATTCTTTTAAATGTTATTTAACAGAAGATGCTGATGGAAATCTTGGACATGATTGGCATTATAGAATACTTTATGCCTGTGTTTTCCAAAGACTTGTCCACAGTTCTTCTCTGATAACTTAGCATGCACTCCAATACCAGGGAAATTTTTTTATACTTCTGTTATTCATCATAACTACATAATGTAGCCAAATGTATAATACAATTACATTATCTATTTTGCAATCAACCTTATCTCACACTGGGCAAAGGAATGAATATTCCATTAGTACTCCTATTCCTATTCCATTAGGCTCCTTTTTGCTATGTAAGTCTTTTGAAATGTTACACATTTTTGTCTTGATTTGAGAAGAAAACTATAGTTATCTGATATAAGAATGTAAGTTGGAATCACATGATTTTGGATCCACACCAGACACAGTTAATTTTATACATTCCAGACATTTAGGGTGCGACTCAGGTGCCTGGAAGTTTGCACTCAGTGCCACTTCAGATGCCCGCAAGCATCGAAGACCTGAACATAATGCTGGCAAACGTGACACCAAAGGGAAAATTGTGAGCTTCTGGAATCCTAGAGCATGTAAAATGTCACTGGAAAGCAACATTTAAGCAATCAAATCCTTCTTACAGTCTTACTTTCTTTATATGTAATAAAAATCTAACATTGACTTGCTGAATAACTTACGTTTACATGTTTTCCCATCATTCCGAAGCCTGTATCCTTCGAAACACTGACAAGTGTAAGATTTGTCACCGTTTATACACAAATGTTCACAGCCATGATCACTCAGAGCACAATAGTCAACTCCTGCAGGAGCAATTGAAGTTATTGAAATAATTAACAATTAAACCATCATTTCTAGTATTTGCAAGGCATATAAGCACCAATTCTGTCCTTTATCTGATAATATGCATATATATATCTTCAGTTAAATTTAAGAGGGTCCTGTGGTATACTTTGCATTAATTACTGTAAGTGGAGTTGAGAATGCATAGCACAACTCAACAGAATCTGTGTCTCAGCACTCTCAGAGTGAATTACAAAAACCTGACACTTGAACAGTGTTTTTATAAAAGACAGTGGCAGTGACAGAGTAGGTGAACCTTCTTCAAAGATGGCCTCTAAATGATCTGATGTAAACACAGCAGGCAGAAAATCCCTGTGGGACCTCAGAGATGTTTGGCTTAGGCTAATCGAACTTTTGCAAAGAATTGCAAACAAGACTTATGGAATATGGTCCATTTTTTCTTCTCAAATTTCCTAAGGGTTTCTTATTTGAAGTACCAAGACATAATATTCCCACTCTGCAGGCAGACTGACTACTTTTTATAGGCTACAGACACAGTATCACACTTTTCTTCTTTTATTGTCAGAGTAGAAATCTGTTTACCACTCAGGTGTTCTCCCAGCTGTCTTAAGATACCTGCGCAACTGTGTATGACACCAGTGTTGTGATTCCCAGATGTTTTCCTTTTAGGAGTGGTAAATGCCAAAAGCCAATCCCTTCCACTCAGCTGCTCATTCAGGGTATCACAAAGTGCCAAAAAAACCTTTCATGATAGTCTAAAAAAAAAGGTTTCAGCAACTCATCTGGAGCTCAGCAGTAAGACATCCTATATCTAAACAAATACAAGGAGAGGGATGCATGGGCAAGAATCATTCAAAAGGTCTCCAGTGTATTGCATGGAGGGATTCTAGAAGCCACAGCATGGTTTTAATGCTGTTGATGGGTCTCCAATTACAGTCTGGAGGAAAATGACTGAATGGAAAAAAAAAAAAAAAAAAAACAAAAACAACCCACATCTATTTTTACTACAAAGGAAAAACAGATTTCCCATTCACAAGTTCTTAAAAATACAGTTTGTCTATTTCTGATTTTTCAGCATTTCTTTCTGATAGCATTTGAATTATTTCTAGTAGATCCTGTCCCGATGCAGGATCAGGACCTTGCACTTGACCTCACTAAACTTCAGAAGGTTTGTGCAAGCCCACCTCTGAAGCCTGTCTATGTCCCTCTGGATGGCATCTCTTCCCTCACCCTGCAGGTGCGTCCTCTACTCTTTGTGAGAACAGAAACCTTTCCCATGTGGGCTGAGATCTAACATGTTTTCAGATGACTTACGTGTGCAGGTTCGTAGGTCCTCATTGATGACAAATCCTTCAGAGCACTGACAGACATAGGAGTCATCAGTATTTAGGCACAGTTGCTCACAACCGTGATTGCTTTCTGCACAGTGGTCCACTCCTATTATTTGTGTTAATAATTGAAGAAAACACATTTTTTTTTAAAGATACATACATCACAAAACTGTAGCTCGTGCACAATGCTCTTACAGAGCAAGGGAAAAAGATCAGTATATATTTTTTTATTTATGCAGTATCCCCATCTATGTTAGTAAACCAAATTAATCAACAACACCTAAGTGAAATGAATACAGCAACTCCACAAAGCAAACAACAAACTTGATAAAGCACAGATTTCCCTTGCCAAACTAACACAAAGTAGAGTCTCAAGGCTCTGCCTGGTATTACCCACAGGATCACACTTTCTTTCTTTAAAAGGCAAGACTCTCTTTTGTTCACCATAAAATTGTCTCTGAGAGAAAGGGAGTGTGTTAACATCTACCATTTATTTGTTTTTCCTATTTTTATTCCGATTCTAACTAAGATAAAACTGAATATTTTTTGAATCTTGTATGAAACAGACAGCACAAGGTGTAGGCTGAGATACGTGCGCTTGCAGATGTACCATGTAATCTGCTGACTCTGTAAGTAGAGCAAAAGCACATTTGAGGAAAAAAAAACTTTATAGCGAACTTTCTCATAACATTTTATTCCTGACTTCTTAATGACTATTTTTAGTTGTATAGGCTCAAATCACGTTAGCTTAACTTGATCAAATGTAGCAGAGTTCCTTCAGGCATGCACAGTCTCACATGTTTCTATTTGCAAATCATTCACAGATGTGACCAGACACGTCTGTAGCTGTCTACATAAAAAACAACAACAAAAAAACAACAAACCTACACTTCATGTCAATTAACTTCATTTTAAATATTGACATCTATTTGTTTATTTAGCTAGGCAATGATGTTGCAGGACTGCGATGAGTCAGTCCAGATTTCCCATTATACATAAATAGAGATACATTGGCTTAAACAAGTAAAGCTGAGGTGAAAGTTTTTACTAGTTTAAGCAAGTTCCAGCTGGAACATTCTCCTTATTCCAAGGACTTACATCATCATGAAGAGGCTTGTGTAACTTCTTGGATCACATTAAAAATGTCCAAAAAAAAAGAGCCGTTTGGCGCCATCTTTTACAATACAAACACCTACACTAATGTGAATTTTAACATTTAAATGCTTTGGTTTCTTATGCAGAATCTTTTAACACATGCTTTCAAGACAGCTGCCTATTTGCAGGTTTTAGAAGATAGTGTAAATGCACATTTCTTCACATGTATGTTGCATTACATTTTATTTCTTTTTTCAACAATTCTAAGAAGGATGATAAGGGGAAGGGAGAGGGGAAAGATCTATATGACTAAAAAAAAAAAAAGACAACCAGTGTCTTATGATACATTTATTTTTAGATATTCAACTTGTGATCGCCTAAAAACATAATTCTTAAAATGTTTTCAGCTCTTGCAACACATCCAAGTTTCCTTAAATATAGCCTTATCACAAATAGTTTATTTAAAAATAATACTCTCTGGCCTATAAACTATTTTTAACTTAATTGACAGCATTCCTTTGGCAATATATGTCAACAGTACATAAGACAAAAATGCTACCCATATTTTAGCTGATATGCAAAATAGTTCTCTGAAAAAAAAAAGTATTTTCTGAAAAGCAGGTGACAGCAAGTGGGCAGTGGTGTTGGTGTTCTCTGGTGCAGCGCTGGTCCTTCCGTGACATTCTTATTAATAGAGGACATTTTATCAAACAGATTGATGAAAGTGTAAACATATGTAAGAAAGAAGTTTCTGTGCATCTCTATTCTATCTCTATTCCATGCATCTCTCTAACATATGTTAGTTTTGCGTGTGCTGCAGTTTAAACAGCATGGCTGAACAACTTTTCCCATTTATTAGGACTAGAGAAGATGACGCCTTAGTTCCGTGTTAAATCTGGGATCTTACCACAGCATTACTAGAGCTCGCTTGTGGCTGACTTTACAGAAACACAGGTTTGCATAACTCAGAAAGATCTCAGAAAGGACTCAGGGGCATTTTCTCATTCTATTCACACCTCACCCCACTGCAGTAACAGCTGCTGCAGTTCACGAGATGCTCACTTCTATGTGTATTGTGATCACGTCGCAGGACGTATCCAAGATGACATTTGCACATAAATGACTCTCCTGAATTAACACATTCATGTTCACAGTCATGCTGACCTAACTCACAGATATTTACATACAGAGAGAGAAAAATGGTGAAGAATTCAAACCAGCCAGGAAGGTTTCTTAAGTACAACAGCTTGGAAAGACTCACTTTCCTTAAATGGTACCAGATTCTATGATCTGCACAACTTTTAAAGCTGTGTACATCTGATAATGACTTGAGGATCTAAGAGCTGTCTCTGAATACTTGGCTAGGCAAGACTGAGCTTAGACTTTACGCTCTTGCTCCAGCAGTCATTAGAATCTATGCCCTCTGGTGGAGGAGGAATGTCTGGTTATACATAATGGGGTTTTTTTCCTGATGTTATGAAGAGGGCAAAAGATTTACAGCCAAATTCAAAAAACCCTAAAGTTAAGGAAAAGTACCCCAGTTTGTCCTTAATTCTCAATTAAATCCTAGGCAATAAGAATTTGAGACAATACAGTCCTTTTGCTGCTATGCTCACCAAGACACATCCATTCTATAAAAATCTGGATGTATTGAAACACCATATAAATACTAAAAGTGAGAATAGCATGGATTGCTGTACAAACAGCACTGTAGCGACAATCATAGAATCACAGAGTGTCCTGGGTTGAAAACATCCTGCGGTTTAAAACCTACTGCTTAAAATCTGCTGTGTGCAGGGTTACCAACCACCAGACCAGGCTGCCCAGAGCCACATCCAGGCTGGCCTTGAATGACTCCAGGGATGGGCATCCTTGGGCAACCTGTTCCAGTGTGTCACCACCCTCTGTGTGAAAATGCTTCTTAGAGATGCTTCTTAGAAAGCATCTCTAAGACTGAAAGAAAACAGTTTCAAAAATACATACAAGCTATAAGAGTCAAGAGACAATAATTGTATTGCTCTAACCAAGCTTCCTATTCATAGAATATCAGCAGTAAAATCCCTCCCCTTCCCCACTCCCCCCAGGACTGTGTCACCAGATCAAGCTAGTTCTTTTATTGACAGCATTACACTGAAAACCTGTGTGACTCTGAATCCCTGCTTGGAAAGAGCTGTAACACAAAAAGTATTTGTGAAGTAAATAATATGTATAATTGGTTTATAATCCCAACATTACTGAGGCTGTTTATACAGTTTGAAGGAAACTGTATGGAGTTTCATGTTTGATTTTAAGTTGCTTTTCATAACTACATTACAATCTATTACTTACTCACAGCTAATGAGGTAAATTTATTCTTGGCTAAAACAACACTGGAAAGCAAGATGAAATTAAAAATAAAACCAAAAACTAAAGAAGACTGTTTATGTCACTGTAAGACAAAACAACAAAGTTTTAGAAAGAGTAAAAAACTTCTTGGTCTTGAGCTGATATTGGTTCCTTTATTACTCCTCAAGTTTTACCCAATCTCTTAAAAAATGTTTAATACACAACCTACTCTACAAAGCAGCAAACTGGGTATCTTTCTGATATGAATGAATGGCTCAGGTAAAATTTGAGTTTATAAAGGAAGATTTGTTTCAAACTTTATTATAGAGAAAACTTTCACCCTTTCAGAAAGGAGAGCATTCACATAAGGTTTAAGAAATGAAAGCAGATGAACTTCACTATGTCCAAAAGATTACTCACTTTTGCATGTTTTCTTATCTGGATTAAGTCTAAACCCTTCTTGGCATCGACAGAAATAGGAATCATCTGTATTAACACATTCCTGTTCACAGCCATGGTCCTGAAGAGCACAGTAGTTTGGTCCTAAGTGGGAAGAACTCAGGTCATTGATAAATATAATTTCCCAGAAGAAGGCTAGGTAAAAACCACTTACCTAATTTTTTTTTTCTTTAGGTACTTTTTTTTTTCCATATGCACCATTTGTAACTTATTGTAACATATTGTTTCAAATTGTTTCAAATTTGGGTATGCCAGATGTGCATACTTAAATGAATTCTTGAAAGACACATGCACTACATGCAGTACAGAAATTAGAAAATCAAATATTTCTTAATATTTCGTGGCTCAGTCCTACATGCTATCTCATCAGAACTGCCTTTTTATTTTACTCAGAGGAAGTTTGATATGATCTGTTACGTACTTGCAAATTATTATTCCCAGAGATAATTAGCTTCCTGGAGAAAGAACTGTTCTTTTCTTGTATGTGTGGTGATCTAACGCAATTGAGCCTTTACACGTGTTGAAAGCATTCACCAATAAACCAAGCAGTAGCAGTGCCAGAAATCCCCTCGTTAATCCAGTAGCTAGGAATTACCTCTGCCTTCCTCACCAACAGTCTGAGTTTACCGCTCTCTTCACACAGAGTAGTCTGCCAGTGTTGGCAGGAGTCCCCTGATGAGCTGTGCTCCTTTTATTTCATTCTGAAAAAACTGGAGTAAACCTCAGAAAAAATCTGTAATGACTGTGCGATAACATTTACGTTTTCAAACTTTTCTTTGAAGCTATGAGCACTGCAGCTTACTTTCAATTTTTGAAAGAAAAAACATGATTCTAAGAAAATCACAAGCTCTTGGGAGCTGCAGCCATTGGCCCTGGCCTGTTTACTGATACTGTGATCTGGTCTACCAAGGGGGTGGTGGAAAAGACAACTGATCTTATTATCAGGTCAGTGTCTATCACAGATGAAAATTCAGAGACTAAGAGAGATCCCTGATTACAGTTTATCACGCTAGAATAAGACTTTCAAAAAGTTTGAAAAGCTTGGCTCAAAGCTTTGATGGATCATTTGTTACATCTTTACTTACTAATGTTCGTTTGCTGTGGATTTTTTTTCCCCCCAAACCAGCTTGTTATTTATTTTCAATGCTTCTAAGAGCTCATCTGCATTTCGCCCAACGCATTTGGAGCCCAAGATAATATTGGAAAGCGTTAGGGTCCTTAAAGGAACAGCCTATCACAGAACACCGTGTATCACAGTACACCTACACAGTACACAGTGGCACTGCTGGTGCCACTAGGACTATGACAGTAGCTGAGTAGCACCTGTGATGGAATGTCCCTTGGGATTTATGGTGAATGTGATCTTGAATTCAAGACAACAATGTAAATCACTGCAAATAAGGAAAACTTCACATTGGAATGCACAAGTGAAGCAAGCAGAAATTACTATCGCTCCTCCTCTCAGCACTGGTGAGTACATTGATGTACATTGCTCTGGAACAGTACTTCCCCACACAGTTAAAGGCAATAAATGCAAGAGGGCTCAACAAAAGCCTACTAACGTTGTCCAGGGCATTCTGCACATGACCTGTTCAGAGTACTTCAGGATTCTGATCTTACCTAGCATGGTGAAGTGGAAGACTATGTCATTACAAAGGTAGTGGATCTAAACCTTTCTTGGTAGCGTCAGATGATAAAACAAGGATCACTGACTTGGGTGATTCAGGTTTGGCATGGGAAAAAGTTCTTCACTGGAAAGACAGACCAGCAGTGAAACTGGCTGCACAGACAGGTTGTGGATTCTCTATTGGAGCTTTCTGAGATTCAATTAGACAAAACTATAGTTGACCTCTTCTTGTGGCAGCTCCACTTTAAAGAAAAGGCTGAAATAGATGACTTCCAGAGATTCTGTCCAACCAACATTTGAAAGCTTTAATACTTGTAACACAAAAACAGCAGCACATGATCAGACTGAAGATCTATATAGCCCAATGTCCCATCTCCACCAATAATTAAAGCAGAGGACAGAAATAGGATGAGTGGGAAATACTACTTTCACAGAACATTCTTTCAGCTTCCAGAGTCTATGGCTCATCAAGTTAAATAGGTTAAAACAATTCATAGGATCAGACAATAAGCTACAAACAACTCAAGACATAAAATATTATGTAAAAGATGCAGTTTGAAAGTGTTTGATTCAAATTGGAAAACACTGATTAAAATTCCTGATCTTAAATTGAAGAAATTTGCAAGAATTTTTGCTTGGGCAGTGGAATGCACTTACACTATACTAGATTTCCAAAACATATGGATATGGAAGTACAAGAGAATTTAGCCAGCTCTTAGCTGACAGATATTTGACAAATGGGCTTCTTCATACAAACTACAAGCAACATGAACTGGTTTCAAGTATAATCTGTCCCTTGGGGATGAAGTAAATTCATCTCTCTGAATTCTCTGATTGTTTATCTAGAAATCAGGTGTCTGGTCCGGCAAAACATGTAGCTCCCTATACAGTCAAGGAAAATACAGTAGAGGTATGACACCTTCTGGAAGTATGACTCTTTTTCAGGATCATGAGGTCAGATATACAGTTTGAATTAGACATTTTCTTTCTAAATATTAAGTGAAACAGGTATCAAGCTTAATGCCCAGAGCAATCTTCTCTTAAGATAAAGATGCCCTCGGTAAAAACACAGAAATGCAGTGCTATATTTAGGATTTTTTTTTTTTTTTTTTTTGAGAAAAAATAGTTCTTCTCATTATTAGATAACAGGCTAAATTTATCACTGGTGTCAGCAATTCCACTCACCTAAAAACTAACGAGGTTTTTCTAGCTACAAATGCAAAATAAGGTATAGTTACCATGGTCTGTCTTTACAAGAAAAAAAGTCAATTAGGACTGTATATCAAGGCTTTCCCTTCATACTTCCTGAAGTTCATTATTACATTAAACTCTATGGAGAACTAAGGGAAGCCTTGGCAAGAGTATTTTCTGGTCTGTATGTTTGCTTTAACTTTATATCTCTTCCAATACCGGTAACTTCAGAACTTGTTGGTCCAGTGCCAATTAAATTTGAGAAACGAGCAAACCTCTGAAGTTATTATAGCCTGGTAGAAACATGGAAGCTTTGTAGAGGCTGCTCATATTCCCAGAGATACCTCTGGCACAAGGTATCAAAGAATACATTATGGAAGAAAATCCATAGGAAAATAGGCTGCAATGTCTCTTCTGAAGTGGAACTATTCACTCTGTTTAATTTTAGCAGCCAAGATGATTACAAATCCTCTTGTACAGCCTTATTCACCTAGGTAGGGAGATGATACTCTAAATGAAAAATCTGGATCATCAAAGAGACTATGCAAGACAAGCTCAAACTATTGGAACAGGAGCCTATTCATAGAAGGGGCCTTTACATCTACATCCTCTCCATAAAAACAAACTAATGCTCAAAACAGCTTTATTAACTTTTATGACATTTGGCTTCAAGGGCACTCTATCATATTCTATACCCGATATACTATTCAGTGTTCCCAGGAACAATGAGAACTAGAAAGAAGGAGTACATACTGTTCATAATTAAACCTTATAATAACTTACTTCTGCAAGTTCTTTTGTCTGGATTTAAAATGAACCCTGGGTGGCATCTACAGTAATAAGAGTCCTCTGTGTTAACACATTCATGTTGGCAACCTTGATTATCCACAGCACAGTAGTCTACAACTGAAAAAGAACAAGAGTAACATTTATAGTTAGAAATACAGAATTAGAACTATTATACATACAAATTATATACTAGTTACACGCAGTAGCTACAAGAGAAGGAAAAGCTGACATAATTTTTGTCCAAAAGAGCCTTTCTGCAAAAAGCAGCGCACTTCAAATTAGATTTCACGAGTCCCACATTATTTCTCCTACTTTCTGAACATTTATCAACTCTGTCAGGAACTTTCTCACTGTGTTTTCTCAAATCTGGAAACCATGCCTCGCTCATTAGCTCTGTCCAGATCTTCATACTGTAGACCAGGAAGTTGCAGAATTTATTTTATTTAGTTTTGTCTTCTGTATGTCCAGATCCAGCCCTGGTATTGCTCTGGTTTTCTTTAATTCCTTCCTAGCTCTATTAGTTATCAAGACCTGTCCCAGCAGCCTGAATACATGGGAGACTGATAGCAATACCTTCTACTTTGCTCCAGAATCATCCTGTAAAATCAGGCACAACTATGAAGCCTGAGAGCTTCAGCTGATTTTCACTGCTATTTTGCTTATACAATGCCATTTGTGGGAAAGAAATAAAACACTGTTATTCTAGTCACATATTTTTTAAGTCTGGTCATGGGTTACACAAATGCGTATTTGCAAGATAGATTGCCAAAAGGGTATTAATGTAATACTTCAGAGTTTACTCAGACACACTCATATGAAAGCACTAAGGAAGTAAAATTAATTGTGTTTAATTTTGTTTTTTGCTTTATTTCTTTACAGGTTAAGCTGTTTCCTTACACTGAAGGCCCTAGAAGAAATCAAAGACAACTCACAAAGCAGGTGTCCTGCCCCCAAAAGCTGCCAGGCCCACTTCAGGCAAGTTTATTCAACTCTTAATGTATCTAACACAGATGTTTATTGAGACAGTTTCCCCATCTTTGCCAACTGAGTAATACTTTTTATGACTCTATACTCTATGCTGCTGACCCTCCCAAACTACTTCTAAGAGTGAGTAGTTTGTTTTAATTAAATAATTTTTTTCTCTGTAATAGACTTCTCTCTGCAAACAATGTACACTCAGGTATACTAAGATACTGAAGGTCATCTAGTCAGGAAAGTAAATAACCTAGTTAGTTACCTAGAAAGAGCTTCTTTTAAGCCTCTGGAATACTTGAGCTGAATTAAGCCAAATTAGATTACTTACTGGCTACCATGTGAAAACATTTTCCTGGCAAGTAGCTTCCTGTTTCCAGACCAAACAGCATCATATAAAAACATATTTGCTGAGTATCTACTACAAGGATCTAAAGTGTTATATAATTAGACAGATTTCCTCTTAAATTCTAACTAAATGCACATCTTCAAGTGTTTTAGAAGACACATTAGCAAATAAGTACACAAAAAATACATACTTTTTTTTCTATACATCATCATCCCTAAGAAGCAGTCCATATAAATCACTTCCACTTTGCTTTTAAACTTCAGTAAACATGCAGTTCTGCCAAAATACCTGTAACTGCCCAACTAATGATTAGGAAGTTGAGAGACAACTAAAATAGGTCAACTAGTCTTAGAATCCTTCATGATCAACACTGTTTTGGAGATGCATATTTATCTTTCCACTCCCTCACTGAGCCCTTAATCCACACAGGCTTGGCCTTGCAGACTGGCATTATTAATCTGCCTACAATTTAATTTCACTTTCAGCTTCACATTTCATTTTGGTAGCCCTTGCTTAGAAGTGAAACTTGCCAACAGGCTGTCAATCAGCAAGTAAGCTGCCAGTGAACTTACATCTTCCTTAAAAAAATTGGGAAGAATTATAAACTTACATATCATATACTGAAGCACTGTAATCTACTGTAAATATACAAAATCTATAAAAGACCAATGCAGAATGATATTCTCCTCATTTTTGTTAAGTCTTACTATTTTCTCATTTCTGTACTGTCAAGATATTGAAATCAGAATGTTAACACTTAATGTTAACCATGACTGCTTCAATATAATCTTTTTCTAAAAGAATGACAGGAGTATTTTGCACAAGCAAGCAATGAATCCAGTTGTCATCTCCCCTGATTTGCTCCACCATGTTTTTCTTGCTTAGAAGTAGTTACCAAGACTGTGAGAGCCATCTTTCGCTTCCAGTTACCAGTTCTGCACTCTGGCTGCTCATGTTGTCCTCTCCAGTCTGCAGGCAGCACAGATCACCCTTCTCTGCTATTGCTGTATCACTACTAATGTCTACATAGGTTTTTAGTCTTAAGAGAACGAAATATGTTAGGAAAAAGGGTAGAATAAACCCTAGGAAGAAATGGAAACGTTAAGTTAGAAGAATGAAAAATAAAGTGAGGAAGGAGAAAAGGAGACTAATGGAAGACCAGTTAACGCCTAGAAACAAGCCAAAAAATGTGTCAGTGCCAGGACTGCAGACAGGTGCCAGCAGCCAAATCACTGCCAGGTGAAGAGAGCCCGAGCCCAACAGCTGCAGCAGCATTGCAGACAGTCCACTGGTGCCAGGAAAGACAGCAACACCAAGAAGATGGAGAGAGTGGGACTAATACTGAGAAGACTGCCTGCTCAGCAGCATAATGGAGAAAGTAGGGCTCATCTCCACCATACTAGAACTGACAGGATTTTGGTCATATAAAAGACAGCTAACTGAAACGCTGCTTAAAAAGGCAGATGATGCTGCTCTACTAGCCACAATTACTGCTGAAAATACTGCTTAATCTACACATTTTTCACAAATTTGCTTGTCCATTCAGTGGCCACTTTAAATGGATGCACTGTAATCTCCTGTTGTGAGATTTTATTTACTTACTGCCATCCAGGTAAATGTCTGACAGCTTTGTCGATAAAACAATTAACATGGCCTTTGGTCCTTAAATAGAAAAATTAGCCCCTCAGAGAACAGGAAGAGAACAAAATAGTAATAACAGCTCATGGCACTAAGTATGAATATATCAGATGAAAATATATGGTAAAAAGAACCACGGATACAAGAACCTGCCAAGAGAAGTCATGAATTTTCATGTTATCTTTCATGCTATTCTAACTCAAAAAAAAAAAAAAATTAAAACCTCCTTTTTGTGTCCCAAATGAAATGCAAGTGGAATTTTCAATTTCATACATAAATTGTATCTATTTTGCACCTCAAAATAGGATTATTCTGCAAGATAATCATTCTATGAAAGTAATAAAAGAGAGACTGCATTACATTAGAGTTCTTAAAAAAGCCAAACAAACAAGAAAGTGTAAATTGTTGGAAGCTGGTTTTCCTGGTAATTTGTGGTGGCCTATGGCAAAACTTGGGGCCAAGCATTCAACTTGGATTTACTTCCATGGAAACTCAGCATGTGCTTGAAATTAAGCACGAATTTAAGTGCTTGCCTGAAGAGAATACCTAACAAATTAAACATTTTTTCTTTAAAGACTCTCTAGGTTATTATGTATGAGTGTGTGCTTGTGTGCATGAGTGTTAGTGCATGATTTGATTCTAGAAGATAATATTTTCCTGAAATGTGTGGGATGTATGAGAAGGGTGACAGCCTAACATTTGAAAAATATTTACTGTATATTAATGAGGAAGAAGTAAGAAGTGAGATACATGTATGGTAATAATGTTTTCCTTGAAAAATTGTTATATTACATATCACGTCAGTACAATGTTGGTCACTTGCATGGATATACAGTAAAACATCACGTACATAGATCCAAGTCAATAGTGTTACTTGCTGTGTGAAATTATAGGCAAAGGCTTAAAAACATGCCAACGTACATTCTTCTATCTTTATCACTCGTGAGAGAGGAGAGCTTCCCATCATTATCAGGTCTAAACTGGTCATTACTTTACATTCGACCTCTCTTTGGTTTGTTTCAAGAGATAAACACAAATGGCTAAGCTCATACTCACCAACACAATTCTTTCCATCTGCATCAAGCTCATACCCTTCATAACACTGACAGACATAAGACCCAGGTGTGTTCACACAAATCTGCTCACAGTTATGCTTCTCCACAGCACAAAGGTCTTGAGCTACAAGGCAGAATGGCACAAATATGAAGTTCTTCGACCTTCTATATTGCACAGGTTGACTATAGATTGAAAATAAATTTCAGGAAGCTATGAAGAGCTCTTTAGAATTGAGCTCATTTTAGCACAGAACATGCCAATATTCTGTTAAAGAAAATGAAAATGAAAAAGATTCACGAACATTTAATTTCTGAGTTTTATCATTTTTCTGTTTCATGCAAAATACAAGTTACCCCTCCCAACAACAAGTCTCATTAGCAAAATTACTACAGCAAACAAGGTCAGTTCAGTTCCTGGTATAATGAAGCACAATTGTCTGCCTTTAACACAGACCAAAAAGAGTGGCTTTCTGAGAATCCCAAGTTTCCCCAGTGAAATCCCTGGAAGGCAGAGTACTTTGTGTTGCTCAGGATCAGGCCTGGAAACTGCTCAACACGTAATTATAATTTACAGCTACAAAAAAAAAAAAACGACGTTCTGGAACATGTTTAAGGACATTAGCCAAACAAACACTAATTTTATTTTATAACTCTCTGCTTCATATCGTGTGGCATGATGAACAGCATAAACAGTAATTTAACTCTCTTGTTCCAATATAAACATCCAAAAATAAGTAATTTTTTTCAGTCATATATGCTCTTTTGTACTATTTTGTGTATTAACGTAAGATTTGAGTGTAACTACAGAAGAATGAAAGATATGAAACTAAACAAGCAGTGCAATGAGTATAGAACAGCCATTATCTGCCATAGCCACTTTTCTCTAGAAAAGTTAGATCAGATTTGGTGAAAGGAGCAAAAAAGAGGTTTTCATCCTTGCATGAATACAAAACCACCTCAATGATTTCCATCTTTTGCATGGATGCAAAACCATCTAAATAAAAAAAAAAAACATCACAAATGCAAGAACATTTTATGTTGAACAAAGGAACATTTTTTTCTGGATTTTGTTCTGGAAGATAGGTGAGTTCTTTTTTTTTTTTTTTTCCTTTCATGTGGAATGCAACAAATCACAAATACAGCACTTTTTTTTCTTTCATAGAATCATGGAATCACAAGGTTGGGAAGGACCTACAAGACCATCTAGTGCAACTGTTCTCCCACTACCACTGCTACCACAAGCACTAAACCATATCTCATAGCTCCTCATCCAGGTGCCTCTTGAACACTGCCAGGGATGGCGACTCCACCACCTCCCTGGGCAGCCATTCCAGTGCCTGACCACCCTCTGAGAGAAAAAAGAGAGAAAATGTTTTTCCTTATGTCTAACCTAAATCTCCTCTGGTACAACTTGTGGCCATTTCCTTGGGTCCTGTTTGTGGCCTAGCAAAAGAGGCCAAACCCCTCCTCATCACAACCTCCCTTCAGGAAGTTGTAAATGAGGTCTCCCCTGAGCCTCCTCTTCTCCAGACTGAACAATCCCAGCTCCCTCAAACACCCCTCGTAAGACTCCAGACCCCTCACCAGTTTCGAAGCACTTCTCTGGACATGTTCCAGGGCATCAATGTCCTTCTTGTAGTGAGGGATCCAAAACTGAACACAATACTCGAGGTGTGGCCTCACTACTGCTGAATACAGAGGGAAGGACTTCCATGCAGAACTGAAGTGCATTAAGTAACAAAACTACCATCCACTCAAAAGAGGAACGCCCTTCAGCCTGGAGCAAAGCTGTTAATTCACTGCTGATTTAAGTCATTTGGCTAAGGGCTTGTAAGAACTGAACAGTGACATGCTGTACTCTCACTACATAAAAAAGAGTTCCAAAAGTTGAAAAGAATATATATTTATGTTCACACAGTTCATTTTTTATTCACTGTTTAATTTAGTAAGTATTAAAATATACATGTGAGGAAACTGTTCACGAATGAGCTAAGAAGTACACTCAAAACTTAGATAAATATATCTGTTTTATGTTGATCATGTACTGCACTAAACATCAATATAATGCAGATTTATTTTACTTAGAGGTCAAGTGAAGAACATGTTGTCCCTGTGCACGGGTGAAAAATAACTTCTAAAGTAACATGGTCACAGACTTCGGGTTCTTCCATCACTACTGCTCAGCATCATTCCATAAACAAGCAGCCCAGTTTCTCCAGCTTTGGTCCCCTTTACTCATGAATTCTGTTATTTCTCTGAGCTTTTATACTGTTTTAATTAATATAAACCATTTATATGATTTATAGTCTAATCTTAGATTTTGAGTGCAATTGTCAAAACTAGTTTATAGTTTGGTAATGTAGAACAATAGGCTACAAATACATGGAATGACTTGTGTCCCTTTCATATTCAGCAAATCTACTACTATCTGGTTGATGATCAAAACAAGTACATAGTCGAGCATATCATGTGTGATAGATAAATAAGGAAAACTCTGTCATAACAAAATTTTTTTAAAATGAATAGTAAAGCAGAGAATTGTAAAAGTTGTATAAAAGCAACACATGCTATCATGCATAGGCCATCAGGAGGAAAACTCCATATCATTCCAAAACTGTCTTAAAAATTAATCTGTAATTCGCAGCAGTGCAGTGACCATAAGCTGAACTACTGGCTAATAAAAACAATGAAAATATAACAAAATATAACAGAACACAATAAACTATTTTTCATACTCACAATTAAAATTTTCTCTATTTTGTACCCTTAGTTGAACCGAATTTATTTTCCAGTTTTAGCAGTATTATTCTCTGAATTCAATTTTCCAAATTGATGTTAGGGGTGAGGACGGAAAAAAAATGTGTAAGAAGAAATTTTAAGAAAGGAGAGATTTTGTATTTTAAGTAAATTCCAGAACAGTGATGAAAGAAATAGATACAAAACTCTTAAATGAGAAGAACTTTAAAAGGGGAAAAATGGGAAGAAGCAGTTAGGGAAGATTACTGAAATATGATTGAAGAGTTGGAGCCTTCATTTGGGATTCCAACCACTCATTTTGGAAGTACAAATACATGGAAGCATAGAGAATAGGCTGTCTAAAAACTGTTCTTGTCACTATTCTTGTTTGCCTCAGCTGCTAAACCAAGCAATAATTAGGAAATATTTCAGATTACATTTAATTTTTTTGCTTCTTCTTAAAGAAACAAAAGCCGGAATAAACATACAAATAAATGTTGAGCAAATTGTGGAAAACACAAAACATAATTCAGACAGCTGTGTATGACATATATCTACATTTTATAAGGGATGCTGGTGAGAAGGGCAAATAAAACAATGATTCCTCAAACTAGCTCATCCCCTGGCTCAACGCTATAATAGGTGAACAATTCAAAAGCAATTTCCTCCTACAACCCGAGGAATCTGAACTTGTCTCCATACACCAGCAAAATTCACCATACAATTTCAGCACTGACATCTTCTGGACCCCACATCTAGTTGCTGAGGCTCTTACTAAAACCGTGTCCCACTACAGATGTAAAAGTCTAATAGTCAACCTGCGGAGTCCTCTCAGACACTGACATATTCCCATTGTTTCAGTCATCGCAAAGGAGAAAAAGAACCCCTTAATTCCAAGCTACTTGATTAAGATGTTGAGATACAAGGGCAGGATCTGAGCTTGCATCCTTCCCCTCATCTCTAAATCACATATTGTGAGGGGGACATCCTTTGCCCTCACCATGATGGCTTTCTCATCTCTTTCAAAAGACATTTTTCAAAATAATTCTTGCAACTAAAATCGGTTTGGCAAATTTGCTTTGAATCCATGGAGTTTTGTGGGGTAAGGAACTGCATTTTTAGCAAGTGTAATTTTCACAAGTGATAAAACTTATTACCTCACAATTAATTCCAAATAACTGTGGATAGAGAAATAAATTTGGCACGTCTTTCTCATGTAATCTGCTGTTAATTATGAGGATGCAAGACAAAATGGACAAAAGAAATACTACTTACAAAGATCACAATTAAACTGAAATATGTTACTATGAATTATACAGTTAAAGCCAATTGCTTAAAAGCAAACGATTTTTTATAGAAAAATGAGAGCACAAGGACTTTTGAAACTCTCTTCTGAAAGATTTTAAGGTTGTATTTCATGCAGAGTTTATAAAGTTTTCCAGAATGGCAAGTTACGTCCCAGTTTCGTAGTATGTGGTTTATTGTCCCTTACTGTGCCACTTAGGAAAAGCAACCAGTATCTAGACAGGTCACTAAATTAGTTGTGATCATTTAATACGAGATGATGGAACAGTTCTTTCTTTGATCATTGCTTAATTCTTGAACTTATTACATCAAAAAACTCAAATGCAACTTTATGTAGCTACAGTGCACTACTGCTTGATACTTAGCTTGAAGTATTTGACAAAGGTTTGCAAGAACTTCATAAAAAAACCACACAAAATACAACTTCACCTTTTTAGACTCCTTGTGATTACCATTAATTACACAATGAGTTCAGATCTTCTTTATGAACCCAACTCAAACCACTGACATTAAGTGCTTTTGAGTGGCACAAGAAAGAATAGTTTAGAAAGATAACATACTGCTGCAAGTCTTCTGGTCAGCGTTCAGGATGTAACCTTGTTTACATCTGCATACGTAGGAGCCTGGGGTATTTATGCAGAAATGATCACAGCGATGCTCAGCTATACTGCACATATGGGGCACTGAAAGAAAAAAGTAAGAAGTTATTAATGACTGGACTTGTTTATTTGTTGTTACAAATGGTTTAAAATACTTTACTGAAGTCTTTTAAAAAAACTGAGTTAAATTTCAACAGTCAAGACAAAAATGGAAGCTTAAGCCTACAGTTGAGTATAGAAAAAACTCTTACCAAACAGAATTATACTTTTATTTGTAATAAAAATAGGACTTTATATATAATCTGTCTGGTTGACAATGGTGACATCATTTTGGACATGAAATTACTTACAGAAGAGAGATATAAACAACAAAAAATTACAATAGAGCATCTGGAAACACTAATTACTTATTGGTTCCATGAAAACAATGAAACAGGCACCACATTCAAATTTAGAAATAAGTGTAATTTAATTACAAATTGTTCTAGAGAACATTTAATTTCCTGAATGAAGTACCCACAGCTCAACACTAAGAAAGAATGATTGATTGGAAAAAAAATACCTGATGAAGAATCTTGTTTGCCAGTTTATTAATTTTGAGGAATGTCTGGACAAGATATGACTACAGTGAAGTCAAGCATCTCTGAAACTCAATAAGAGGAAGCTGAGCTGAGCTACACTCTAGAGTATAACTGTTCCTGAGCCTATTTTTTTTTAATCTGCTCATATTTTATGTCTCTAATAGCAAATAGTAAAATGCAACAGACTGTGACAGGAAGAAAAAAAAAAGCAGGTCTATTCTGCCAAATTCATTACCTAGCTATTATTTTTTCCCATATCAGATTTTCTGTGGGGAAGTAATGAATCTCATTGACTTTTTTCTTCCACTAGAGCACTGTTGGTATGTCACTCCTATAATATACAGGTGAATTGTTCTCAGAGAATAATGTGTGGAAAATAATCTGTTTTTTTCTCAAGGACAATTAGGGACCAATGTGCTCATTATATTGCTAGGCTGGCAAACATCAAAATTCATGGAATAGATATTCAACAGTAATTTTCTAGCAGCCACCATAAAAGCCTAATAAATAACTTCACATGTAATAGGCATGGAACATCTGCGGAAAAAAAAATAGTGTTTTTACAATACATACTATTCATTGAGTCCTTGGAACAGTTACCAAAGTTATGCATTTATTGCTAATACAGAAACCACAATTCCCAAATCTCTTAAACAGCTTATTTGAACTCATTGTCTGCTGTAACAAAACAAGTGATTTTATCTTTGTGGATGCACACCTGCTGGTATTACTGGTCTATTCATTCTTCTGTCTTTCTAAAAGTAAAGTTCATGATCTCTGATACTTTCTAAACATAAGTTTCATGCTGGCTATATTTCACTAGTTTGCAACATCAGGTACAGTTTGTTATGACCAAAGAGGCACTTAAAATATGACAAAAACATAAAAATGTCAACAGTTTACATATAAAAAAATCTCACCATATTAATCCATAATATTCCTCCAAGAATAATCCTCCATAAACATTCAGACCTCCACTATCAAATCTTATACAGTGGAGGAAAAAAAAAAAAGCACCCTGAGCAACTGAGTTCATTCTGAGAATATATCGCTGCTACTTGTTACCAACTTCACATATCAATTATTTTTTTTCTGTGCTGAAAGAGGCTGTTGTATGCTTAACTTCTGCCTGACTTCTTGTAGGAACTTGTTGTTTGTCTGGTGGACAAAACAAGAGACTGAAATAATAGAAAGAATTGTCTGGTTTTGGAATTTGAATGTGAGCCTTCTGAATTAGGTTTTATCCCCACCTTTGCCACAGGTTCCCTATTTGACTTTAGACAAGTCAATAATATCAGTATCTTCAAGGACACATCAATGTTCACACACTGTACTTTCAGCTAGAAATACTTGCAACTAGATTTGCAAGAATGCAGGGCTCTCAGCTGCAAGTAATGGGTGTAGAGTTGTGGCTGATATACTCTATCATGCTAAAAGTGTTCCAGAAAATCAGACCATTGAGTGCACTCAAAGTTTTATAGTGGACAATGCTGACAGTTTCAGCCCTGATTCTGTGGTTTTGTTCTTCAAGCATAAAATAAGGATGACACCACACTCTATGTTAGGAGGATAAAAAAGACTACTTGCTTCTGACTGCTCCAGCCCAACTTCTTTGTCTTTCTCGCTCTTCTTCTATTTAATCTCCATCTGCTTTCCTGGATTCATTTCCTTTCTAAGTTTTCATCTCATCTCACTCCTCTTGCTTCTGATTTCCCAAGACATTGCTTCTTCCTAATTTACCTTGCTGACTGGCAATAGAAAGAGGTCCATGGGATGCCCTGGCCTGAACCTTTAGAAGCCAGATGCAGAAACCACAGGGAAAGCCCGCACAGTTTAAATGGATTCTTCTGAGAATTTAATTGCTAAGGACTGGGAAATCCCTGATATCCATAGGGTAACTATGGCTAATTCATTTTACTTTTTACCTTGCCCACACAGCTTCATCATTTGGCAAAATTATTCTCTTAACTTCATAAGAACCATGAATACATAGACATAAGGACAGTCCAAACACAACTGAAGAGTCCAGTTCTTTTCCCAAGGCATGAAGCCTAGCAGATTGCGACCATAGGGGTGCCTTGAATTGATTCAGGAAAGAACCAAGCTGTCCAAGGTACAATTTTCTCTTAACAGCAAGTTGAATCTAGTCAGCAGTGTGCCCCAGCAGCCTAAAGGGCCAACTGTACCCTGCAGTGCAACAGCCAAGCACTGCCAGCGGGGGAGGGGAGGACTTGTTCCACTCTGCTCTGTGCTGTGCAGCCTCATCTCGAGCACTGGGCACGGATTTGAGCACCAAGATACAACAAGGACATAAAACCAATAGAGAGCACCCAAAGGAGGGCAGTGAAGATAGGGAAGGCAAGACATACAAGGAGCACTGAGGTCCCTTGGTTTGTGCAACCCACAGCACCTTGTGGAGCTGAAGGGAGGCCTGATGGCGGCTGCAGCTCCTCACAGGGAGCGGAGGGGCAGCGACAGGGCTGGAGGGAACGGCATGGAGCTGCGTCAGGGGAGGGGCGGGTTAAATGGTGGGAAAAGATTCTTCACCAGAGGGAGGTGGACACTGAAACAAGCTTCCCAGGGCAGCAGGGCCGGTCCTGAGCTGCTGGAGTTCACGAAATGTCTGGACAACACTCTCCTTTTAGTCAAACGTTTGAACTCTGGGTGGAGCTGTGTGAAGCAAAGAGATGGACTTCACAGTCCTTGTGCGTTCCTTCCAACTTGGGGTATTCTATGAAAATTCAGCAAACTGAATGCTCTTCACAGCCCACACTCAACAAAACATTACAGATCCTATCTAACATGATGTAGTCCTTTAAGTTGAAATCCACAGAATGCTGGCACCTTAAGTTCTTTGTTGAACTTGGATTTGTAAGTGGTTGTTTTGTATCTCACCTTCAGCTCTTGAAACAGCAAATGTTGTGGAGGCATTCCCTTAGAAAGGGAGGCAGCAGCAATCCTTGTGACCTCCATACTCCTCCATCTGCAGGGTGAATGGTTTTATTGAGGATCATGTCTATCTGGATTAAAGGTGATCTACAAAACTTTAATACATTTACTGGGCACTGCTTAGTCAGGAAAAAAAAAAGGAATAAATAGTACTTGTACTGGCTTTGTTTCTAAAATGCTATTAAAAATCCAATAAAATTGAATTTTATATCATTTGCTATCTGTTTCATTTAAGCTCTCAATTCATGCTTAGTTTGCTTTCTTTGTTGTTTTTTTAAATGTACATTATGCCAAAAAATAATATGGCAAGTTAAAAACAGGAAAAAAATCAATGATGTGATGATTGTCTGTGATGGTGCCTTGTGCTGATGCAGTTCAGCTGGAGTTCTGTTGCTCTTTGAAACAATTCTGGAAAATACCACGTAATGAAAATTCTCCAGGCTATCTTGACAATAAGCCTCAGTTCTTTCCTGGCAAAAGCATCCCTAGAGATGATTGAGCATTCAATATATCATGTATTCATTTTCTGTACTCTGCTGTAAATACTTCACTTTCATGCCAAATCTCTATGAAGATCCTTCAAACTTATCTCAGGAAAAACTAAAATTATATTAAGTACCCAGACTGGAGTAAAATAAGTTATGCATGACACTGTATTTGTAAAGGGTATTTTTTTATCTGGGAATTACAGATGGAAATGATTTCTCTATTGTAAATTAATATCCATTAAGATATTATTTACTTTATGGAATGAATGAAAATCATGGTAATGGCTTTTCCTAACTTTTTGTATTTAAAATGGATAGAATACAAATATTATCACATAATTGTATAGTTACGCCTCTTCCAGTCACAAGGCATTCTACGAGATAATTGTTTGTATTTAGTTAATACAGATTTGGGTGAGGAATACCACAGAATCTTTTTAATAGCCAACAATCAGTCTGAAGTTTCACTACTAAAGGAAATCACTTTTAAAATCAGTAAATTAAACAGCTTATCTAAAACAGCAATGAACAGGAAAATCATGTATGTGTGTTTGCCTTGCTGCTTATGATCACTAGGAATAATATTTTACGGCACCGAGCAGTAGAATGAGCTTTTCCCCATATGTATCATTGTTGTTCTGAATACTGTTTAGCTAGTTTCCCCTTTTTTTTCAATGTACATTTTCTAACAGATTAGGTTCCATATTAAAAAAAAAAACTAATGACAATACATGACTTTTTTTTTTCCCCCATGTTTTACTTTCATCTATGCATTCAAACCAATATATAAAAACCTTACCACAAAGTTTAGTCTGGAAGACGGAGGTCAGCGTTTCAATCTGACTGAAATTGGCAACTAGAAAGATGTGCTCTTCGTGTGGCTCACTCCCAATGGACTTGAGTGTGTTCATATCCACTCTTCCCACTCCAATGGCGAAAATCAGAATTCCAGAGTTGCGAGCTTTAGCAGCAATTTCTGCCACCGGATCCTGTGGTCTCCCATCTGTCACTATCATGATAATGCGAGGCACATTTTGGTTCAAAGGTCGAGCCCCTTCTGACTCTGAAAACGCAATGTTCACAGCATACTGGATAGCCAGTCCGGTCATGGTGCCGGTCGCCAGGTGCATCATTCTCCTCACTGCTCTCTCAATCTCCTGTTTCCTTCTGAACGTCTTCAGTGAGAACTCATGTTTGACAGTGCTGCCATACTGAATCAGGCCTACTCGAGTGGCATCAGGACTGATGTCCAGGAACTGCAAGATTGTTAAAATGAACTCTTTCACTTTTTCAAAGTCATACGGACGTACACTGCGAGAGCTATCAATGATGAAGACAAGGTCCAGACGTTTGTTGTTGCAAGTATTTTCTAGAAGACAAAATGAAACAAAAATACAAGAATTTTCAAATGCAGATCGGATTGCTTTGACCTGAAATGCCAAAAATTGTCCCTCTCTACTCTGCCCTTATGAGGCTCCATCTGAAGTACTGAGTACAGGTCTGGAAGCCCTAGCACTGGAAAGATACTGAGTTTTTCAGGAGGGCCCAGAGGAGGGCCAGAAAGATGATCATAGGGCTGGCACACCTCTCCTATGAAAACAGGCTGAGAGAGCACTGGAGAAAAAGCTACGAGGAGACCTCATGATGGCCCTCCAATATTTAAAGGGGCATTATAAACAAGAGGAAAATCAACTTTTTACATGGGTAGATAACAACAGGACAGGGGGAAAGGGTTTTAAACTACAGGAGGGAAGATTTATGTTAGATGTCAGGGGGAAGTATTTCACTGAGAGAGTGGTGAGGCGCTGAAATACACTGCCCAGAAATGTTGTGGATGCCCCATCCCTAGAGGTGTTCAAAGCCAGGTGGGGTCCTGGGCAACCCGATCAAGTATTTGACCTAGCAGTTGGCAACCTGCAGCCAGGGGGTTGGAACCTGATAATCCTTGAGGTCTCTTCCAACACAAGTCATTCTATGATTCTGGGAAAGATGCTAAGTTAATACCCTTCCAGGAGTTGGAAAGATACAGGAAAAAAAAAAAACAGGAAATGCTATAACTAATGCTACTTGGGTAATCCAAATGTGGTTTCTGGTTAATGACAGTATCTGCCTGTTACATGATCAGTAGATTAGTTTTTTTGTGAGATTAGTGCTCAGGATGGGCACTGTTGAGATTTTGAACTCATACCCCACACATGATGGAAATCCCCTCTGAATAACATAGCTATTATTTTAGTGGGCTGCACCTTTATGCTTTTTGTTGTAGGGCCTGAGAATTCAGAAATCCTAATCAGATAACACGTAGTACTAGTCTTCCTTTCAAACAAGGAAACAGCCACAGAGAAATACAGGTCAAAAGTATCTGCTAATTGGAGTGACTGAGATACAAAGGAACTGATTTTTCATGGAACTTGGCATTAAAGAGCACTTTGCATGTACAAAGTACAGCTCTCAGTGACGTCAACTGCAGCTGTGAGTGCTCAGCACTTCTGCAAATCATACCCCATGATTTCAAACACATAATTAATGGCCATCTGGGAAAAGTGTAGTCTACTGGACTAGCTCAGCGTCACACAAATTCTGGGGCTGCATCAGAGATAAAATCCACTTTTCTACAATGGCATTCATTTTGGAAAAAAAGGCCGCCCATACACTTCCTGTCATTTTCTCTTTCAGTTGTCAACATTGCCTTTTTTTCTTTTTTCCAAGAGCCAGAAATACCACAGTGTATGGCTGTATCTGAAAACTGCATAGGCAGCCAGACCAAACTGTCGCAGGTAACAACAATCGTGGCTGCCTTCTGGGCATGCTACAAGCTTTCAAAAGCCATGGGTACACTCACTGACTCCTGCTCAGATTGCAGTGCAGACACATGCACATGAGAACAGATAAGGATTAACCATTTGCTCATTTTGCCTATGCAGAAAGTCAGCACAGGTAGGCTTGAAGCAAGCAGGGGGATGTGAGCTCTGAACCTTGCTACAGAAGGCTGCGTAAGGTAAAAGTTCAAAAGGAATCTGAAGGACTTAATAGGATGCTGGTGATGAGAAATCAACTGAAGTTTAATAGAACAATTAAAGGTAGCTAGAATCCTCATCAAACTACAGAAGAAATCTCCCCTCGCTTAGCTGAGATAACTCTAACCAGAAACCTCTCTTTCTGTGCAACTCAGTTAAGTTCCCAGAGCACTCCAACAGGGCATTGAATCAGGCAAATGCCCTGAGGAAAAAGTAGTTGTTTGATTGTATAATTAAAGGTCATGTCATACAGCACAAGTGGGCCAATCAAAGACTTGACTGGAACAGCATCTGTCTTCAGACAAGCCTTTACTTGCTTGTGACTGCTGATGAATGCTAACCATGTATCCCTGCCAAGGAAAGGGGTGAGAAGGATGCCTATTTTCACTTGCTAACTCAGAAGCCTCTTTCATGGATTACCAAGAAAGTCTGTAGGCATAGAATAAAAATGCTCTTTGCTGACAATAAAAATGACTGCCTGGGTTTATTCATGTGCAGTCTACAGTATGGCTTTATTCATAAGCGTAGGAATATGCTCAAGTTGCTTAGTCTTTCAAAATCAAAGGATGTTGAGTGCAAGCCAAACTGAGCAGAATAAAACTCCAGTTCTAATGGAATACAGATATCCTGACCGCTGTCTTCCAACTTATGAGGTCAATTGTGTATCTATACACAATTGTGTTTGTAATTGTGTAACTATTAATTACTCTTACTAATATTCCAGAACAATTGTAATGTAAAGATAACACTGAAATAACATTTAAGCGAGCAGGACAGGGTGAAAAAGTTAATTACAGAAAGAAGTCTAAGTGTTTATGAAGGGAAAGACAGGGTAGGGAGAAGGGTAAAATCACTGCTATTTTACTTTCCATAAAAATGAGAGCCTTCCTGTTGAATGCTTTTGAATTTCAGGGAGGATTTTTTATTTGAATATATAGATTTGGATCCCAGCCTGAGGAAACTCAATTTCTTATTTTGAAGTAGCCTATGAAAAAGGGAGGGAAGAAATCTGGATAGCATTACTGGACAGTGCTACAAGAAATAAAGCCCATTTTGCTAAATTACTTGTGCAGAAAAATATAGTAAGTGGGTTACTTTGAAAGTAATGCCTCCTATTTAGTTCCATGGAAACTACAACAGAAGCAAACAGCACAATAACACAGTCTAATAGAGCAAAGTCTCAGCTACAAAGCACTATTTCTCATCATAGACATGACCAGTAGCCTATCTGTGCAGATGAGCTGATCAAGACGAACTTCATTTAGTGGTATGACAGCTGTACATGGCCATCCAGAATATGGCTCGTTTTTCACACTGCTGTCACCACTGCTGAAACACACTGCCCGCTGCCTCAGTGTGCCCACATCAACTTTTTGATCTCCTCAATAAATGTTCAGCAAATGGCAATAAATGTCAATGAGTGCAATTTTTTTTTTGCAAAGAGGAATTCCATCACACACCTTTACTTCACACACTCTTCCACGTCAGACACCATTCCACCAAACTGCCTCTCTGCTGCCATCTGTCACACAGCAACAACATGGAACGGAATACTGGAGGGAAGACCCAGCCTCTAATGCCATACCAACACCTGCCTCGGATATTGTGGGTAGGCAGTATTACTTTCAAAGCAGTCCTTGTATATTTCTGAATTACTTCTGCTAGAAAAATCCCACCTATAGAAATGTCAAACATTTCAAAATAAAAAAAAAATCTTTAAAGTCTCTGTCTTGTTTTGGATGTTCTTAATAACCTTATAATTATTAATGGCGATTCAGTCAACCCAGGTTCCATAAAACTCAGTGTAAATCTTTCACCAAGCAAAACTCCAGCTGGATGGTACTTTGAGGAGTGGCAATCAGTAATGGCTAACAGATGAACACTAACCCCCTCAGACAAACTTTCCATGCTACTTTTAAGAAGTTTCACAGATTTACACTTGCCCTGTAAACCAGAATCTCTTCCTCCTACCGGTTCTTATGTTTAAACAAAAACTTTTTCACAACTTTGGCAAATGTCTTCAAATCCCAATGAAATGCCTTTCTACTCTCCTTATGAAAAGTGACACATTCATTGAAAAGAGCTACTCATCCAGAAACCAACACCAAAGTCAGCAAAGATTTTGAGTTGACCACAGAAAAGTTTTAAAAAAATAAAAAATAAAGCAAAAGCCCTGAAAGTGTGAATTATATTATCCAAAACTTCAAGGCCAGGTCAAGAGTAAATGTGCTCTTCTCCACTCAATATCCAGCTTGTCTAGAAATGAGTTACTGTCATACCACCTCTGCAAAATGAACAATGGTTCTCACTTAATGAATCCAACTGGGATCCACTCCAGTAGGAGGGAGTATTCCTGAGCATAGGAACTGAATCTTCTATGCTGCTGAAAGATTAGAATGGTTCCTGGTACTATGGTTCCAGGCAATATGGATGCAAGCACTCTGCAAGCTTAGTATCCATCAGTCAATAGTATCACTGCAGGCTGTGTTATCTCACTGGTCTCAGTGCCAGAGAGCAGCCTATGATACACATTAAGCTGCACTCACAGCATTAAATTCACTTTCCCACTACAGCACTACGCCTCCTGGGAATAAGCCCTGATCCCCCATAACCTTTGCATCACACATGGGAATTGTTTGGGGAGTGCCAATCAACATGTGCCAGAGTCTGCTCTAGCAATTAAACAATAACAGTGGATTCCCAATGCCCAGGAATGTCCGCAGTGCTATTTTATTCATCAAACATTTCCATTTTGGAATATTCAAGCTGAACATATTCAAAGAACCCAACTTTTAGATTATGATTTTTTAAAAGGCCAAATCCCTCAAAAAGTTTGGTTAGAATGGAATTACTTATTTCCTATTGTCCTGTATCTGCATGATGCTATAACACATTTTGTAATATGGATAAAACCTATTTGATAATGTGAATCTTTATCCTAACAAATGAGATAGATAACTGTTAAAGACAGTTTGCACGCAAAGCAAAAGGAGGTTAGCTCCATTTGTTAAGTACTACAGCAATTTTAAGATATTTAGATAATAAAAAAACCTGAGTTATAACAAAATACTCATCCCACGAAGACTTTTGTTATAAATTAAGACAACTTAAGCAAAAAGGAAAGATGAGATCAGTTAAGAAAAAATGAGATCATAGAAAAGTTATTGCCTAAGTAGGCAATGCATTAATGACAATTTTAAGACTCAATGTATTGTATCTACATCACTGCAGAGTGAGCTAAGAAATACAAAACCTACACGGTGTGTGAGATTGCCAGCAATAACACCACAATTATTTTTAGACTTTTATCTTTGTCTGAATAACAGAACAAAGGTCTTCACTTAAATGAAAG